GATTCCACACTGTAATTCCTAATTCAAGTATAATTGTACTTGAAAATATAAACTATGGCATATTTATCAGTGTAGATTGTAACCGCTTGACGGTTATGGCATTCTCTACCATAAGTCCATGCATCTGAATCAAATAACTAATCCCATACCCGACATGGACTGAAAACCACACGGACGACAGGCCGTGACTCAGGGGTTTCCAAATCGCAGTCTACGGGACAATTACGGACCGCGTAACGATTTAAAATAGCCCGCCGAACTTGAGAAATAGTTTAACACTTTATGTGTTTACATTTTGAGTTTTAGATACCATCTATCGTTACATCATTATCACAGTTTAAGCACGTTTATTTCGTAACAATTGAATTATACCGGTATACGTATCCGTATTGGGATTACACACTGCAGTATTATAGATATCACCCGTATATTATGAAGGCTAAAAGATGTCACAAAACGAAAAATAGGCACTGAAAGCAGACGTTTTTCAGATGAATGGCAGCGTTTTTATTTCTTTATTGAAAAGAATCAAACTTCAGCGATTGTATTCATTGCCAACAAAATATTTCAGTTCTGAAGGAATACAACATTATGCGCCATTATGATCAGTTGACGCGCGTATTTCAAAATTTAATTCATTGCTTAATTCATACAAAAGTCTAACAAACATGTTCGAAAAAAAAATGTGAAATGAAAGTGGAAAGTTATTGCCAGTTATAGTGTAGCCCGCAACATTGCTAAAAAGAATCTCCCATTTGTTGAGGGTAATTTTCGCGCGAATATATGCTGCAAGTTTTGGAAGTCATTTCTCCTGATTTAAAGTTAATTTTCCAGCATCAATCTTTCTAACAACACAATTATGAACCTTAACAAATCAAAACTTTGGTCGAGACTGACATACAATTACTTGACTGCGTTATTTGGAATACAATGTAATTAATTGGAGCCACGTTTTGAATTAAACTAAATTATGGCATTTCGTTCATATATATATATACATGGGGATGTTTTTTGTTTGTGTAACAAAACAAGCCATAAGTAGCCATTCATACAATGCCAGATGAGCAAGTAACTCCATTAGTCACTATCAGTTGCAAATTACTTGTTGAAAGCCGTGCTTGTTATTTATTTTTCGGGAATTCCATCAGCTAACTATTATAATTAATAATTTTATTACATAACAAACGATGCTAGATGTATCTAAAATCGAGCTTAGAGCCTATTTCTCAAAATTTTCTCAGGGTGCTTGAGCACGCCCTGAACCCCAGCCGTAAATTGAAAATATAAAATTGTATTACTGTTATGCCTATAATTCATATCTAAATCTATGGTTTTCTTCACACAACACATTATTGCCACTCATAAAACTTTCAATTTCCCTGTGATCTTATCCCTTATATTTTATCATATGTAAGCATAAAAGAAGTTTCAGAACAGATTGAAAGTTTAAATTAATATAATAAATTCGGTATGGAATTCTTATTTTTTGCTCTTCTCTATTTAAAATTTATTTAAATAACTTCCTAATCCCGATTAGAAATTTATCTCATTTCTAATTAGATATCATTTTTTTTTTCACATAGTGTATATAGTTTTTTTTCCATGTGTATATCCTGAGAGTGTAATATTACAGAACCTGTGTTATTAATTTATTTATTCATGTGCTTGCTTTGGGTAGTAACCGACTCAGATGACTTTTAATGATCGTATCGTTACCACCCTGTCATCTACCGAAACCTACTAATTTTTCTCATTTTGCTATCATATATATATTGTATGTGTTTCCTGGTTTGACAAAACAATAAAAAATTCTCTCTCTCTCTCTATATTTGCGCACTTTTTATCGCTCCCTTTTCTGGCCCTCCAATTTTATTCTACTGTGTATTTTGGCTCGCGGCAATCAACTTGGGGGAACCCTCGTGTTATCGTTTCTTAAATACATACCAATTTTTTAACGATACAAATAGTTTTATAGCAAATTAATTACCACCCCCTAAATTTCAAAACATCTCCCCTAAAATGTAAAGCTGGGGAACATACTGAGTCACGGTCTGTCGTCAGTCTGGTTTCCAGTCCATGTCGGGTATGGGATTAGTTATTTGATTCAGATGCATGGAGTTATGGTAGAGAAAGCCATAACCGTCAAGCGGTCACAATATTAAGAGGAATCATCATAGCTAAAACGCCAACGAGAAAGCGGCTTTAAGGTAGCGAAATTGCATGTGATAACGAGTACAGTATTACGTGCGCTTTTACAACTTGAATTATTTATTTCTTCTGAGCTCTCGCCGACGTTTCAGTGAGAAAATCATTGACGCGTGATGATCACGTGTTGTAGCCAGTAATTTTACCAGTATTTTTACGACAAGACGGTTATTATTTAGAGTCGAGCGTGGATATGGCGTATACGTATAGTTAGAGCGTTAGCCTTTGACGTTTTTGTCTCAGTTAGACCGAAAACTGAGCAAAAAAGACGAAGAAATTTCTCGATGTCGCGTTTTTTGTTTCTTTTAATAATTACGTCATCTCTTCCCGCCCATCCGTGAGAGGAATGTCTCGCACGTGGTCTTTTTGTCGCTCGCCTGATTGGCGGTGGGTTCTCTACGTGTCTGCACTTTTCTTAATTTTTTTTGTCCTCGAGAATTTCGGTTTGTGTCGAGACTTGGGTGAGACGGTTTTACCTTTCATAAATTAAGACGTTAATGTTGGCAGAAAGTGCACAGGTAATATTACTGATTTGCGTACTATACTTCAACGCTGAATTGAATTTTGTTAACGCCATTGGCGGCTTGAATTCGGTAATTTATTATTGTGAAAATAAATTTTCTGTGTCTGAATATAGAGTATAATATGTAGTACTAATTTTGACTTAGTTCAACGTGGATATTTGCCAAAATTTTCGGTCGTTTTATATGTTAAATGATAGAAAGCTATGAGTAATGGTTTTATTGGCTGCCTATTTTGTTCAATTTTTTAAAACTGACTTTCTTAATGGATGAATGGAGGTTTTTCTGCATTTTTAGTAACACTGTGGGATTTTATTCTACAAAATACTAATTTTTAGAATGAAACTTAAAAATGAAGTACCCTATTTATTTATTTAGTTTAAATTTTATTTGTTTTAAACATTCTGACATTTGCGGTCCAGACGACCACATTGGGGCATTTTTATTCTATCTAGTAATCATCAACTTGAACTGCTGAATTGGAAGAATTTCTGTCTGGCATGACGAAAGATGGGTCATATCGCGTCATGCTTGTCTCTATAATAATTTGAATTAATTCTGTAATTGGGCCGTCACATGACCGAAATTGCCGTTTTATGCTAAAAACTCCTGCCACTGTAAAAAAGTTTTTATTTCTGTAAATCACTTTTTTATGGGGATGAAATGGTGATGTTTTTAGATTGTGCTTTTTCTAGTTCATTTTGCTTGTTACCGGTTTGCCGATACAGTACAGCACACTATCCAAATTCCAAGAATTTCCCTCCATTTGGCTCAATGAAACAAACACTCTATGTGTCTCACAAACGAGGGGCGTCTGGGACCACGTCAGATGCTTCATATCGTGCCATGCTTGTTTCAATGAAAATCTAAATTAATCGAGGCCGTCACATGACCAAAATTGCCGTTTTTTGGCCTAAAAACTCTCGAATGCTACGGTAGAATTTTTTTTCCTTCGGTAAATCGGATTATTTTTTTCCAAGGAATTTAATGATGCCGTTACTAGAGTGCGCTTCTTTGTAGTATTTTGCGCAACTTCATTATACTGCATTATTACCGATATTGAGGGACAACAATGTCCAGACGTCTCCCAAAGAAGGGGTGTCTGGTCATCTGTAAAATGGGTTTCTCTGAAACGGGACAATGTTACCCGATTTGTATAGGGTGCTGTACTGCGATATGGAGGCTCGGACTATTTCGTAAAGGAGGAGTTCGCACACTCACTCTTATAATCAATGTCCTCTTGAATAACGGGTTATCCTTGGAATTTGAGATTTTGTTTTTCTTAGACTATGTGTAATTCAGAATTTCGACTCCCACACTTGATACTAGTGAAAAAAGACGCCATGACTTCACAGCTCCGGTTAGAGCACCTTATGGGTTTCAGTGGGTACCCGCAATTTCCTTCAAAGATTAATCCTCGACCAGAAATGCTTGCGCCTTTGCTTCAAGCAAATTCCCTTGCCTAACTACATGTAAAACGAGAGACTATGCTTTTTTGGGCACTCCAGAAGTGCATGTACCATAATATGATAATGGAGGTAACTAATTTTGTTCGCCAACTTTATATCAAGTTGTACAAAGGGACTCAAACCTGTGAACAGGGAGTATATCCATTCGGCTAACACAGACAGTCCTGAACTCGTACTAGAAATACGGAAAATCTGATTGAAATTATGGCCTGACCAAAACCTGGTACACCCATTACTGCACTACGAAAGTATCCTTTTCTGGGGTCTAGTATAGTTTAGTACCACAAGTACTTCCAGTGGCCGTAGCATAACGAATTTTGCATATGTTATTCCTAACCCTCACCTGACTATGCCATCCAAAATTTACGTCACTACGACGTCGCCATCACGTCATAGAGATTGCTAAAGTATAATTACGATCGCCCGAAATGACATCTGCGCCGCCGATAACGAACACTTGCTAAAGCCGCGATCTCTCTCCTATCGTGATTGTTGTGACGAGAGAAATTGCATGCTCGATTTCGTGTGATTGTCTGCACGTTTTGGACGACCACCGCATACTTCGGTGGGCCTTATTACGCCACTGTGAGGTCGAAACGACGCAATTTTCGGTGACGTAGTCAGGTGGTGGTAAGGATTGACATATGCAAAAATTGTTGAGCCAGGTCAACCAGAAGTACATGTGGTGCTAAACTTCTCCGGACCCCTTTTCTGTAGCTTGGTATTTTGCTTTATTTTTCAGTGTTTCACTGTTGAGTGCTGTAATATCTTTGCTATTATGATTCGGAAGTGGCTCGAAAATTTGAATTTTTGAAAGATCTGTTGTCTTAACTGATCCTATGTTTTTATATCATAGTTTCACAAATTTTTAGTCTACACAAAAATATCAAAAATGGCTGGTGGTGGCAGATCGAAAGTATTTATGGACATTTCCATCGGAGGAGCTCCTTCTGGAAGAATTGTATTGGAACTCAGAGGTGACGTTGTACCAAAAACTGCGAAAAATTTCGAAGAACTTTGCTGCCGCAAAGAAGTAGGAAAAGGTTTCAAGGGAAGCAGTTTTCATCGAATTATCCCTGGTTTTATGTGTCAGGGAGGAGATTTTACTAGAGGAAATGGGACCGGGGGTGAATCAATCTACGGAGACAAATTTGAAGATGAAAATTTCGATCTCAAGCACACTGGGCCAGGAATATTGTCAATGGCCAATGCCGGACCGAATACCAACGGATCCCAATTTTTCTTGTGCACAGCACAAACAAAATGGCTTGATGGAAAGCATGTTGTTTTCGGAAAAGTTGTAGACGGAATGGATGTTGTCCAAAAAATGGAGGCAGTTGGATGCCAATCCGGAAAGCCCAGCAAAACAGTCAAGATCCAAGATTGTGGCAAGATTTAATCCCACTTATTTGATTTCTGCCTTATTAATCCAGGATTGTAATTTTCTTTGATTATTATAACTGCAACCGATTCACCAATCATGTGATAATTTTTTTCAAGTCCACAGGAACGGGAACTAATTAGAAAAAATAGCAATTTTGCAAGTTGTCAATGCTAACTTTCAATGAGCTTTTTTGATTTCTCTTAGTCCAAAATCGAAAAATATTCGAGATTGGGCTTATGGTTGGATTTTTTATAACGACAATCTTGTGAAATTTAACGTCTTGGATCAAAAATAACATTCTCATTGTGTCGAAAGTTTCTTGGAACAGTTTTATTCTAATCTTATTCAACCTGCTTTGCGTATTGGTTTCAAATAGGAATTTAACTGTTGCTTTGTGCCGAACTAAACGTTATGTTGTTTATTTACTGGTATGGGAATGTTGTGTAAAGTTGCATATAATTCGATTCACCAAACTACATATACCAATACTATCTTTGTGAGACTTGATCATTTTCACAGGTTGATTGATGCATTGATATTTTAAATTTTTCCGACATTTCCACACTATTTTTTTCGTTAGTGAATTTTTGTCGTTGGCTAATTTGAACTGTATTTGAATGTTTTTGTATGTTAGTGAAAATTCCAAGTTCAATTTGGTTTATTGGTAATAAAAATAATTCAGTGTAATTTTGTTGTTTCTTTCAGATTAATTTAATTATTTATTATAATGGCAGGGGAGTGGTGTTTAATCGAGAGCGATCCAGGTGTTTTCTCTGCTCTTATCAGAGATTTTGGAGTGGAAGGGGTACAGGTAGAAGAAATATTTTCTCTCGACGATGACAGTTTTGAATCGTTAAAACCCGTCCATGGATTAGTATTTTTGTTCAAATGTATTAAAGACTCCGATCCCAAAGAATCGATTGTGCAAGACAGCAGACTAGATGACATATTTTTTGCCAAGCAAGTGATAACAAATGCGTGTGCAACACAAGCTATCGTCAATATTCTCCTAAATGTAAAACATGGCGATGTACGACTAGGAAGCATGCTTTCGGACTTTAGAGACTTCACTCAGGCGTTTGATAGCGTTAATAAAGGACTAGCACTCAGTAACTCTATCCTAATAAGAACTGTCCATAATAGTTTTTCGCGTCAACAAATTTTTGAATATGATAATTCAATGCCAAGAAAAGAGGAAGACAGTTATCATTTCATTGGTTATGTTCCGATCGATGGGCGACTGTACGAGCTGGACGGAATAAAAGCTGGGCCTATAGATCATGGATCGTTCGGTGATACAGATTGGTTAAATTTAGCACGAACAGCTATTCAAAAACGAATCAATAGATATAAAGAAGGGGAGATTCATTTCAATCTTATGGCAATTACATCAGATCGAAAAATGGTTTTAGAAAAGCAAATAAAAGATCTTCAGGCTGCTGTAAAATCAGGCGAAGAGATGGAAACTGAAAATCGAGACCAATTTATTTCCACAGAGATTAATAGATTGCAAAATCTTATCGATTTAGAGGATGAAAAACGAAGAAATTACAAAGTAGAAAATGTCCGTCGAAAACATAACTATCTACCCTTTATCGTAGAAATGATAAAAATTCTTGCATCTGAGAGAAAACTTCTCCCCCTTGTGCAAGATGCGAAAGAAAAATTGAAGGAAAAGGGGAAAAAATCCTCTTTCTAATAAGACCCCCTGTGAAGGCTGTATAACTATTCATTTTGGTGTGATGTTCACCCTTCATCAGCATTGCTCATCTCGAAATTGAACACTTGACAATTTCATTCAGTTGTTTTTGAACGAAATAATATTATATTGAATCAAACTTAAGTTCCTTCTATTTATTTTTTGTTTGTGTATATTCAGTGAATTAAACCTGAGAGCTGTGGAAGTTTGTGGGCTGTATGATGCGCACTCTTTGATTTGTCGTTCACGGTGAGGATTTGCATTTATACAGGGGGGACCTGGATTTGAGAGTGTTGAGATGAACAATGACTTCCCTCCCCATTGCAATTCCGTGAGAAATGATAGTGGGGCTTTGTATTTATAAAGGGGGGGTGGGGGAGATAGGATTTTGAAGTGTTAGATGAATGACCGCTTGCACCCTTCCCCTCCGAAAAAACACATTTAAAAAGATTAACTTTCACTCTTCACCTTTATTTGTTTGTATGCCCAAAAGCTGTGTTCTCTTTCATCATGTTCCAAAGAAGTTATGTTACTTGGGGCATCGTCCTGTAAGTACCAGGTTTGAGAAGCTGAACATTGATTAGGAAAGCCTTACGATGTCGATATGAACAAAACTTTTTATTCTGCCATTGGAATACATCCTATTACTGAAGTGATGGTTATCAAAAATGGAGCTTATCAAAATTATTCTTGAACCAAAGTTTTTAAAATAAAGAATGCAATTCAATTTGTTCTGGACGTTCGGGCCAGCTGGGATAACCAAAATTGAAAGATCCCAATTGTCAAAAGACTATCGCCAACTCATTGTAGAATTCTTACAAGAAATGGAATTGAATGGCGGGAAATGTTACTTGAATAGTAAACATAATATCCCTTTACTGCTATCCATTTCCTCTGTTCCATGACAGACAAACTCCGCAAAAAAAATTTATGGCTAGCATCTGCATTTTTATAATATAGGCATTGGGTATGGGAATTTAATTTTTACATTGGTTTAAGATTAAATATTACTCATTCATACCATGTAGGCCTTCTTTACTTCATGCATGTGGAGCAATTGGTGACCGTACATTTGAACCCATGCGTATATCCACGGGTTCAATCTATATGCGGGTGCTAAAACCCATGGGTTAGGTATAGTATGGGTTTAACTATCCGTGAAACAAAAAAAATTCCATAGGTGCAATTGTCATGGGTTCGAATGTACGTGGGTTCAAATGTAATGGAACCGGAGTAATTAACTGGGGAGTTGTTTGAGATTGAGGTCAAATGATTGAGCGCTCGTATTAACTACCTATTTCAATAAATATGAAAATCTTATGCTTGTTTTGAAGTTGCCCAAATAATAAATATCATGCGAGGTATTATTGTCTGGTTGCTGACTTATCTAGGTAAAAAATGCTTTGATCTGCTTGTTCAATACAAATTAATTTTTGTGATCAAGAATAATCCTTAAAGAATTCACAACATTGAATACCCCGACTTTAAGCTGAAATGACATGCGATGCATTTTCAACATTCCTACTTTGATAATAACATTGAAAACGAAAAATTCTTCGATATTTAGCATTTTATGCTTTCAATGTTGTTTGGGGTAGCTATAGTTATCGGATCGAGCTTCTTTCCCCAAGATCTAAACAAAATGACCTCCGACTGGAGTTGATGTGTAACAGAACCATAAAGTCTGTAGTACCTTGACTCTGGGAGTGTGGTATAGGATTTACATATTTATCCCGGAGAGGAAAGTCGATAAGACGACTTAACCATATGGTGAACCAGGGCCTCTCGTCTGGTTACAATTCTATGTCGGGTATGGGATTAGTTATTTGTTTTCGGAAGCATGGACTTGAATATTGTGTGAATCTTCCTGGTGTTCTTACTAAATAGTGATCACTCCATTTTGCAAGGGCATTGTTTGGTTATAAGATTGTGCATTGGCGTAAGATTTCCACAAGACTATAAGATAGCATAATTAATTACTGTACCCTCTGTGGGTTGAAATCCCATGGGAGATAAGCATGTGAGACAGGATTGTTAGGCTTCTTACTGCTGTGAGTCGTTCGTTCCTCTTGAAATAAATGACCTATCTTTGATAACAAGGCAGACCACAATGTTTTGCCCAGTTGCTCCTCTAGTTTGGGCACGAATTGGTCAGCTCAAAAGGTGGTGACACAGTAGTTCCAATTACACACTTGAGTTTATCATCAAATCACCAAGCCTGAGGAAACTCTTAAAGTCGGAGATAGAATTTTACATACTTATCCAAGTGGGGGGAGCCTGCCTATAAGATAGCTCAAGCATATGCCGAACCATGGCCTTTCGTACCGGTACGATTACCAGTCCATGTCGTGTATGGGATTAGTTAGTTATTTGTCTTCGGAAACATGGAGGGTGAAGGAAACCGTGACCGACTAGCAGTTACGTGAACCCACCTGTGGTGATGTGAACGACAATTTTAAAATTTTAATCGAAACAATTTGTTTGAATAATTATTGGTGGTGGCCATCAAACAACAGAAAATCTTGGCGTGTGAAGTCAATCACTTTTGTAGCGTTACCAGATTTCAAATTCAGCAGTCGGGCAGCGGATTTCAAACTCAGAATCGATATCAATTTATGAATGTTACCTGACCCTTGACCCCTGAAAATTTTATTTTGAGGGTGAATACCACAAGTTTATTTAGGACAAGACCTCCGAAACGAGCAAACGCTCACCGCTATGCATGGAAATCTGAGTGAAAATGATATGATTTACATAATTATCCCGGGGAGAGGAAAACGGTTAGACGGCTCAATCGTATGGCGAACCACGGCTTCTCGGTTACCAGTCCAGGTGGGGTATGAGATTAGTTAGCCAGTTATTTGTTATAGAAAGCATGTACTTGAGGGTAGAGGAAGCCGTAACCGACCAGGGGTTACGTGAACCACCCTACAGCGGCGACGAGTCCAGCAATCCTCTCGCACATAACCATTCCACATGGGATTTTTTTATTACAGATATTTTTGTTGTTGAAGATTTTTGATTTTGTTGTTTGTATTTTGAAGTGGCAAATAAAATAAATTCGAACCCACACAGGGTAATCAGAGATGCGGTGGCGAGCGTATTCCTAACGCTTAGCACGGTGCGTCACGGGTTTTTAAATTGCAATAGATAAGTCATCTTTTAATATCGTTAACAGATTCTAGTTGCACGGTACCAATCAAGCGTAATTTTTTGTCGTTGAGGATTTTCTGGTGTTGTTTGTGTAAATTTGCGTAAAAGTATCGGTTGCTCTGATGTTGCCACCCAAAGTGAACATCGCCAGATAATTATGTAGGCATTGATTGATTGCATATATTTTAAACAAAATAAACAAAGAAAATAACAAGCAAAAACTAGGCATTGAAATGATCTAATTCATCACGTTTTAAATATGTATCCGCTCGTAGTCGATACTTTCATTTTTAGATATCTCCATTCTGTTTGATGTGTTTTTCAAAAAAATACAAACAAAAAAAAACGTATCAACGTATAAAGCGCATTTTTAACTCTTTCCATTGCAAAAATGATAATTGAAACGGCATAATCCATTTTTTCTCTCGTCCTATTTATAATTGGCTAAAAACCTGGCTTGTTACTCACGTATGCATATATATATTATATCGAGGGTATTGGGCAAAAATCTCCCAACATTTAAAATTCTCACTATGGCAGTTATACTCCTAGTTTAAATAAATAAATTTGTGTTGGCAATGAACTGCCATTTTGTTTTCTAGAAATTTTATTGGCTGTTATTGAAAATTGATAGATCTTTTGTCCCCCGCTCAAAATAAGAAAATTAATCATTATCTAGTTAGTATCAGGGTTAGGAATGCATATTGCGCAGGAAATTCAAATCATTCTTAACTGGTTAATTACTAGGTTTTTTATTTCAAAACGTGGGAGAATGTTCATCTCAAATCATACATTTTTGCATTATTGGCGGGAACTCTGTACAAAAAATCCTTAATTTTTTATTTTTCGAAAAATGAAATGAGGGAAGTTTTTTTTGCCACGCCTCGTATTATGACAAAACAACGCAAAATATAGTAATAATAATTTTCATAGATATAATACTTTTCTATCCCTATCGTCACTTCTTACTTCAAAATCGTTGCCGCGGCAAATCTTTGATAAAAGATTTCTGACAAATTCGAAAATTACAGAGACAAAAATAAGTAGTTAGTATTAGGAATGGCGACATTGTAAAGGCAATAGACACAAATATATTTAACGAAAATCTCGATTTGTTTTCGCTAGTTCAAATTTTGCGTTGACTTGACTTTTATATTTTTAATCAAAGCATTCATTCCTTAACATTCAGAATATGTCTTGTTAGATTATTTCGCTTTTTCAAGTGACTACCAAGATTGTATTTAGTTTGAAAATAAAAACAGGAAAATCAAAAGTAAATCAGTCTAAATGTAAATTCAGGACAAAACGTCCAGCCATCATTATAATTCATCTTTGGCAAGTTCAAGTTTGTGTGCAACCTTTTTGCAACCAGATGTTGAGTGCAGCTGCTCTACTTTAGGAAACCATAGTAATTCTTCCAACACTTCTTGTATGAAATTTTCGCCTCTGTTCAGATTTCGACGTTTCATCTCATCAATGATACAATTCCTGACGTGGGATCTTTCCAGTGGTAGAAAAGGTACAAAATGGTCGATGAGATTGCTATTAAAAATTTAAAGTATGGAGAGAATGAGATTTTATTATTTCGTCAACCAAAAAATACCGGTATCAATAAAATAGCAACGGCAATAAAATTGTTTTGGTATGGACAGGAGGGAACGATACGTACATACGGTCATCAAGGTCAGCTCCCACCATATGCGCTTATGTGATTAAGATTCACAGTGAAAGACGACCAGTGGCAAAACCTGAACTATTACGATAATATTTTTACAATAAAATTTGAGGATTATTAAGTAAATGCAATGTGACCATGCCATACATTAGTATTTTTTGAAAAAAGACCCTTCAACTACAATGATAAAATTATATATATATTATATTTTTGATTATTAAACCAGTTTTATTCTGTCCGAATTCCGACAAAATTATCAAAACACGTGCTACCTGGAATTTACTACAAGATCAAGAGCTTTCGCATTGTTGATATAATGATAGTAGCTCTTGGTGCGTCAGTGGATACTTTCAAATATAATCGGAATGTGTTTGTTTCTCTTCTGGGATGTCTAATGAATATGCTTTAATGTTTTTTTAGAGTTCTTTTACTGAAATTCTAATGCCCACCAAATGCAATATGGTACCTTTGATTTAGTCTGCTTTTTCGCTGAAGAGAAAGTAACCACCGCTTGCTATTTTTTCCCAACTTTTGCAATGAAATTTTTAAAAACTCACTTGCTAACCAACTTGCTGTTCTTCAATCCACTCTCTTCATTATAAGCAACGTGTTCTAGCATTTCTTGGGTATCACGTAATTTGATTTCCTCCCTATTTCTCCAATGTTGAAAAGCCACTTCTGTAATTCTCTTCCCGCCTGTGTTACTGTTGATTTCATACGCACGGGTTTAGTAGTGTTTGGTTCTTTGTATGCTGTTGTACCTAGGAGAACTCGGGTTCAAGACCCATGTCAGCAACATTACCTAACCTTTGAACTGGCCACTGAAGTCCCTTTACACAACTTGGTGTAAATAAGTCGAACAAAATTAAATACCTCTATATTGGTACACACATTTCTGGGGCACCCAAAACCCTGTCATTTTTAGTGGAATACGTCGCGCTTGTGGCCTGGCGGTACAAACGCGTCACCAGTCACCCCGTGCCACGTGACTTCTACTGACAAAGACGTCAATAGCTATAAAGAATTTTAAGAAAAACACACTTAATCACCCTAAAAATATAAAGATTGTTTTCCTGAAATCCACCCCGTCTACGTTTGCACTATGCCCAAGGAAAGGCGACAACACATATAATATTCCTTCTGGGAAATGATACATTTCATCAAATATAAATACTGAACGCTCACAGTTGGCTCACATTGTGATATATCCATGATTGTAACTGGTCCTGAAAATGGAGAGTTTTTTTATAACCAGAGATTGAATTCAAAATTTTATTTTAAAATCAGGTTCCTGAATCATTTCATTGGATGTTTCGATTCTCAAAAACAGCAACTATTTTGCAAAATGCCTTGCAAAGTTCAGGTACCTGTGGTAATTAGAATAAATTAGAATATTTATTAGAATATTTATCCCAGGGTAGAGGAAAGCCGATAACACGGCTTAACCGTATGGTAAACCACGGCCTCTCGTCCGGTTACCATTTCATGTCTGGTATGAGATTAGTTAGTTATTTGTTTTTCGGAAGCATGGACTTGATGGTGGTGGAAGCCGTAACCGACCATTGGTTACGTGAACCATCTTACGGCGGCGAGGAGTCCAGCAATCCTCTCGTCCATAACTAACCCTTACATAGGATTCGAACCTGCGAACCCACGCAGAGTAATCAGAGGTGTGGTGGCGAGCGTATTCCTAACGCTCAGCACTATGAGCCTCTATTTTTTCTGCCAAATAATTTTAACTTTATGCACAAATTTCTGACAATAACCTTATATATATCCGTCATATCTTTATGTTTGAAATGAATGTTCGGATTGAATAAATGAAAATATGGACTGTGTTCCCCCCTCTTGAATAAATTATTTGCGATCATTCTAGAAACAAAAGTTTTTCCTCCTCCGGCCCAACCTGAAACAAAATAACAATGAAATCACTGAAAAAAATTAGCAGAAGTTAAGATGAAATGCTACTTAAAACATTTAACGACTGACACTTTTTAACAGTATTGATTTACGGTGAAATGCCATTTGAACATAATGAATTAATAATAAATTTAATGCCCTGAATATATGAACAATTTTCACAACAAATTAGGTGCGTTCTGTTTGTTACGATTTTTCCAGCACATCACTGAGAGGAGTGGAAATCATCGGAGCGCCATTAATATTTCACATTTAAAAACCTCAGGTACCGTACTATGCTTTACTCTTGTCTCTGTAGTCGGTACCAACGGGCAGACAACACTATATAACAGGGGTGGGCAAGGTTTTTGGACCAGGGGCCACAAGTGTGTCCACTTAAACTGGCGGACCATGTGGGTGTGACGTAAAACATTTTATGAACAATGTTTACAGTGTTACAAAAACAAAAGTGGAAAACAATAAACCTCGTGCCAAGACTAAATTTAATCGCAATCTCCACAAATTTCTTGAGCTATTATTGAGCTAAAACGTCAAAATTTGGTTTTAGTTCGGTTGTGGCATCGTCAGGCGGGTCAGATTGAATTACCTACGGGCCAGATTGGGCCCGCGGGCCGTAGTTGGTCATGTCAGCTATGGAACTTTGAGTATTTCAAATATATTTGCTCACCATGAAACGAAAGAACCAGTGGTTTCGATGGATTAGGGTTGCTGACGTGATCTGTTACTGCTTTATATACGGTAGGAACAACGAGGTGTTGGCCGTGTAACTTGTTTTCCAGATCCCATTTGAAATCTAAAAGCAAAAGTAAACGACATATTATCTGTGAATGCATAATAGTGAATACAAGGTGGTGTACTAGTCTATACTAAAACATTGCGCCATACTATTCCTCCTCCAAGTCCATGCTTCCGAAAACAAATAACTGGCTAACTAATCCCAAACCCGAATTGGAATGGTAAGCGGACGAGAGGCCGTGGTCCGCCATATGGGTAAGCATATTGTTGACCATAAATTTGCTAGCCGTCCTATCGTCTTTCTTATTCCCTGGGGTAATATATGTAAATCCTATCCTATTCTTGCAGCTTTGTTTCGTTAATGGCTGTTTTCGGATGACGAATCAGAAAACAAATTGTGTACCAATATGGAGGTAACTAATTTTGTTCGCCTATTTTACATCAAGTTGTCTAAAGGCGCGGAAGCCTATGGGCAGGAGCTCATTTAGCTAATACAGAAAGTACTCGAACTCGTAATAGAACTAAAATAGGAATGATCGGAATAAAATTATGGCCTAACCCTAACCACATACACCATAATACACATACCAAGGGAGAACCCATTATTGGGAATTTAACGTCATAGTACTGTTGTTGATAGCGATAGATTGTCACCTTGCACATTACTTTCTTTTCTTGTGTAAGGTTTAATACTACTTGCCTGAGCTGTTGAATATGATCTCTTCGTCGTCGCATTGTCCTATCCGTTTCGAATTACGACAACAGATACCACTATGCGCCCCCGCACTAATGAGTAATAAAATATGCAGTAATCTATTACAGCTCATCTTAGTGCAAAAACAAGTACAGATTGATTGATTCAGTAAGCCGAAAATGAGATGTTTTGCGTGTTATGCAATTTCCTCCGAAAGTGTGGCTGATATACATTTATAGATACCGGACACCACTGTGTGACGTATAGTGAGTTAAAAATCTAGATATCTGACCTACGACATTCGAATAGATTGTTCAATATTTCCAGGCTAGATGTAGTTATATTGTTCTCAGATAAGCTAACCTACCTCAATGATAGACTACGTTCTTCGTTGGCTGGATGTGTATATCTGATTGGCTGTATTTGTACGTGTATTGAGGGTGTATGAATATGCATTGGTTGTATATGAACTGGTATTACTATTATGGCCGTTTGAAAATTAACAATAATCCATTTCTGCGAAAATTTTTTATTGGCGCCCACTCAGATAGCGCTCAACACAACTACTGTAATGACATAAGATACTGAGGTTTTAACATTTGTTGATTAAGCCGTTTTTCTTTCATCTGGAGATAAATAAACATGAAAATCTTATCCAATTTGTTTTTCCATACTTTTCAGAAAGTGCAAACAGCTTTCACGATGTCCTACGCTGAATATTAACAGATGTTTCTCCGACTCTTGACCCCACAAACATTTCTCTTATACTTTTCCATCGCAACATTTTTGATGCATACTTCAAGAATGTTTTTACGAGTTGCCACTTAGCCTACAGACTGAAATACATTTTAGAAATTCTCGAAAAAACAAAATTGCCATTGCGTTACTTGATACACTCCTAAATTTTTGAATCAACTAACATCTGACATAAAGCCACTAAGACAAGCTAATGTTAACAGCCATACTAAAAGACGATCCAAAATCCAGTGTTCACAGCCACGCTTAAAATATGCCTGTGAGGAAACAGTGTCTGAGCGACGTCACAATTTCTAATAACTACACCTCCATTAACTTATTGCTCATCGTTAAACAAGGAAGTCGATGCACAGAGAAATAACCATCGTATGACATGTATATCAATGAATCAGAGAACAGAAGATTAAATCTATATTGTTACAGCGATATTGTCTTATTAATATTGTTCAAATGGATTCAGAATTTTAGTGTGGCAAGCAAAAAGGGCATCATTGAAGATAGACGGTTACTGTATATTTTTATCCCTTTACCCCAGATTTTCTCAAACTTTTTGCGCCGCGAATCTCTGTTTGGGAATCTTAGCTTCGATGGGCCCCCATCTTATTCTGTATCACGTTGTGTACCCAAACTACGATGAAGGATTATGTTTCATTTGCAACACAAACGACATTAATGTTTTGGACGAGATGGCTTTCACTGCACAATTTATCAATTCTAGGAAAAAACTGGACGCTCCGGAAGTATCCGTACCAATATGACGCACAACCTGAAAACCCCTAGGCTGGTATACATACCAAGTTCAGGTTGTGCATTATCTTGGTACGAATACTTCGGGAGCGTCCAATTTTTTCCTAGAATTGATAAATTGTGCAGTGAAAGCAATCTCATCCAAAACATTAATGTCGTTTGTGTTGCAAATGAAACACAAACGACATTAATGTTATGGATGATGTGACGAGCAAACTCGTTTGTCCGACTCTACGACAAGTCTCGACCTGTATTTTGTCATCATATTGGTAGAGATGAAATAGAGTCAAATTTTAATTGCCCTTTCTGACAGCAATGGATATTCGCCGCAACGATCAACCAAACAGATGCAATGGATTTTTGATTGAAATCAATGAAAAATAATCGATCAGACTATTTGCATATCGTTGTTCACTCATCGCAGACTCACAGGGGTCCTCGGACCCAAGTTTAGAAGACAGTGCAACCACTGAATGCCAACTGTGCATGTGGTTGATGGGACAAGTGAGGTTGATGTACTAATCCAGTGTTTAGAAAACTTTCTCGATCTCATACCCCCTTTGCAAAGTCTCTCAACACTTGTGGCCCTTTTTTTCTCTTAAAAATACTATAATTTGCTGTTTAAGCTCCTCGCTACGCTATAGATTCATTGCAGTCAAAAAATAAATAAGTCGGCGTAATTTGGGTGTCGCTGCTCGATAACCAGCATTGGTTCCTCGCGGCTTCCTTTACCCACTTGAAATGTGTGATTTTCTTGTTTCTTCATATTTTGTGTAAAACTGACCTTTTTATTGCTTGGAAAAAATAAATTTGACTTGACAACTAATGTGAGCGAGGTATCAAATTGGGCCCAGTGAAGTAATTTGCTCGTGGCCATGAGAGATTGGATCCATTGCCCCCTGAAGGGCCCGGTTCAGAAAACGCTGCGCTGAAAATATCCTCATACAATTTCAAGTCAATAGGTTTTCATGCAATCAACGTAAAAGTCTGATTACGTAATTTGCGCACAAGTCCAATAGTTCGTTTCAAGAAATATAGAACAATTATTTGAATATGATTTTCATGTTTACTGCCTGCTCATGCTTCGGGGAACGGAAAGCCGACAAGACGGTTTTGCCGCCAAATAGTCAACTCAATGTGTGTCATCCCATTTGCTTATGCTATTGCAGTAGACCGGGAGTGGGCAACTGAGGCTGAGCAACTGAATTGAAGATGGTCGATCTTTATGAGGAAAACCAACTGAAATTCGCTTCAAATAAGGGAAATGACCATTGAGTTATGGAAAAGCACGCCAATGGAAAAATACGCGAATTTCAGACGAGATGCGCATAGAGTATTGCCAATATTTGCGTCACAATACGTCTGCGAATGTGTGTTTTCTACCCTAAAATACGTGAAATCAAAGCATTGATCTGTTCTGACTGACACCAATGTAAAAGAACTGCTTCGATTGGCTACAACGACATACCATAAGTCTCACTAAGTAGAATGCATACTAATAAATGGCTTGTAAATTTCTGTCATTTCATGTTGGTTAGTAACATTTACAATAAACTAGCATTCTGGCACAGCTGAATAAAGGTATATTTGATGTTCGTATCAATCATGTGTGTTCTGGTTTATAATGTGGCTCTTCGCGGTATCAAAGTACGAAATGCAGCTCTTGGTCTCTGACTGCTTGGCCACGTCTGCAGTAGACGAATTAAGCAATATTTGTGTTGTTGTCGATAGAGACGTCTCCAGTAATAGGTCATCGTTAATTCTTAAACGGCCATACTTGTTATCTCATTTTTTGTTAATATTTTACTGAATCAAACAGAGCGACACAGACAACTCAAGGTTTGTGTTTAGGTCGTATTTGCTATTAGTTATTGAAAGAGTTATTGAAGTGATAACCAGCGTGCATCGAGCTGTATATTAAGAATAATAAGGCGTTAGAGTGAAAATTTTGAGATAGAAAGTTGTTGATACATCCTATGTATACTATATGGCGAAACTCCCGTAGTGTGTGTATAATTTTATTGAGATTTTCCCTATTCTAGTTCTATTACGAGTTTGGGGCTGTCTGTGTTAGCTCCACTGTCCATAGGTTTCAGTCCCTCCACACAGCTTGATGTAAAATAAGCGAACAAAATTAGTTACCTCCATATTGATACATACTTTGGCAGCGCCAAACTCAGTATTCTGTCAGGATATAAGCAGACTTTAAAATAGTACCAATCGTTTGAAAAAAAAAATAAGGCTGTTACAGTTCAGGCCAAAAGAGTTGGTTAATTTTATATTCATATAAACTGGAAACATGCTCAAACACCGTGCTGCGTGACAATAGATGTTCGTTTGTTATTAAACACACAACTGTTCAGGATGCTTGAGTATATTATAGATATAACATAGACATTATAGATCACAGCACTTAACACTATGCAGCAAGCAGAGAGTGTTAGCAAGCAAGGCCAACGGTGACAAGTATAGCATTAATAATGACGTCATAAATATCATCTTACAAAAGAGGCAGGCACTACGCAACATAGAGTAAACCACATTGAAAGGTAAAATGAAAATATTATTTGGTATTTCAATTAAAAAAAACAATTATCCATCTACAATATATATGTAAAATATTCAATCATATATTAGTCATGTTCAACAAAATTCTGTTCATTTTCGGGGCGCACTTAGCAAATCGCTATATTGCGCCGTGCTCTTTGGGAAACGATGCCCTAGGGTTTGTCATAATAACCACAGATACTGCGTGACCAGAAGCAGAAAACATTGAGTGCTTCCGAAGTGTTTGTACCAAGATGGCGCACAGCCTGAACATAATATTGTACCAGGTTAGTTTCAGGTTGTGCGTCATCTTGGTACTATTACTTCCGGAGCGCCAAACATTGAGTAGCCGATGAACGTTATCATAAAGAACTTGAAAGTTTATGAATAATTTGTAAAACTGTACTGTTGTACATACCAATTACGTGACTATCTGATATGATTACAGCACGACAGTTAGAGTCGATTAGTATTGGGTATTATCATATATATAAGATACAAGAAAGTGATGCTCAAATATATGGACACGGAAGCCAAAACGAAGTAGTACGGGTTGAAATAATAGCCTTCTCGCGAAAAATACAATAAAAGGCCTACAACTGTTTCAGGGGACCTTCATTAAACCCCTGGAACAACTTCACTGAAGCCCATGGGCGATCTAACCCAAGTAAAGAAAATTTTGGGGCTTCCCGACCCGCCATTCCAAATGTTTATCAGTGACACTGATACAATTGTAGCATGTTTGGAGAAAATTGCATTAATTACGCGAAATATCTCAATTTCAGCTGACTAAATCAATCTATCTGTATTTGCATCAAGATGTGTTATAATAGATTACATATTTTATTACTCATTATTGTGGGCGCGAATGGTGGTCTTGGCTGCCGCTTTTGGAAATGGACAGGAGAATGCGACGCCGGAGAAATCGTATTCAGCAGATACGGCAAGTACACCCCATAATAGTAAAATAACGTTTCATAAGGTAAGAAAGTAGTGGCCACGGTGACAATCTGTAGCTATCAATAACAGTAGTATTAGTCAGTCAGTAGTTTATTTTCACATACCGAAAATACGAAAAGTACAAACAGAATTAGCTAAAATAAAAGAAAACTGTAAAAGGTAGACGCGGTAAACCGTCGTCACATTTGAATTATGATGTCAGGTTTCGTTTTGATTAGAACGTTAAGATATGGTTCCATTACATTTGAACCCACGTACATTTGAACCCATGACAATTGCACCTATATGCTATTGCACCTATGGAATTTTTTTTGTTTCACGGATAGTTAAACCCATACTAACCCTAACCCATGGGCTTTAGCACCCGCATATAGATTGAACCCGTGGATATACGCATGGGTTCAAATGTACGGTCATCTTAAGATATTATTATATTGCCACGCGGCTACGCCCCTATGTTCGAGACGGTAAATAGGCTGAGTTGTTTACCCCCCTCAATTATGCACAGGATTGGCAGTCAAATATGTCGTTTACTTTTGCGTTTAGGTTTCAAACGGGATCTGGAAAACAAGTTACACGGCCAACACCTCGTTATTCCTACCGTATATAAAGCAGTAACAGATCACGTCAGCAACCCCGATCCATCGAAACCACTGGTTCTTTCATTTCATGGTGAGCAAATATAATTGAAATATTTAATGTTATAAAGCAGGGGTGTGCTACCTGTGGTCCACGAGGGAAAATCAAGGCCCGTGGAGAAACGCCAATCTTGAATGGTGTGCGGCCGCGAAGAAAATTTTCAATTCAGTTTAATCTCGTACGTGCGAGATTTCCGATGTGCGTTGGAAAGCCTATACATGAATCTAATTTATTATCCATGCCTATGACGTTACAGCGCTGTAACAATAAGCTTGTGCGAAGCGAGCAATGGTTATATGGTCAATAACCACATTTTGTGCCTGCAACTACAACGGCTAGAAAGCCTATGTTAAATAAAGGTGCGGCCGCGTGTCGACTAAAATTTTTGAGAACATACTACTGTCATTCTTAAAAGTATATGTGCCTTTTTACAGACGATGTTCCACAAACAATCGTTTCGAAATAAAAAATACACAAAACTTTATTATCTTTCTCAAATCTACCAAATCTTTCCGTCCCGTATTTTTGGAATAGTCTGACAACGCCAAATAAACGACCCTTCTTTGCTGATGGTCCTGGCATCATAGAATCTGTATACTAAAGGCAAACAAGAAACGTACCCAAACTATTTACTGAAAAACCTACTACTAAAATACTGCTGTCTTCAAATTTAATAAACCTTTTACCTATCCGATGCCACTTTCAAAATCAATTCATAATGGTAAGTTAACAAATAACATTTGCTGTACAACTTCATAAATCAGGCAGAAATGAAGATAAAGGGTGGCACAGACGAACTATATCACGTACGAATGTAGCCAATTGAGTTCTGTACTCTTTCTGACTGAATTTCTTAAAGAGCTCACTCAGTTGTTATGTCATAATTTATTTTTTGTCGACATAGGTCATCAAAGGACAAAAAGAGTTTAAATATAAACGGATTATTAACAAACGATAATGAATAAAGAAACACCGAGTTTCATGAGATAATTCAGAGTCTGGAAACTTTTTATCTGAAGGTGAATGATCTCGTTTCCGAGGCCTCGCTCGCGTGCCAGAGATTGCCCACCCCTGCTCCAGGCTTAGGGTAAAATCTCATCAAAAATCTAGTTCTTACACGAGAGACGCCATCAGATGTTTGGCATAAAAATATTTTTATCATTATGTCGTTATTTTGTTCCAGGCTGGACCGGAGGAGGAAAAAGTTTTGTTTCTAAAATTATCGCAAATAATTTATTTATGAGGGGGGAACGCAGTTCGTATTTTCACCAATTCAATGCAAACATTCATTTCAAACATGAATATATGGCGAGCGTGTATAAGGTATTGTCAGAGCTTTTGTCATAAGGTGAAAATTGATAACCAGAAAAAAATAGAATTTTCTCCTATTCAAATCGACGAAGACCCAACGGAAACGCTGAGTCGTAGAACGAAATACCACATTTGAAGTCAGCTGCTAGTCGAAATCGGATTCACTAGTAACTGACTAATTCAAATTGCCCCCAACAGCTTGGACCTGGTGGATCATTCGACAGAAAATTTGGTTTATTCTTCCGGTTAATTTTGCGTTTTTAATATGTTTATTAACATCCAACTTCCACATGTTTAATGGGTAACGGACACCGGAACGTTGTATGTGTACCAGGTTAGGTCATAATTTTTATTCCAACTTACCTTATTTTAGTTCTATTACAAGTTCGGGGACTAGCCAAGTGAGTCCCTTAGTATTTGGACCTGACATTATAGCCTAATCCTAACCTTGTACACATACTGCGTTTCGGTGTCCGCCATCTTGGTCCACATACTTCGGGAGTAGGCTACCGTTTATTGGACACGAAGAAGACATATGGATCGTTTTGTTATTAATATGTTGTAGTATTCTTCGTGTTGTTATGAAAAATCGCTTTTCTCTTTAATCACTGAACCAATTGCTCTAAAGTTTAGTGGTTACAGATTGTGTTTTTACCCGTACTACTCCGCTTTGACTTTCGTGTCCATATATTTGAACATCGGTCTTTTATATCTTTTATGATATTACACAATACTAACCGACTCTAAACGTCGTGCTGTAATCAAGACCCTGTATTTGCCCTAACCCCAAATCAGGCGGTCACGTGAAGGGCATGTGGGGTTGGTTTTTCTTTTCTATTCTATTTTTTACAGGACCAGTTACATTCAAAGATACGTCGCAGTGCATCGGACTGTGAACGTTCAATATTCGTATTTGAAGAAATGGATCACATGCCAGAAGGAATAATTGATGTGCTGACGCCCTTACTGGAACCTAATGCCCACGTGGACGGAGTGGATTATAGGAAAACAATTTTCATATTTATAAGGTATTTGAGTGCACTCTTACATAATCATTTACAACTAAGAGGGCACGTGGCGGCGCGTTTGTACCGTCAGGCCGCAAACAGTAATTTACCTCGCAAAAATTTCCACTGGAAAATGACAAAACTTTGATTTGTAGTTATTGCTGATTCGAAGGCAGTTTTCGGTATTCGTTGCTCCCACACTTTATGATTTTAAACGGTATTGTGAAAAGGCGTAATATTATGTGTAACTTCAATCGATAACTTTGATTCTTTCTTCCTGTATATACTCGATACGGTTGTCGAGCTGGTTACGACTTCGCTTCGGATGTAGGGGAAGGTTGGGACACTTTTTTTCTTTTGCATATTTTGAGCCGTCAATTCTGCATATTCCTTTAAGTTTGCGGGACTAATGCATAGATGGGTAAATGTAGTTTTTATTCAGCGACTAAGAAATTCCCTTGCGACACACATCATACTACCAAAATGCTTTGAAAAACGTCTGTCGAGCGTCCCTCTATACCCCACTTGTGGGGCACATTCGGACAGACCCTGGGGCACAATGGTTCAGCCTGTCAAAATTCAACGAAGAATGCCCTAAAAAATAAGCAATTAATCAGCATAATCGTCTAAGGAACAGGAAGACTTCAAATTTGAGGATTTAATATTTTTAAAATCAATGTTCAACTGAAATAGTTCAGATATTTTGACAAAAAATTTCGCAAACAAATTTGATTATTTCCTTTCTCGAATCTAAATCTGGAAATATTATCGATTCTCGAATATATTCTATATTGGGCCATGGGTCGAAAGAAACCATAATATTACACAAAATATGACGCATCTCGAGGTCTCTAAGCACTTATTGTATCAAACACTGTCGAAATGTGCCCTGTAGGGCATGTACCACTGAACCCCGATCCATTGTTCCCCATAGGAAACAAATATTTTCAGACCATCCCACGGAAAAATTCGGAAGGCACAGCCACTCGCCAACGTTATGAATATTTTACAGTGGACTAAAGCTGAGAAATATTAGACGGTGGTTTGTCATGTTGGAAAGGCTAAAGTAGGAAAAAGAAAAAACTGAAACGGTGAATTTTTAGTTTTAACCTCCAAAAACCAATTTCACCTCATAGCTTGCGCCGCTCTACCCATACGTTGTCCGTTCGCGGGGACGTTGTAACTCCCCAAAAGGCGGATTGAAACATCGAACCGTGGACCGTGGATATAGTATCAGAGTGAGAGCTGATTTTTCACTGTGCCCCATGTCCCAACGTGCCCCACCTTCCCCTAAGTCATGCACCGCTTCTAGTAATGAGTTTGACATGGTTATTCAACCAGAGTTTCCACAGCATCATACGAGGCACAAAACACTAAACCAGAGGTGGTGAACCTGCGGCTCGCGAAGTATTCAGGCGATTGAGTGTATGTTTGGCTTGAAGTCATGACTGTACAGAGAAAACAGGAGAGCCAGTATTACCTATTTCACTGGCAACGCCATTTCCAATAATCTTATTACTGTCAACGCTATTTCCAGTACAGCTTGTTTTGTTGGATCATCAATACTTTTAACAACGGATCAAAATAACCGTTGTTTCAGCCTAGTTACGCCGTCTTAACGGCAAACGCATAGGGATTAATTAGGAGGGGTAATCTTACTTTGTTTCGGCGCACGATACAAGGGACATCTGAGAGTAATAAAAAGTTTATAACTTTAGTTCAATGATTAAAACAATGGAAGATCTTCAAAAAAGGCTTACTTTTCAAAAATCGGTTAGTTCTCACAAGATGGATTCGTTTATAATTTCTGTATCCATAGACGTTTTTTATGGCGGAGGCTTTGTACAAAAGATATCGAAATACTTATCTGAAGGATAATTATCTAGAATTTTTGCGTATCAACCCGACACAAAAGGTCATGAAGTAAGGTTCGATAAGACTTGAAATACGTCCAAGGATGCCGTCAAAATTACCGAAAGGTAAATAGGAGGAAAACCGGAAATTTCCATGATAGTGTCCGCCGCAATTAGACAGGCCACTTGTAAAAAAGCCTTTTTTTATACGGATAATGTTTTTTCTGTTACGTTATGTTGTCGGGTAATGATTTTGCAGTTGCGCAATGTATTCAATTGACGACTGATTCGAGTCTATTTCTAATGTCTTGCTTTATTAATTTAATTGTGTGCTCAATGTGACCTGCGGTTGCATCGACAAAAGAACATAATTATGAAATATCACGGCAATCCACGGCCATAAAAAGTATTTCAAACTGCCCGATTATATTTAGTTTTGATTCGAATTTTTGCGATGTTACTAATTATACAAATTTAATCTGTTCTTGCGACACTGACTCCGCTCTATTACAATGCTACCACCAAGATTATTTTCACTTATCAACGTTAGGAAAATCCTTAAATCTGCGATAAAATATCAAAGACTACAATTTAGTAGTACAGTGGAAACTCTACCTACGAAATCAATTCGTTCCGGAAGCTCCTTCGTATATAGAAAATTTCTTCAGTAGGATCACATTTTACCTGTAAATGCCCTAATCCGTTCTAAGCCCCCGCAAACCTTGGACATGATATATAACACAACTAATTTTTGTTATAAATCGTCACTGTTTATCGTCAGCGTGATTGTCATTTAGTCCATCGACATCGTTAAGCTAAATTCCGCCACAATTATCTCTCAACACAGGTAATGAGTGTCGTGTTACGATGTGTATTAATTTTTATACTATACGTTGGTTCAGAAAAATGCAAATTTTATAACGCGATCATAATCGAATGAGTGGACCCGATACCTAAATTTCCATCCGCTGAAGACGGAGAATCAAGACCGTAAATCATATTTTATTTTTCAAGATGGAGCTGATTTAAATATTATTTGTCGGCCTCTATTTATAAATTAATACCGCTAACTCGAACTGGACAGTATTATCATCAACGGCGCCGAGCTAAAAAATAAAATGCTCATACTAAATTATATTTTATACGTTGTAGATTGCAAGAAATGCAAAACTTGCGCCGCATATGTTTGACTTCGATCACGATAAAACATAAAATAAACAGTAAATATCTTCAACCAATACGTGGACAGCGGCGCTGGGATGTGTGCGCGATATTCGATATTCTTATAACCACTAAAAGGACATTCGGAGGTCGCGATATTCTAATACATTTGAATATTAAATTCGTTAGTCGATGTAATATTTTTACGAAAAAAATTTCGTAAGTTGGATTTTCCGTATCGAGAACCTTTCTTGGGTAGAGTTCCCACTGTACAATATAAATTGACTGTATAGTTATACCTGGGTAGTCGATCAAAACATACGAGTCAAAAATGATACTGTATTCGAGCGAAAATTCGGATCTCCAACTGCCGAACCAAGCGGAGGTCACGGCCGAGTGAGATGACGAGCTTATGCAGTTGAGAGTTTACAAATCGCCAATTCGTCCTGATAAGAAGTTCGTTTTTGTTGATAAAAATTCCTAGGTATCATATTAATATATTATGACGAAAAAGTTGTGCGGCCCGCTTACTCAGCGGTAAAATGGCTTCGTCACCCCTGCACTAAACTATCGCGAAGATAATGATACACTTTAACAACAGTAACACCGGCGGTGACAGAATTACAGAAATGGTTCTTCAACGTCGGAGACATGGTGGAAAGAGAGAAGAAATCAAACTGAAAGAAACCCAAAGAATGCTAGAACTTGTCGTTTTTAACGAGCAGAGTGGACTGAAGAACAGCATCTTGGTTAGCAAGTGAGTGTTTTTTTTTAATTTTATTTTTGGGAGTTGAAACAAATCAGGTAGCTGAGACCTCTGACTCGACACTCAATTATCGCATTTGTCGAGGAAGCTTATTTGGTCATGCTTCATTTACTTATCGAGGTTCTTATAGAAAGTCTGTCTCGAGATCAAAAAGTAAGTGTTGACCACTTTCTATTCAGCGCAATAGCATACTAAATCAAAGCTATTATAATGTATTTAATTAGCATATGACATCCGGCTCTAGTAATTGAACTTTACAAAAAACACTCAGAGCAAAGTTACAATGCAAAAGAGAAACAACACACATTGCAAACGGAATAAAAAGTGACTGCTGACGAGCCAAGACGCGACTATCATATATTAATAAATGGGGAGTCTGCGATAAATGAGAAAAAAAAATTAATCTCGAAAGTAGTGATATCGTGGTGGATTCCAATTATCACGAGTTTTGGAAAATGTTCTTTGGGTTGTAATTTTATTAAAAATTGTTAGCTCATACTCTTTTTGTTGCTTTTATTCTATCTGTTTGAATTTCCCATTGAAGTTTAGAGTTATCGAAATGTAGAAACTCTTGTTTGTATGACAAACTCACTAATTTATTTAGTGCGAGTGTCTTTGCTGCATAAGGCGATCTTGTGAAATTTTTTATTATCACTTATCGATCTTAAGATCGGTAAGTATGTTGATATTTGTCTGTTAGATGCACGCGATATCTCACGAAAGCGAGGTTGAAGGTTGAATCTGCTCCAAATTTTGGATGTGCATTCATCATAGCTCAGACCAGAAGCCTATTGATTTTGGATAAATTATGTCGTAAAATTAGCGAGTTATTAATTAATTAGTGATTGGACATGCGGTGTCACTATAGAGTCATGAATCGAAACCGCAGTTTCGAACGATAAGTTTTTGGTCTCCGAACGATATTCTCGTTTTTATTTTAATGGTTCTTATAACTGGATTAGTTTTGTGCACCAGAAAAATGATATTATGCGTTGGGTGTCCAAATGCTTCGACCCGTTGTGAGAATGTATTCTATAACAAAATATATAATTCTGGGATTTGTTAGTAAAATACTATACAGCAAGAATCAAAACCAAATAATCATAAATACGAGAATATCGGTCAGAGACCGAGGACTTATCGATCAAAAGTTAGGGGATCCCCAAAACAGCGCTCTTACTCCATATTGACACCTTGTGTCCCATCACTAATTAATTAATAACTCGCTAATTATACGACATAATTCGACCAAAATCAATAGGCTTCTGGTCCGAGATATGATGAATGCACATTAAAAATCTGGAGCAGATTCAATTTCGTTTTCGTGAGATATCGCGTGCATCTGACAGACAGAAAAATACCTATCAACATACTTACCGATTAAAATCGATAAGTAATAATATAGATATTTATTAAAATTTAAATTTTTTATAGGAATTCAATTTCCCATTTTATACCTTTTCTACCACTGGAAGGATCACACGTCCGGAATTGTATCATTGATGAAATGAAACGTCGAAATTTTCACGGAACCGAAACTTTTATAGAAGAAGTTTTGGAAGAATTACTATGGTATCCTGAGGACATAAAGTTGTACTCAACATCTGGTTGCAAAAAGGTTGAACAAAAATTTGCACTTGTCAGGGATGAATTGTAATAGTAGCTGGACGTTTGAATACAATCTTGGTTGTGACATAAATTGCCAAATAATCCAACAGGACATATTCTGAATGTTATGGAATAAATGCTTTGATCATGAATATAAAAATGACGTTAATTTAAACGCAAACTAAAACTGGCAAAATCAAATTGAGTTTTCCCAATCATTTTGTTGTCAATTGCCATCACAATGTGAGCACTGAGCATTCTTAATATCAACTACTTATTTTTGTCTCTGCTGTTTTGAATTTCGATTGAAAAATATTTTAAAGATGATTTGTGGAGGTAGCTGATGTGTCGATGTGATAATACGAGGTTATGATACCTGTAATTAGCGTTATTTTTCAATATCATACATATAAGGTGTATTGTATTGATAACTTGCGACGTTGCTAGCCTCTGATACAAGTAACCAAAGAAAAATGACCAAAGAAAAATGGATTTGCCGTACCAATGATCATTGCTGGGCATTTTGAAATGATATTTAGCTTACCATATAGTACTCAAAATGTAAGAATTAACTTTGCGAGCGAAAATAAAATATAATTTATTCATTATATTTGATAATAACTGGACTTGGGGAATATTACGAAGTTCTGAATTGTGATAAAACTTCATTATACCAGTTAACGTAATAACGCCATAATACCAGTTTCTAGTGACCCTTCCTGTCAATTGCAATGAAATTCGTTACTGTAATGCATAATTTTTTTTTATCTGTTTTGAATTTGTGATGTGATTTCTTGCACGACGAAATAAACGTATCGTCTATTACCCCACCCCCAGCGAAAAATAATTTCACTTATCAACATTCGCATACTAGATTATCCTTAATCATTTTGGATCAGATCAAACAGCTATTTTTAGCCGATGGCGATACAAATACCGAAAAAAACCGACATTGCCCTTACCCGATACGCCAGTAAACCTCTCGTATACTTATACTAATCTCTACAAATTACTAAGAACATACCACTGGGTTCCCATCGAATATGAGCCGATACATATTTAAATTTTGCGATGTGTAAATAAACTCGGGTCATTGCGATCCCTAATGAATTTTTTTAGCTTTTGTTGTATTTGTGTTTCCCTTATTGCTTGTCATTTTTCTTTGCTTATTTTGCTCATAACTCAGAAATATATGCAATCAATCAATGCCCACATAATTCTATAATAAGATTCAAGCTGAGCTGGCAACATCTGACCAAGCGACACCTACACAAATAACAAGAAACAACGCAATAACAACACCAGAGCTACGCCCAAATATTGGACACGTCTGACTCACAAATGTAGTAACACAAGCGATCCGAGTCACCACTATAATATAACGCCGGTACCGCGCCATTCACTTCACAAACAAATCTTATCGAAGCGAGAATTACGTTCGCTCCTCAGCTGATATGGCTTCGCGGTATCGCCACAAGGTGCTATTTTTTATCCTGATCACATCTTCTCACTCAAAAAACGGATCTTTAAAAGTTCACAGAAATTTTAGAAATGAAATAAAAGTAATAGCCTTCTGAAGAAAAATTCCATCTTCAACCACTGAAAATTTCAAGCAATTGGTCCAGTAATTGAAGAGAAAAGCGACTTTTTAAAAACGTGTCAAAGAACAGCAAGAAGAACAACATAATATTGAAACGATCGTTATGTCCACTTACGTGTCCAATAAAGATCGCTGCATAGGTACAGCTCTCTCCGGCAAATTTAACACTAATTAGATCAGGGTGGTCCAACATTGCGAGGTCCTACTTCGGCAGCCTACCAGTAGTGAGCTTTTTTGGGGAATTGTGCTCAGTGTGACACAGATGTTAAAGCGGGAAAGATGATTTAATTTGAACTTACTATAATATATTTCGAAATTTAACCAAAAAAAAAATCCCCCCCTACCATTCAATAAGTGAACATCGGTGATCTTTCGGTCAACAGCAAGCTACTCCCTGACCTTCTCGATAGTGCGTCCCGTGTAATGAATCGAAAGGTCGGATACAAAGTGTAAATGGGTATGTGATACTTGATTGACGGAAGATAATACGGCAATGCAAACAGATGAATAAGCTACAGAATACTAATGTATTCTGCGGTATAGAATATCACGATTGCCTTCGGCTAGGCTATTGCTTACCGCATATTTGAAGAACTCTTTGGGTTACCGGTACCAACTATAAGTCTATGGCTGTACGACCAACATGTTTGATTAAGATAGCAGCCTACGTATCAATAATAAGCCTCAATCAGACATCCATCTATTGTAAAGCAAATACAGAAAACCCCTCCCTACTTCGACGACTTTATTGTTGATTTTAGTAATTTTTTTCAAAAGACAGTGACCGACTCGATGACCTAGCGGTCGCTTCGTTACAGCCTCTTCACAATGCCTAATATTAATTTTGAATGTTATATACACTACCTTACATTGTTGACGGAATAGAATACTACTACTACTTGAACTAAGGCAACGCTAAATGCGAAGCGCAACCTCAAAAACGAACCAACCTGAGTCTGAGGTCCAGGAAAAGCGTGGGCATGTGACGTCTATGTTGCGTCATAATGGACCTATCACTGACCCAAGAAAAAAACCTTCCAATACTAGCTTATGGCAAAATGGTTTACGATTTTTGAATATTGTAATTAAACTAAAGCTTCTCGAACGACGTTATGACAATTAAATTGCAACTTTTAGAAATACAACGCATAACGACAAATATCCCACAAACCACGAAAACGAGGCAATTTTACAAGCATACTCGTCTTAGCGAAAGACGTTAGTGAGAGGCTACAGAAATTGCCATTGTTACGTCTAGTAGAATTAGTTCCGATTGATCAATTTTACGGGAAATCGAAATCAGTCCTCCTGAAGTATGTGAACCAAGATGGCGGATACCGGAACGTAGTATGTGTATCTACAAGGGTCGGGAACCTCGAGCACTACAAGAATCCGCGGATATACACATGGGTTCAAATGTATGGTCACCTCTTGGTTCGCATACTACGGGGGGCGCCAGGAAACTACGTTCATCAAAACATGCATTCCCGTGGACAGGTGATCAGCCCAATTGTACTATCATATACATTCAAGCATTTCAATGTCAACAATTAGGGCGGCCAATTTAATTAATCCATAATTTCATTCCGATCTTAAATATTTTACTTCCATTACGAGTTCGGGGACCGTCTGTGTTAGCCAAATGAATATACCCCCCGACGGTAGGTTTCCCTCCTTCCACACGACTTGATGTAAAGTAGGCGAACAATATTTGTCACCTCCATACTACCATACACATACTTCTGGAGCGCCCTTTCATGACCGCAAAACTAAATGACTGATATAAAACAATCACTTCGACAAATTACTTTTTCAGAAATTACTGCACAGCGGGAAAACTGCGCATGTTTACCATCGTGGCTGGGCTTTGAGCAAAACAAATGGCGCTCGGGAAGAATTCGTACCAAGATGACGCACAACCTACGCTGGTACGCATACTATGTTCAGGTTGTGCGCCATCTTGGTACGAATTCTTCGAAAGCACCAAATAAATGTTGCCGAATTTTTACTTTGCTAGTGCTACCGCAGTGATACTTTTACATATAAATTCACTGTTGAGCAATGCCTCAATACTAAACATAAAACAATCAGTGGAATTGGTTTATGGGATAAGAAATCTTACATACGGTATATAAAATTGATTATAGTTTTCCCAATTGAATTTAAACATTTTAAAACGGAACGCCGAGAACCGAATATTATAATTATTCTCGTATCATCCTCGTCATATTTGGTGCCCCTGTCATAGCATTGTAGACCAGTAAACAAATATTTAATACAAAGCGCAGTAAGTAATGTTCTCAGTTCAATCATTCTCAATATAGCAATGCAACTACAGTGGGTAAATATGAAGCATGCTTATATAAGCCTAGGCTATCAATTCGAACATTGTGCATTTCCACCGCTTCAGAGATACCATGCGAAGTAGATAAACGAAATATGCCTCTTTACAATTCAAGCACTACAGAGAAGTTGATGTCAACAAGAAAAATAGATTAGATAGAATACAAATATCATAAATTTCAAAGTCATTAATTGCACGAGATAAAATATCTCAGCCATCATTATCATAAATAGCCAGTCTCATCGAAGTTTTAAACAACTTCGAACTCTTTTTACATAAAAAATTGTTCTAATATTCTATGTTGCACTTCACTTGAAATATTGCAAATCCACTAAAAGGCACCAAAATTATGCTAAATTGAACGAGAATTTGGAAAGCATTGCTGAAGAGTCCAATCCACAATAAAGTATGAATAAGTTTTCTATTCATTTGGAGTTATACTATTGCATAGGATTGTTCAATACCATCAGGGTAAGGTTGAAGGAACTTGATTGGAGAACTTTACTTGATCCTGAAATATGAATAAAAATTAGATTCATCTGTTCATGTCACGTATTGCACATAAAATTCAAATATTTTATGATGTTATCAAGCGTTTTTTTTTTTTAATTAAGAGCACACCGGCACAAAAAGAGCTCTGTAGGAAAGCTGAACAATATGGCAAGCCATGGTTATTGAAACCACCAGTTGACCAGTGAATGTTCACAGACACACGGACTTGGATGATGGATGAAGTAATAACTAGCCATCGGCTATGGACCAGGTTTTTAAAGTTATTTATGAGTCAAGAATCTTACTGCCAACCAGCATAAAAAGATGATTAAAGGGCATAGGAAGGTGGCGAACCACAGTCTCTCGTCTGGATACCAATGTATAAAAATTGTTCACCAGACTAGCTTTTTAAATGCATGGACTTGGGTGCTCCCGAAGTATGTGCACCAAAATGACGCACAACCTGAACATTGTATGTGTACCAGGTTAGGGTTGTCAGGTTGTGCGCCATCTTGGTGCACACACTTCTGGAGCGCCTGGACTTGTTTCATGAAGGCAGTCATGAGAACCCAGTGGCTGTAACGAACCAGCAATCCTCTCACACATAATTATTCTCTCCGGAATTTGAATGAAAATATCCACGCTGGGTAATCAGTAGTTAATTCGGCTTGTATTTCTGTCTGTCAGTAGAAGCCCTTTATGGTTACCCGTACTCTGAAGTAAAATTTCCAATACCAGGATGAGACATGGTTGGGACTTGTGACACTTCATAAATACCAAGATATTATCCATTTACATGTCTAGAAATCTATGGAAAGTTAGTTTTCCCCAACAGTATTGACTTCAGCGTTTCAAGTTTTTTGTTTCACAATATGTTATGACATGAATGTTGTATAGTTGCTCGTAACTCCCACTTCAGTACTATTTCATTAAAAATCGCGAGTTAAAAAATAACCATTACCCACTCACATATATTAGAATCTTCAAAGATATCACCCTTCTTTTATGATGGAGACTTTTTGAGCAACTTTTTTGCAACCAGATTTCGAGTATAAATTAACTCCCTTTGGAAACCATGACAACTCTTTCAATACTTCATTTATAAATTTTTCGTCCATCCTCAAATTTTGTCTCTTGATTTCGTCGATTACGCAATTTCGTACATGCGATCTTTCCAATGGCAGAAAAGGTACGAAATGATCAACTAAGTTTCTGAAAAAATGGAATTTTCATATTCATAATGGGAAGGGGAAGCTTAATTGGGTGGAATATGACTTCTCGTGTTGCTGAGAATCGGGGAAAAGTGTGGTTAGTTCCCTTCGGTAATAGTCCAGATCATGTATGTGAATAATTATCCAATAATTCAAGACAAATAAACTTGAATGCTAGTTCAAATGAATGGTTCTTAAACTATTTAAGCCGAGCCCCCATTTAAGAATTTGTCTCAAGTCTCACGCCCCCTCTCAAAAAAACTAGGTAACAATAAGCTACAAAGAAAATGCATATATTTTTATTTTTAATAAGCTTCACGCCCTTTCAACAAAATTGTCTACGCCACCCCCTCCCTTGTGAACCACTGGTTTGAACCAGAAAATCTTGATATTATATGACCACCCAGAGACGGTGAGAGTAGTTAAATACTCAAGCAGATTTAAAACTGAATCCACACAAAGGGGGCGTGTACATTTTTTTGAGAGGGCGTGACGCTAATTAAAAATATTTGTTAGATTTATTCTTGCCTGCCTTATTTTGGATATTTACATTTCTTTATTGTTTAGAGATTGTGATTCCACCCATGTGGAACGTGTTTTTTGACTAAAACATACTTTTGTCTTACTATCTGTTATTTGTAGCTTATTGTTAGCTAGTTTTTTTGAGGTGGGGAGCGAGACTTGACAAATTCTAAACGGGGGGTACGGTGTCTATTTCTATTTCAGCCAGATTTGATTTTTTATGCTTGATAACAAGATTGATCGTTTTTTCTCCAGATCAATATCTTAGAAACAAAATGTTGTGAATTAAAGGTCGATTAGGAGAACTGAAACTGAAGAAATAAACAGTGTTGCCAGGTAGGGATGGGCAATATAGAATACCGAATCCGGAGGATTCGAATCCCAAAGTATTCGAATCCAACAGGATCCGATAACAGGATTCGGTTTCCGCCTCTCCGGCGCCATGCGTCGATTTTTGCATTTCGGGTTTCTAAATATCGATTAAAGACGAGCGTTTTTCTCGCGTGGAAATCTCTCTCGTTTAACTAACTAGACTTGCGTCTGCTCTGAAAGAACCCGTAAAATCGGTAAACTTCAAACACTGTAATCTCAATCGGCGTATACTGGACAGGAAGTCGGCGAAGTACATCTCATGGCGAAGACTCGTTATTGCACCATTTTTGCGTTTTCGCCGGGCGTTAATTTTTGTATTTCGGATTTCTAATTTATCAATTAAAGACGAGCGAATTCTTTCTCGCGTGGAAATTTCTCTCGTTTAATTAAACTTGCCTAATCGCAAAGAACCCGCAAAATCGGTAAACATCAAACACAGTAATCTCAATCGGCGTATTCTGGACAAGAAGTCGTGAAGTACACCTTGCGACAAAGACTCGTTATTGCACCATTTTTTGCGTTTTCCTGCTTTGCTATCTAGCGAGGGTTTAATAATAATAATTATTTGTGCGACTTACTGGCGATATTCCGATAATCTGATTGCAACAATCTTCAATTGTTTACAGGCGTGCCTTGCTTCATTTTACATTACTGTAAATGATTTTCCGCGACCGGCGAGTTTTCCCCAGAAAATGATGCATGTAAATCAAAAGCCAGGCGTAAAATGTTATGACATTACTTGCGATTAATTTAAATCAAATATTATTTTGAAATAATTTTATTACTTTTATTACACCAGTTTCCGAAATACAAAGTTATATCGCATAACACGACGATCTGTCGCATTTAAATTCCACTCCCAAAAGATTACATATATTTCGGTCCGTTTTTATCGTTCAAGATAGACGCACGTTTGATCGAGTGTCTGTAGTAATTTTATTCGCCGATAAACTTTAAAAAAAGATGCCACATCTGGCGAAAATAGTTACGTATTGAGTTTGAGTAGGGCCAAGTCTGGGTAGATAATGATATGTTTTAGAATATTATTAGAAGATTATATGTTTTATAGAATATGATAATTTACGGGAACCTTGTTTTGCACGTCTTGATGGCACAGAATAATAAGTTGATTTTAATTGATAGTGGTTAAATTTAATATTTTACACCGGTCGCATAGGTTGCAGTGGCCACACGCTGGTCCTGCATCTAATTAATTCTCAGCGGGTGTGTTTTAGTACACTCGACACTCTATAACATTAATAATGATTTAATGCCGTTTCATATCTATTTTTGTATTTAACCGCTTACTATTAAAGTGTTTGAAGCGTAATTTAACATATAGGTATTTAGAGATTACATACATTTGGAACAATTGAAAGCAAAAATATTGTAATATTCTTAGATTTCATTGTCCTGGGAAATGCCTGTTTAGTATCAAATCAAATCCAATGTTAAGGACATTTTCAAATAAATAATACATTTATAGTAATACATTTACAATTTTTGACATCTAAATCCAGCAATCAGGAAAATTCCCTCTATTTGAATAAGTATGAAAATAGAATAGGATTCGGTATTCTGGATTCGATTTAACTATTCTAGAATATTCTAGAATAGTAAATTATTCTACATTGCCCATCCCTATTGCCAGGAATTAACAAAAGGAAATAATACAAAATATCAACCCAGCCAGATAGTGAAAAGTAAAGGAATCTCACTTGTGAACCAACTTGCTTCGCTTCAAGCCACTCTGTGCGTTATAAGCAACAAGTTCTAATGGTTCCTGCATGTCGCGCAACCTTATATCTTCTCTTTTCTTCCCATTTTGCCAATGTTTGTAAACTACTTCTGTTATTTTGTCTCCCCCTGTGTTACTGCATAGAAAAAAGAGAGCGATGCTGAAATTTATGGATGTGAAGATAAAATAAATAATAGCAGAAGCTTTTAGGTTTCCATTATCATCACAAGGAGAGAAAAGTCGATAAGACGGCTTAATCATGTGGTGAACCGTACACTCTCGTCTGGTTACCAGACAATATCAATCCATGTCGGGTATGGGATTAGTTAGACAGTTGTTGCTGTTTAATCGCAGCATAGCAGTAGCTTATAGGGTAGGATTCAGATATTTATCCCCGGAGAGAGGATGAGACTACTTAATCATATGACACACGGTGTCTCGTCCAGTTACCAGTCTATGTTAATCATGGAATCTGTTAGCAGTCAGACAGTTGTTTGTTTCGTATGCATGGACATGGTGGAGAAAGTCGTAACCGTCCAGCAGTTACCACCCTATGCCGTGAGGAGTTCAGCAATCCTACTACATATAAATGTGTTTGCCCTTCCGTGGGTTACATAGAAATCTATTCCTATCATCATCAGTCCCTTGAATTAAAAAAAAATGGGTGCTCCCGAAGTATGCGAACCAAGATGGCGGACATCGGAACGTAACATGGGTAACAGATTAGGGTTAGGCCATAATTTTTTTCGAATTTTCCTTATTTTAGTCCTATTATCAGTTCGAAGACTAGCCAAGAGCCTCCCGTAGTATTTATACCTAAAATTATGGCCTAACCCTAACCTAGTACACATATTAAATTCCGATGTCCGCCATCTTGGTTCGCATACTTCGGGAGCCCCAAAAAATGCTTTTGTGTGAATAATTGAATAAATGTCTCCATATATCGAAGGCCTAGTGATATAATCTTGGAACTATCAACAAGCATTTTAACTTTATTCAGAACAGTACACACTTGGTTATGTTCTGTTTGTTTTTACTAGAATAACTTGATAAATTACCTCAAAAATATGAAAATTGTTTTCCTAAAATCCACCCCATCTATATGGGTGCTATGTCCCAGAAAAGGCACCAACACATCAATCATTCCTTCTGGCATATGATCCATTTCATCAAATATAAATATCGAACGGGCACAGTTCGATACATTGTGATATATCCATCCATGGAGTTTATCCTGGAAGTTTGAAGGCAAGTTTCAATTTAACAAAACTGTCAGATGCTATTATTTATTCCAGTGTTTGAGGGAATTCCCTGCCAGGAGAATTTTTTTTTTCATTTCAGAGGAGAGAATTTTGAATAAAAATAACATAATCTCTTTCCACGAAATATCAAGTATATTTATGAGCTTTCGTTAGATCATAGTCTAACTTCCTAAGATAAAGAAGTTAGACTATGATCTAACGAAGGCTCATAAATATACTTGATATTTCGTGGAAAGAGATCTTGTTATTTTTGTTTATCTTCATAATACTATCTCAGTCACGCATCCTTGTGGCAACAGCCACATACGGATCCGTAATAGAAAGTAAACAAGGAGAAAGGACCTGCAGTTCAATACACAATACCCTAGTACACCCCATATGAGGGAATTTTAATTTGTATTTTTGTGTAGTATTATATATATTCTGCAATCATTTAGTGTTTTTGTTATGCACATGATGAACTATTGTAATTGTAACTAACTACCGTATATTGCAGTGTAGCCTGTAAGCCGAGTTAGAATCTCAAAAAAAGTTGCCAAACTGAGGGGTCGGCTTATACGTGCATAATTCTGATCGCATTGAAAAATCGGATTATACATGTATAACTCTGACCGCACTAAAGGGTTTGACAGTGGTAGTGAGAATGAATTTCAAGGATTTTGAGACACTTCTTACCGTCATTAGTAAAAGTGAAACATAACAATATTGCAATTCAAGAGTCCTGCTGCACACCAACACAAATATATCTTTGTAACGTTTCGTCTGACCAAAATCAGACTTCCTCAGACAAGCAGTTTACAACTATGACAAGAAAAGAGCAATCATGCAGTTTAAATATGGCGATAAATAAATTTGTTTGAAATTAATTGTGACCAAACAATGAAAAAATAATTATTGATATTCAGGAACAGATTGCGAAATAAAAAAATACGATCGGTTCTCAGCATGGAATAATATTGTTCCGCGGCGTGCTTGATTTCACAATAAGTTTCACTAGAACATTTATCAATGTGTTCTAGGCTCAGATCTTGATAGCCAGGGTCCTTTTAATGTGATTCTTTTAAAGGCGTTGAATTCTTTTTAGTATTGCTTCTAAATTCTTTTCTTGTGGTAGTTATCGAGTCCGGAGTTTGGAAGGATCCATTCGGATACAGAAGTCACGCGAAAAGGCTAATATAACGATCAATAGAGGTTGCGTTTTTATTTTGTAATCTGTTTCTGAATATCAATAATTGTTTTTTCATTGTTTGGTCACAATCAATTTCAAACAAATTTATTTATCGCCATATTTAAACTGCATGATTGCTCTTTTTTTGTCATTGTCGTAAACTGCTTGTCTGAGGAAGTCGGATTTTGGTCAGACGAAACGTTACAGAAATATATTTGTGTTAGTGTGCAGCAGGACTCTTAATTGCATATTATGGTATTTTATTCCTGCTACAGCATCCTTGCATTACATGCATACGGATCCACTAGCGCAAAGGCATAGAGAAAGGATAACAAAATTGTTTATCCTTTTTTATCTTCTCTTCTCCAACCATTTGCAGAGATAGGTGCTTACGGCGTGTCACGATTTGTAGGGCTGGCTTATATGTGAGACTGACTTATAAGCGAGAATATATGTTTCGACTTGACAAAGTTGTCAAATGTTTCCAACAGTTCATCAAATAATTATTCAAGCATTCGCAAACCGAGAATAAATACCTCACCTCTGCCAGTAATTAATTTCATTTGTTTTTTTGGAATGAAATATCAATTTGTATTTTGTGTAGTAATACTAACATTCTTAAATTTTTGAATATTTTAGTAAGACACAATATAAACCATTCAAACTGAAAAAAGAAGTGTAGTTGGACATATCACTAGCTAACGATCCATTAAAGCAGTGGTTCCCAACCTTTCATGACTTGCGACTCCCTACCAGAGGCTTTTAGCTTTCGTGACCCCCTGATTGTCATTTTTATTGGTAGATCTCATATCCCATTAATAAGTTTAAAAAAAGTGAAAACACCCTGTGAAATAGCTAGGGCCCGGCCAATATATCGGCCATGTTTTTCACAAATTTCGAACTATCGGTATCGGCTAATTTTACCGATATATATCGGCCAATCACGTGACTGCAAAATGGTCAAATTCACGCCGGGAAAGCAGTTTTTTCGCTTGTTTAATTGAGAGCGGCTCTGCCTAATACTCTTTTTCTTTGTTACTTCTATTTCTCTCCTAACAAAAAGCGGCTTTTGACTATGTCTCTCTTATCAAAACAGACGTATGACACGGGATTTAACACTTTGTAAGCAAGTTTGCGAGCGTGGTGGCTTGCAAATTGAAGCCACGGCCTTGGCCTTGGATTGCAGAAAAACTCTGCTCAACTACATCTAAGACTGTTGAACTGGAGCAATTGAGATTCATAAGTTTCCTGCCCTGACAATAAGTGTTCTTTCTTGCCACGCACACAATTTACTTCGGCACTGTGGCTTTACACTAATAATTTTTAACATAACACGTTGAAAATCGCTAAAATTAGATTCACAAAGTAAGGAGTAAATGTGCTTTTTATGCAATTTTTTGTCATCATCGCATGAATTCAACATATTGTTATATATTTCATTTTCTTTCGCAAGAAAAACACATAATTCTCAGAGTGGTACTTGTAGCCATCTTTTTAGGTGAGGAAACATCGGTATCGGCTTATCAGCCTAGTTTTAAAAAACTATCAGTATCGGCATCGGTTTAAAAAGGCAGTATCGGTCGGGCCCTAAAAATAATCTTATCAAGCAATGAAACTAGGAAGAAAGGGTATTTTTCGTGAGGGGAAAATAGAATTCATTTCATTCGGGGTTTGGCCCAACTCAAACCACGCTGTGGCCCCTTGGGGGAAATGGGTCTCCGGTTGGGAACTGCTGCTCTTTGAAGAATATTTACCTTGTATTCTTCAACTCTATCTTTATTTTTGAAATGAATTTCAGAATTGAAAAGATGAACAAAATTACTTTTTTCTTTCTTGAAAAAAAGATTTCCCACTATAAATTTAGACACATAGTTCTTTCCTCCCCCTGTCCAACCTGCAAAAAAGTGGATCGGTATAAGTTTAACTTTTATCTTAAACAATTGACTCTGGCCAAAGGGGTTCCTACATAAGTTGTGAGTAAAAAAGGTCTAAACCCCTAACACATTAAATAGCAACACATGGGTGATGAAAACCTGACCAGAAAACCAATTAATTACAAACACTAGAAAATAAACAAAACCTAGGATCAAAATGAGTGTATGATTGCTCATCTCAAAACACTTTTTATTACAAATTACAAATAAAAACCAGGACTGAGGAGACGAGAAAACTTCGCAGCATACCTCAAGCCTTCTAAAAAACGACTCCAGCTATGATTGAAACTCAATGCTTTTTAGAGTCTCTATCAAATATTTTGCCTGCCATTATAACTATTGAAATTCTGCGAAACAATGATTCTGTGTTCAGTATCAATAAATACATTATAGACAAGTGGTTGTCAAACTGTTTAAGCTGTGCCACGCCGCCCCCTTTTTCAAATTTTGCAAGTCCCGCGCCCTACCTCGAAAATAACTAGATAACAATAAGCTTCAAATAACAGACCAGTATAGTAAATCAAAAGTGATATAACAGAAAATACAAATGACAAAAACAGAACAGCTTTCTGCAAACTCTAAATAGTAAAACAAAGTAAATATCCAAAATAAGGCGGGCAAGATCAAATCTAACAAATATTTTTATTTTTAATCAGCTTCACTTATGGGGGGCGCCCCACAGTTAGAGAATCGATGTTCTAGACCAGACATGGGCAAAGTACGGCCCACGGGCCAAATCCGGCCGGCCCGTTGGGCGATTCAATCTGGCCAGGGTAATGCTGCCACAACCAAGCTGAAGCCAAATTATGATGTTTTACCTGAAAAAAAGCTTATGGAAACTGTTGAGATTGCGATTAAATTTAGTTTTGGCACGTGGCTCATTGTTTTCCACGGTTGCTTTTGTAACATTGTAAATATTGTTCATAAAATGTAACTTTCCACATCCCACTTATATGTCACGCCAGCAATGTCCCCTCTAATTTTTCGTAGTATGTGTGCGCAAAAATTTTGGTGTGTGCGCACTTTTTTGGAAATCACTAATATTTGTGCAAAAACCAATGAAGAAATTTTGGCGTTCTAACCGGGTAATGGGTGGGCCAACAACAAACTTTCTCAACCTGCCAATCAAGAACATTGTAACATTACATAGAAATACGTCTGTGGGCAGTAAATCTATGCGTGTGCCAGACTGGATTCCATGGCAGATGCACGCCCGAGGGCGCTAGCGCTCCACAAAAATGCACGCGAGCGAATTCAATTTTGCACGCCGAAAATTTGCAATTGTTCACCAATGTAAATCGGTTTAAATAGTTTTTAAATCAATAATCTGAGAATATAAAGATGCCAAAAAATTATAACTTTACAATTGTCGACTAATACTTGCTTGCAAGATTTGGCCTGATCGAAAAATGCGAAGCAAAAATCACCATATCGTGTTGAATGATAGGAATCCCGTGAGAAAAATCGCCTCCTCACCGACGCTGGCCAGTTATGGCTCTGATTCAGCGTATTTTTAATACAATAATTTTACACGGATGTACTGAACAGTACCGGTATCTAAAGTCGCACAAACACTCTCAAAATTAGTGACAAAATATAGAAATGATGTTTTGGGGGTCAAAGGTCCATTTTTGCTATGATCCAACTTATTTTTACGCGGATGTATTGAGAGGTATCTTAGTTCGAAATCAGTTTAGCGGGCGCAGTTGTTTTGCACGCCGTGAGCTATAATTGCACACCAGAAATTCTTATTTGCATGCGGGAATTTCTGATTGCACGCCCGATTTCTCGTTCGAAAAGGCCATGAAATCCAGACTGGTGCGTGTGCGCAGCCTCTGAAAGCTGTGTGCGCGCGCGCATGCGCACACCTTAAAGGGAACACTGCACGCCAGTCTAGGTGGACAAAAATTTTTTCCCCTGGTCCATAAACCCTGCCCACCCCTGTTTTAGACTCTGACTAAACCAATGATAAAATCAACATATAAACTTACCATGAAACGAAAGAACAAGTGGCTTTGAAGGGTTTTGATTATTTACATGTCCAGATATTGAGTTCAGTACAGTAGGAATAACCAGATGTTGACCGTGCAATCGACTGTTCAAATCTCTTTTCAAACCTAAAAATGAAGGTTTATAATTAAGGTTTTGTAATGCATTCAGGAATTAGAGTGGTAATTATTGTAGAGAGTGGAAAGAATAAATACACTGGGCTTAACCCTAATCTAATTTGGGTCAGGGCTGAGGAAATGATTTGAAATGATCAGAATGGCTCCAGTTTAGTATATTCATATTTTTTTCTATCAAGATAGATCGATAGTTTATTTTTAAAGCTCACTCATACACACAAATTAAAAATAAAGAATTCTGGGGTCTGGTATAGTTTAGTACCCCATGCACTTCTAGTTGGCCTGGCTCAACAATTTTTGCATACGTCATTTCTAAATCCCAGCTGACCACATCATCGAAAAGTTATGACATTTCGACGTCCCAATGGCGTAATGTAATAAGACCCCCCCCCCCCCAAAGTATGCGGGTGGTCGTCCAAAACGTGCAGATGATCACCCGAAATTGAGCAACCCTTTACTCTTGTTTTTTCGTCGCAACGATCATGATATGCGAAAGATCGTCGGCGTTAGCGAGTTTGTTATCGGCGGACACGAGCGATCGTAACTATGACATGATGGTGACGTCGTAGCAACGTAGTTTTTGGATGGCATAGTCAGGTGGGGGTTAGGAATAACATATGCAAAATTAGTTATGCTACGACCACTGGAAGTACTTGTGGTACTAAACTATGCTAGACCCGAATTCTGGAGAACGAGCAAAACCTTTACTCACAAAAAACACAACCCTTGTCAAACGAGGCTTGGGCCAGAAATAAACATACAAAAAATATGCAAATGTATTAAACTTTCGGGCTGTTGTACTATTAAAATATGTGTGAAATGCAATTTGCAATTTGGAGTCATAATCGTGCTTCTGGCTCCATAACAAATGATGTTTTCAAGTTTTGTGATTTTAAAGAAAAGTTATGGCACCCAGCTCTGGCTCTCAACTTTAAATACAGCTATTCCAGTATTATGGTAATATGCAACAAAACTTAACGGCTGCCAGAGCTAGTTAAATTAAAAAATTAAGTATAATAAGTATAAATTTATTTCGACTACATAATCAGCCTAACAATAAAATGATTGGTGAAAACAAGAGAGCTATGCTCAAATATATGGACACGTAGCGCCACCCAATGGCAATAATTTTGATGGCGTCATAGCGAAAAAAAAAGTAATAGCCTTCTAGAGAAAAATTTTATCTTTAACCACTGAAAATTTTAAAGCAATTGGTCCAGTATTCGAAGAGAAAGCGATTTTTTAATGATAATGACGGAAGAAAATAACAATAACAACAAAATTTTGAAACGATCGTTATGGCCACTAAACGTGTCCAATAAATAAATAAAAACTGATTATGAAATCAGGAGAGCAAACAAAACTTTAGATAAGGTTCAAAACGTACAGAATGTATACAAGATGGAAGGTTTTGCCAAGAAGAAGCGATACGTGTTCACTCACCTAAAATAAGTGAAATATTTCACACACGCTCACACTCACCCACAACCATACAGAAGTTATGAAGTGAGAAGAACATGATAAATTACATAATAAATAAAAATTACTTGCCACACCATATCAATAATTAATAAATTTATAATGTTTGCCACTGCCGAATTGATAGATTTTATAAATGGGAGTGAACAGTAGAGATAAACTTTTATAAAAAATAATTGCCAAGCTGATTATAGTTGGATTACCGGTATGGTACCGGTATGACACTCATGTTTAATCAGCCCAGACCCCAGTTCTGCAGTTGGGCGAAACAGCAAAAAAAAATGGAATTTGCATTGCTTATTAGTTCGAGACTCAAAATCCAAAAATTCCATGTGAAGCCCACCTGTGCTGTTTAATTTGATATATCCATCGCTGCAACATTCTGAAAACAGGCAACTTCTAGAAACGAGACCGATTCCGGCGGTGACTCCTCCTATTATTAACATACTCATCGATAACGGTTCAAGGCAGTGCGCAATTTGAAGAAGCTCAATCACCCCCAACAAAATGCATAATAAACGAGGACAGCGCATTTTGCTGAATAAAAAACTAACCCCCGTCTGACTATTTCTCCGAATTTTCAATCCTCCGTCTAATCAAAGTGACAACACTTTGCCTCTAATGCGGACAACACTAAAAGGCTGAAGGAAGAAACGGATGAAGTGTCGGAAAAACGGAAGTTGAAGTGTTCCCAAAGGTGAAAAATTGAAAAACACTAAAAGGCTGAACACTAAAACGAAGAAGTGGAAGAAATTTCGTCCGAGGTGGCTGAAGTCACTGAAAAGCTGAACACTAAAAGGAAGAATTGGATGAAATTTCTTCCGACGAATAATGAGGTGGTTGAAGTCACTAAAAAGCTGAACACTAAAAGAAAGAAGTGGATGAAATTTCTTCCGACGAATAATGAGGTGGTTGAAGCGGTTGAAGTCACTAAAAAGATGAACACTAAAAGGAAGAAGTGGATGAAATTTCTTCCGACGGGTGTTGAGGTCACTAAAAAGCTAAACACTCAAGGGAAGAAGTGGATGAAATTTTTCTGCTACAGGTGGTGAGGTGGCTGAGGTCACTAAAAAGCTGAACACTAAAAGGAAGAAGTGGATGACATTTCTTCCGACAAATATTGAGGTGATTGAAGTCACTAAAAAGGTGAATACTAAAAGGAAGAAGTGGATGAAGATTCTTCCGACGAATAATGAGGTAGTTGAAGTCACTAAAAAGCTGAACACTAGAAGGAAGAAGTGGATGAAATTTCTTCCGACGAATAATGAGGTGGTTGAAGTCACTAACAAGATGAACACTAAAAAGAAGAAGTGGATGAAATTTCTTCCGACGAATAATGAGATGGTTGAAGTCACTAAAAAGATGAACACTAATAGGAAGAAGTGGATGAAATTTCTTTCGACGAATAATGAGGTGGCGGAGGTCACTGAAAAGCTGAACACTAACAGGAAGAAGTGGATGGAATTTCTTTCGACAGGTGGTGAGGTGGCTGAGGTCACTAAAAAGCTAAACGCTAAACGGAAGAAGTACGGTAGATGATATTTTGTACTATCGATTTTGAGGCGGTTGAAGTCACTAAAATACCGAATATTAGGAGAGTTAAATAGCCAAAACATATCCCGACGGAAGTGAGATTGGATGAAGACCCTGAAAGCGGACTGATGAGTAGGGATGCCACTTTTAGATTTATGAATTGAATCGATTCAAATCGCAATTCATTTCGAATCCGATTTACGCGATTCGAAAGAAAGAGAGCCGTTTAGCGAAGAAAAACAAACACTCCAAATAACACCAATTGCCAGACGGGAATGTAAATGAATTTTTCGTTATTTACTTCTATTGATCTGCCTTCGTTCATTTTCAAGTTCAGCGCAACATACCCTGATCATCACTCGAGATGCTGACGTGCTGTGTGGGTAATTAATTTACTTCAATCTGTCAGTTGAGGTTCCCACTGAATGACCTAAGTTTCTATCACACGCAAATTTAAATGGATCGTATACCCGAAATTTCGTTGCAATTTTGTTAATAATTTGCAACTGCACACCTTCTCTGCGACTAAGTTATGGTACGCCTTGACATGAATTGATAAACGATCACATACCGACTTCTAGAAAACATTTAATTTTGATTGAAATTTAATTTAAACTCCGTTGAGAGTGAAATATTTCGCGTATATATTTGAAGAGAACTATTACTGAACAAGTTCATTCGCCGGCCATGTTAATTGACGATCATGTTTTCATCCTGACATTTATATTTATGCTATTTTATTTCCATTTGTTGTACCTCCATTTGAGTGGCGGTAAACGAAATGAGGGAACACGTGGTAGAACACTTCTTGCAGCAGTAATCATAAAAGAAATGTAGTATTTTCTCCTAATCGTTTTCGGTTGGAGGTTTATTTTAAATGGGTTGATTACTTTTTTGTGTTCAAGCAAATTCCTGAAAGCATTTCTTATTTATTGTAATCCAGATGCAATTAAAATGTCTTTGTCTTATTACACTATGCTGCTAGCATGAATATATGCTCGGTATCTCTTTGTTTAGCAAGCTCTATCGCAATAATGAGCCCACAAATTATTGTACTAATATTTTAGAGATAAAAATCTGTAATGAGTCCAGCCTTAATTTAATATAACAATATTGAAATACCACAGTCACATATTCTGGGGTGGGGCTGCGGGAACCAATGCTGTTACTGTTGCAGCACTGTTTAAGATGGTACAATAGAATTGTTTCCTGCGCTTATTTTCACAATTGAGTTGCATCAAATTGCTTCAGTCTTAAGGGGATGGTTGGTCAATACCGAATAGTTCACTATTTCGAATACATTCGAAAATATTATTTTCAAATATGAAATTTCGAATACATTAGAAATTAAAATAATTGAGGCTTATCTATAGTAGCCTATATAAAGGAATTTGCATACAATAAAAAAATGGAATAACTGTTATCAACAACATGTTGTCTACCATGCATTTCATGTTTGCAGATTACTGCTATATATTTTCATATATATACCATGAGTTACGTTATCAGAATTAAATTAATACGGCAAGCATTTAAAATAGTGCTATCGGTCATGGATTTGAACATTTTGCGCAACACAAAATCATCCTAGTAAAAGTTTGAATACCAACCATTATCCAAATTATTTGCCAAAAAGCGGGATAAAGTATAAATTATATTTCTGATTTGTGACAATTTTTTCGTGAGTAGGTAAACACGAATGAAAAATTAATTATATTCGGGCACTTCAATGTCCGCATATATATCTTTTATTATTTTATAAATGCGAAAATATGAATCAAGAATTAATTATAATCGGGCAGTTTACCACACATTTTAAGTCCATGGATCGCGTTCTATTTTGTAAATACGAAAATAGGAATCAAAAAATAAATAACAATCGCGCAGTTGACCACACATCTATGTACATAGATTGCCGTGGTATTGTACCCGAATATAATTAATTTTTGATTCCGTATTTCATTCCTTAAACTTAATATCTGTTTTTAAAATTTTGCAAGCAGTTCACGCACGAAGAATTGAAATAATGATGTATTAGTCAAAGTGAAGTCCTGTTAGACCACTGGTTCTTAACCAATGTGCCATGGCCCACTGGTAAGCCTCAGAGCCATTTTGAGGTGGGTCACAAACATATTATAAATTACAAGGTTTGTTGATTGGAAAAATTGATTTGATAACAAAATCAGCTTCACGCGTCTTGAAAAACAAGATATCTATTAGCAAAACATGCCTCGCCGTAATCCACCCATTGTGGCGCAACAAATTCATTATACGGCAGTAACAGCTAGAAATGAGTATATATATATAGCAATTTGCTTGCACATTACATCAAAAAAAAATATATATATATAACGAGAATGTCATGGCCTTCAATATTCGCCAGGCTCGAACTGAGAACACCATATAAAAAATTAACATAAAACGAATCCACGAGGACATTGTCTCATAAATATTAAACTCATATATATTCAATTTTCTTCACTATCCGTCGGAAGAAATTTCATCCACTTCGTCCTTCTAGCTTTCAGCTTTTTAGTGACTTCAACCACATCAACACCCGTCGGAAGAAATTTCATCCACTTCTTCCTTTTAGTGTTCAGCTTTTTAGTGACTTCGACCACCTCATTATTCGTCGGAGGAAATTCTATCCACTACTTCCTTTCAGTGTTCAGCTTTTTAGTGACTTAAGTCATCTCATTATTCGTCGGAGGAAATTTCATCCACTTCTTCCTTTCAGTGTTCAGCTTTTTAGTGACTTCAACCATCTCATTATTCGTCGGAGGAAATTTCATCCACTCCTTCCTTTCAGTGTTCAGCTTTTTAGTGACTTCAACCATCTCATTATTCGTCGGAGGAAATTTCATCCACTTCTTCCTTTTAGTGTTCGGCTTTTTAGTGACCTCGGCCACCTCACCACCTGTAGTAGAAAAATTTCATCCACTTCTTCCTTTTAGTGGGTAGCTTTTTAGTGACTTCAACCATCTCATTATTCGTCAGAAGAAATTTCATCCACTTCTTCCTTTTAGTTTTCAGCTTTTTAGTGACCTCAGCCACCTCACCACCTGTAGCAGAAAAATTGCATCCACTTCTTCCTTTGAGTGTTTAGCTTTTTAGTGACCTCAACACCCGTCGGAAGAAATTTCATCCACTTCTTCCTTTTAGTGTTCATCTTTTTAGTGACTTCAACCACCTCATTATTCGTCGGAAGAAATTTCATCCACTTCTTTCTTTTAGTGTTCAGCTTTTTAGTGACTTCAACCATCTCATTATTCGTCGGAGGAAATTTCATCCACTTCTTCCTTTCAGTGTTCAGCTTTTTAGTGACTTCAACCATCTCATTATTCGTCGGAGGAAATTTCATCCACTTCTTCCTTTTAGTGTTCAGCTTTTTAGTGACCTCGGCCACCTCACCACCTGTAGATGAAAAATTTCATCCACTTCTTCCTTTTAGTGGGTAGCTTTTTAGTGACTTCAACCATCTCATTATTCGTCAGAAGAAATTTCATCCACTTCTTCCTTTTAGTTTTCAGCTTTTTGGTGACCTCAGCCACCTCACCACCTGTAGCAGAAAAATTGCATCCACTTCTTCCTTTGAGTGTTTAGCTTTTTAGTGACCTCAACACCCGTCGGAAGAAATTTCATCCACTTCTTCCTTTTAGTGTTCATCTTTTTAGTGACTTCAACCACCTCATTATTCGTCGGAAGAAATTTCATCCACTTCTTTCTTTTAGTGTTCAGCTTTTTAGTGACTTCAACCACCTCATTATTCGTCGGAAGAAATTTCATCCAATTCTTCCTTTTAGTGTTCAGCTTTTTAGTGACTCCAGCCACCTCGGAAGAAATTTCTTCCACTTCTTGTTTGCTGATGACACATGTATTGCTAAAAGCCACCACTGCCCTCATATTCTTCAAATTCTCATAAATAATGAAATAAGCAAAGTGGATGCCTGGATGAGAGCAAATAAATTGACTGTAAATTATTCTAAATCGACCTATATGCTTTCTCACCAAAAAAATATAAGTAAAGCTTTCCATGTATCTTTTGGTGATAAAATGTTAATTGAAGTGTCATGCATGAAATATCTTGGGATAATTATTGACAACAAATTTAAATGGCATGCTCATACTGAATATCTATATAGCAAGTTATCAAGAGTGACTGGGATTATGTTCAAACTTAGACACTATTTGACATTGCATGCTTTAAAAATCATTTACTATTCATTATTTCATTCTTGTATTCTGTATGGTATCGTAACTTGGGGTTGTTGTGACAAAACCAGTCTTAACAAATTACAGCTAATCCAAAATAAAGCAATTCGAGCCATCTGCGGGGTGCCACGCTGGGCAAATTTGAGTAGTTATTACAAAATCCTTGGTATTCTTAAAATAAAAGATCTATATTTTTATGAAATGGGAAGGCTCATGTATCAAGCGGTAAATAACACTGCCCCTCGCGTAATACAACAATATTTTGTTACAACAAAAAATGCACATACATATGGTACTCGTTCATCTCGAAAGGGAGGATTATTTGTACCACGATTTTCATCCTCGCGGGCCCAAAATTCCATAAAGTACCAGGGTGTGAGAATTTGGAACGATATTAACGAAAACCTAAAGGAAATTCCCAGTTTTAATGTTTTTTCCAAGAAGTATTTCCAGTCTTTTCTGAATAAGTACTGATTCATAACTTTTCTACTTGTACGTTTTTATTTTGTGTGATATAAAACTAAACGCTTTTTCTTGTCGCTTCTATTTTAAATTCGTCTCAATATGTGTCACATTACTCTTGTTGCTCAATTGTTAGTTACAACAAGTTAAAATGTTTTATAATTGGTATAATATAAAATGTAATCTGTCAACCTTTTTTATGCCAGGAGAGTTGTTTCGATTTAGTGACCGTATGGTCCTTCCAACCTCCTATCAATTCCGTTGTTAGTCGATTTATTCTTCTTTTACCTATCGTATGTTGTTGTTTGTGTTTGATTTATTGGCTAATGACTGGATGATGAATAAACTTCTATCTATCTATCTATCTTCGTTTTAGTGTTCAGCCTTTTAGTGTTTTTCAATTTTTCACCTTTGGGAACACTTCAACTTCCGTTTTTCCGACACTTCATCCGTTTCTTCCTTCAGCCTTTTAGTGTTGTCCCTCTAATGCCAGTCACCGTTGTAATTGTAAACAAGAGGGTCAGAGGTCGCACCGCATGATTACGGCCGCACCGGGCCGCACAAAATGAGTTTCACTTTTTCGGGAACAAGGGCCGCCGAAATGAATAATTGTAACGGAATCGATTAGATTTTGTTAGTTTTATTTTAGTTCAAGTTTACTCAAAGTTCTTATATTAGCAAAACAATATTTTGTTGATTCAGGCCCCAAAAGAACTACCGGTAACTCCTTTTGAAGGTCTCTTTTGACTTTATAAACATATAAATATGTTAATCCGGTCCTAAAAATATCGCGGGGGAGCGGATAAAACGACCTAATTACATGGCAAACCAATGCCCCTTGTCCGGTTAAGGGCGTGTCAAACTTTCTTGATGTTTGGGGCGAGTTTTGGATAATTTGATGCTCCTTATACCTAACTTTAAAACTAATTTGGGGGATAAACAAATTATAGATGTCAATATACATCAGAATAATTAAATTAGGAGTGAAATTCATTAAAAATGCAACAAAGTTATCCTTATAACGTGCTGCCCGGGGCGGCTGTCTCCATATCCCCTCTCTATACACACTCCTGTGTCCGGTTATGAGATTATTTAGCCAGTTATTTGTTTCAGATGGCAAACCCACACAGGGTAACCAAATTTGCTATGTCAAGCGCATTTTTAACGCCACACCGCCGATCCAATATTTGTAAATTTTGTGATTGCAACCAAAATGTTTAATTTGTCAGTCATATTTATTCTCCCGGAAGAAAATCGATATACCAGACTTTAAATTGCCGCCAAAACCGGTACACATTTATTCAGTTGAAGCATTGAGATAGCTGGTGAGTCCTAGATGTTTGGATGTAAATAATGCCCCAATCGACAGCTTGGAAGTCGATTCAAACCACCAACCCCCTATTTACAAAATCCAAAGATTAGGATAGGATAGGATTTACATATTTATCCCGGGGGAGAGGAAAGCCGATAAGACGGCTTATCCATATGGCGAACCACGGCCTCTCGTCCGGTTACCATTCCAAGTCGGGTATGGGATTAGTTTTTACTGTATTGTTTTTGTTTTCGGAAGCATGGACTTGGTGGTGGAGGAAGCCGTAACCGACCAGCGGTTACGTGAACCACCCAACGACGGCGAGGAGTCCAGCAATCCTCTCGCACATAACCATCCCTGCATGGGATTCGAACCTGCGAACCCACGCAGAGTAATTAGAGGTGCGGTGGCGAGCGTATTCCTAACGCTTAGCCCGTTGAGCGGCGGTGTGGCTCATCGTGCTAAGCGTTAGGAATACGCTCGCCACCGCACCTCTATTTACTCTGCGTGGGTTCGCAGATTCGAATCCTATGCAGGGATGGTTATGTGCGAGAGGATTGCTGGACTCCTCGCCGCCGTTGGGTGGTTCACGTAACCGCTGGTCGGTTACGTCTTCCTCCACTATCAAGTCCATGCTTCGGAAAAACAAATATCTAACTAATCCCATACCCGACATGGAATGGTAACCGGACGAGAAGCCGTGGTTCGTCACATGGTTAAGCCGTCAAATCGGGATTTGGGTGAGCGAACACGTACTACTTCTTTTATCAATACCTTTCCATCTAAAATCTGTACGTTTCAAACCTTACTCGAGGTTTTGTTCGCTCTCCCGATTATATAATCAGTTACTTTTATTTTTATCTATTTTTTTATCGTCTATTGCTGATTATGGAGTCGAAATAAACTTATACTTATACCTTATTATAAATCTCTGGATAAATATGTAAATCTTATATAAAACAGATTGGACACGTTTCGCATGTAAAACTTTTATCGTCATGCATAGAATACAGATAGAAGAAACTTGCACTTGCTATTTTTCATATAACAAGCACAAAAGAAATACAAATAAAAACACTGAAAAGAATGCACAAAAATAGTAAGAATATAACACATTCAGCCCATAAGTTGAAGGTTTCAATCCAAAACAAAGACTGACATAGCAAAAAAACACAAAAATAGTCGCGCACAACAGCAAGGCACTAATATAGCGAAAGTTACTCCCAAATTACCTTCACAAAACATATACAAGCTTAGGAAGGAAAAACAGTCCAGTAACAGAAGTAGGGCATACCAAAATGTGCATACTTAAATGTGTTAAAAGGCCGTCTTCGACTTTATTATTTTATTTATTATTCACGACTTTTGCTAGTATCCTGTTTGACTTTTTCTCATTACGATTTAATTTTAAGACTCACTCCCCCAGGGTGACGCTGCTCGATAACCTTCACTGGTTTATCGCGCCTCCCTTCACACTGAAAGTATTGTTTTATATGTGCTTCGTAGTTATTTTGGTCAATTGTGTTGGTATGTGATAAAATAAACTACTGACCGACTGACTGAAAAGCCAGACTGAATATTTTTGCAACATATGCTGTGAAATTAAATACAGCGAGAAGTTGACACCAGTCATAATTTGACCCGAACATTATTTAATTATTGTCACGCTCAGTTCTTGACAGCTTGTAACAAAGTAATAAAGTATTATTGTAAGTAACCACTGCATAAGTTATTGCAACTCTTTCGAAATGCACACGAACCTGAAACTTTCAAAAGATTTGGCCAAACACCGAAGCAAATTGCAGCCGTAACAATGAAGTCCCTTTTTAATCACTGTACAAGTTATTGCAGCCTCTTGGAGTATGCTTTATAGGAAAAAAAAAATTAAAAACTAAGAAGTTGACATTTTCCAAACATTTGGGCTAATTAATTTCTCATTTTTACTATCATAACCCATGTATAAGTCTGGTTTTATGAGTCACTTTCGTGCAACCAGATTTAGAATATAGTTTATCTTTTTCTGGCCACCAGTCTAATTCATCTAACACACTGTCCAATGCTTCATTTGAAACATTAAAAACACCAGCACGCTTGAATTCATCTTCCACGCACCGCCGAACATGTATTTTTTCCAGAGGTAGAAATGGAACAAAATGATCAATCAACTGCCTGTAAAATAAATTTGCAAAATAAGACAGATAGATTTTTAGAAAAATTTGCTCGAAGCATGTCTCTAGCACTTGTACAGAAACAAAGCAGACTGATTTCCAAGCGAAGCAACGGGCCCCTACTACTGTACCAAGAGCTATTGCGACTAGAAAGATTGCAGCGTAAAATTTTGCGTAAGAGAGAGAGAGAGATTTATTGCCACAAAAACAACACTAATATAAAAAATAATAGATAAGAAAGAAAATATTTCATCAGTAATAAACAGTGATTAATTATTGTTTCGTGCGGATCGGTGTGCAAGACCGATTAAGGTCATTTGGGCTCCCGACCCTTGTGTATATGCTGTATATAAGCTTATCATGGCATAATATAGTACCATGGGTGAATGCAAATGGGATTGAATAAAATATAAACAAGATGAAGAAATGAGTGAATGAGTCGGCAATTTAAAGTTAAGTGACTCAAGCACAAGCAAACCTATCATTAAGCAATTGCGACCTATTACATCATGCTAAGCGTTGACAACAATACCATGGCAATAGTGTACTGATGGGCTTTCCATCATTATGGTGGTTCACATGACATAACAGCTAGTCGTTGCAATTTCATGAATTCAGGGAAATTAACTTTCCAAAGCCCGACCAAATGAGAATCTGTACAATTAAGTCCTAGGCGCGGCGGTGTGGCTCAACGTGCTAAACGTTAGGAATACGCTCGCCACCGCACCTCTAATTACTCTGCATGGGTTCGCAGGTTCGAATCTCATGCAGGGATGGTTATGTGCGAGAGGATTGCTGGACTCCTCGCTGTCGTTGGGTGGTTCACGTAACCGCTGGTCGGTTAAGACTTCCTCGACCATCAAGTCCATGCTTCCGAAAACAGACAATATAACTAATCCCATACCCGACTTGGAATGGTAACCGGACGAGAGGCCGTGGTTCTCCATATGGATAAGCCGTCTTATCGGCTTTCCTCTCCCCCGGGATAAATATGTAAATCCTATCCTATTTTGGCTTTTCTTTGTTGTTAGAATTAAGCATATTTATCACGAGCATGTTATGCTTCAAATTAGTCAGCACACAAAAGCAGTGCTCCCACTTATTAAGTTTAGTGGTGTGGCTCATCGTGCTTGGCATTAGGAATACGCTCGCCACCGCATCTCTGATTACTCTGCGTGGGTTCGCAGGTTCGAATCCCATGCGGGGATAGTTATGTGTGAGAGGACTGTTGGACTCCTCGCCGCCGTAGGGTGGTTCAACCTGCTGGTAGGTTACGTCTTCCTCCACCAAGTCTATGCTACCGAAAATAACTAACTAACAATCCCATACCCGACATGGAATGGCAACCGGACGAGAGGCCGTGGTTATCCATATGGCTAAGCCATCTTATCATTCCTCTCCCCCAGGATAAATATGTAAATACTATAATGAGAGTCTGTGAAGAAAGTTTGACAGCAGATAGCCTGGAACTTTCCATTAAAAGTTTGGACTGGAATATATAATTTTAAATCTAGCAACTTACTTTTGAATAATGTCACTCCCTTTTAATCCACTTAATAAATTATAAGCAGACATTTCAAGAGGTTTCTGTAAGTCTCGAAGTTTCAGGTCTTCTCTTAATTTACCACTATCCCACTGTCCCTTTGCTTTTTGTGTTAGCACGTCACCTCCTATATTGCTAGAAATAAAAAAATCACATTGATTACATTCAAACTGATTTACAGTCTTTTTTATACGACACTTATCTACGACTTTCACACAAAAAAGGCGCTGTACAAGCAGCCTCTAATATCTGATGTAAGAAACACTCGTTATTTGGTCTATCTGTTTTGACATTGAAGTGTTTAAGCCAGGAAGTGTAATGTGTAATCAGCTATGTCAATAAAAACACTTATCCCGCTTATTATGGGAATTTAACACGAGTGAATGCATGTGTAATTAGCGCTGTCAATAAAATTATATAGTATAACTGCTGAGAGATTGACAAAAGAAAATGTACTGTAAAACACAAAAAATTATTTTTATCTTCGGTTAAGTGAATTTATATGGGACCCTTATTCCCATACCTACATCAAATTTTGGCTCATGTGAAAATAAATATTAAAATCAATATAATAAACAGTACACAATTTTAACCATTAGGCCACAATTACCTGATAAATATAAATATACTTTTTCTGAAATTAACACCATCAATTCGGAGGTTATGTCCCAGAAAAGGCACCAGCACATCAATCATTCCTTCTGGCATATGATCCATTTCATCAAATATAAATACTGAACGCTCACAGTTGGATACATTGTGATATATCCATGAATGTAACTGGTCCTGTAAAAACAATTAATCATGTCTTTCTCTTCACTCCTAAAAAGACTGAAACAATACGCGCTATACGCGAATAAGCGCTAACATGTACTACTATTTTAGAAAGAAAATCCTTCTGCATCGGCATTGACTAACCAATCTAAAACTCAGTGAGATGATGGATAGGAGTTTGGACCTGGGAACAGCTTTTTGCAGTGTATCTTTCGTCAGAGAGAGATTTATTGCCACAAAAACAAAGTCAACACTATTAAAAAATAATCCAATAAAGAAAATATCTCAACAGTAATAACAGTGATTGGTAATTGGTTTGTGCGTGTCGGTGTGCAAGACCTATAAAGGTCATCTAGTATTGCGAACCTTGTGTATATGCTGTATATACGATAATCATGGAATAGTATAGTACAATAGATGAAAACAAATAAGATTAAATATAAATATATCAATTAAATATGAATATAAGGGATGCCAACATATCCAAGCAAAATGGCCATGGTTGTTGAATGATTTTATCAACTTTTCTTTTTCCTAGGATATGACAGTTAGTAGGACAGAATTTTCATATTCACATTGTGAGATATAGAGGGAATGAAACAAACAGGTTTCTCATGTCATACCGTAAAGCTTGATTTTCAGTTTCTAGAACAGAAAGAAATCGGTACCCCTGAAGTATGTGAACCAAGATGGTGGACACCAGAACATAGTATGTGTACTAGGTTAGGCCATAATTTTATTCCAATTTTTCTTATTTCAGTTCTATCACGAGTTCAGGCACTAGCCAAGTGACTCCCGTAGTATTTGAACCTGAAATTATGGCCTAACCCTAACCTGGTACACATACTACGTTCCGGTGCCCGCTATATTGGTTCACATACTTCAGGAATACTAAAAAATCTATTAAAATATAAAGACTTGAAAACTCTTAAATTGAACCCCATTATTAACTCTTCTGACACCCAAAACAAAGCCACCTACCTTATATTCTTCCACTCTGCTAGGATGTTTGAAATGTAAATCAGAATATAAGAAATGTGCAAAATCACTTTGCTCTCCTCTTTCATACAAATGTTTAACAATCATCTGAGACACAAAACTTTTCCCTCCTCCAGTCCAACCTTAAAGTAAACGGCAACGGCAATATATAGACAGACAAAGCTTATGGTGACCAGTTCAGTGAGGCCTTAGAGCGCTGGGTGTGCTGAAAAGATCAGCGGTCAATCGGTCACGGTAAATAAAAAAGTGTTCTCTTTTTTATCACAATGCATCAGCGTGAAGTTTGACAAAAGACATTACAATTAAAAATTACAACATTACAATTGAAAATGTATAAATCATTGAATTACACTTGTAGACGATTGTTGGAATTCACAGCAACACAGAGTTTCACATAACATCTTGCTGAAACACCTAGACAGATTATCAGAATAGACATTTTTATGCCCAGCCTGGACTGGCACGCAGACAAGAGATTGAAGTTTGAACTATGGCTAAGCAGTCTTCTCAGCTTTCTTGACGTGAGATATAAGAATCTTCATGCACTATGCAGCTGCCCCAGTAGTCAGTATTCCTTTTTCGTGTTACCCTTCACCCGAAATAGCCCTTGTTCGAATATTGTTATATTCTGTAGGTATTTTCAGCATGGCAAAAAAAAAAGCGGTATTCCTGAAGTATGTGAACCAAGACGGCAGACACCGGAACGTAGTATGCGTATCACGTTAGAGTTAGACCATAATTTCAGGTATATATACTACGGGAGTCACTTGGCCAGTCCCTGAACTCGTAATAGAACTAATATAAAAAAATTGGAGTAAAATTATGGCCTAACCAGGTGCACATACTACGTTCCAGTGTGCGCCATCTTGGTTCACATACTCCGGGAATACCAAAAAAATGCTGACTTATGGTACTACTGAACTTACCATGAAATGAAAGAACCAATGGTTTCTTTGGATCTCTATCAGCAACATGACCTTTGACAGCATTTATTATAATCGGGATCACAAGGTGTTGACCATGAAGGTTTTCTTTTAAATCTCTTTCAAGACCTTAAAAAAAAGAAAAATTCAGACAAAAGAATAGTATTGGATTCTGATATTTATCCAGTGAAGAGGAAAGACAATTTATCGCACCATGGAGAGAAAAGGATGGCCATGATCATAACCCTGTAATCCGCTGCTGCATTTCGTGTCAATCAATATTACCGATAGTTCCATACTTAGCAACAGGTAAGAAGAATTGTGGTAGTGTTTCCCGATTAAAATCATCACCCTTGGCACTGGTACTTCGCATAACAGCACTTTTGGTTTGGATTCTCTAGTTCCTGTCATATTATTTTAAAATGGAACAGTACCTTGTAAACTTGCGCTAAAAAGAATATGACATTTCTAAACACAGCAGCTGTCTATACATCAGTGATTCACTAGAATAAAACTTTTCGAGATTGTATATCATAGCACCTCACACAAAGCAACAAATGTAAGTTATATCGTAACTTCTTCACATAGTACTTTATGTTTTCAACCAGATAGATCTTAGAATCCAAGGAGTCAGAAGATAAACAATAAAAATCGAAATTTTGTCATGTTCTATGCTGTAAGATTAAGCCTGGTTTTGAATCCTATCCCTGTTCAGAACTCAGAACTGTTCTAAGTTCAAAAGTCCATGCTGAATACAGAAATAAATAACTGACTAACTCCATACCCGACATTGACTGGTAACTGGAGAGGCCATAGTTCACCATATGAATAAGCGTCTACCCTCTCCCCGGGAAAATATAAGTTAAGCACCTGGATTTCAGCATTTCTTACCTTGCACATCCAATTTGATATATCTTTCATTGCAACATTCTAATAAGCCAGTTGAGCAAAACAGTTTCCCAGCTTTTGAAAACGCAGCTGCCCCAACCGCTACCGCAGCTGATATAGGATCGACACCTAAACAAGGATTTAATATACTCCCCAATATGAAAATTCTTACAACACTCATGGTCCAGCCGGAATACACAGACTTTACGGGGAATCCCCGCTCGTAACACATAAACATGTGACCATCAGATGACCAGAGTTGTGATCGGCGTTGTCGCGCAATTTTTTCAGGATAGGATTTACATATTGATCCCGGAGCAGAGCAAATCCGATAAAACGGTGGCTCAACGGGCTAAGCGTTAGGAATACGCTCGCCACCGCACCTCTAACTACTCTGCGCGGGTTCGCAGGTTCGAATCCCAGAATTTACATATTTATCCCGGGGGATGAAAACCGATAAAACGGCTTAATCAGCAATCCTCTCGCACATTATCATCCCCGCATGAGATTCGAACCCACGAAGGGTAATCAGAGATGCGTTGGCGAGCGTTATCGAAATTTCATGCGCATATTCTCTGTCCAAATATCGGGTTGAGTTCGAAAAATAGGAAGGATTTGACGTTAACGATACCGGTACAAATAATTCGAATTTAGACTAATTAGTATTGGTTTTACATGCGATACGTCTGCCATCAATGGGAATCAGCGGGAAACGAACGTATTAACCTTCAGTAAGCAGGCTAGCGCTGCGCTACACAGTATAGGGAGAAAGAGATGTGATGTTGATGGGATATAGACTATCACCCTATATGTTTAAGTTCGATTCCCGCGTTATTGTTTTTGACACGCGTTATGGAATGTGACTCCAATCTGGACTCCTTCAGACGATAATAAGCACACAGTGTTGATGCTAATCGTTGTTGTATATTATAGGAAGATGCACAATCCAAATTCCGAAAACAGATAAAACTGAGACACACTTAACTCTTAACACAGTAAATCAGGAGTGAATCAAAACACATCACACTTAACGCAGTAAAAACAGAAGTGGATCTAAACACAATATTATGCAGCCCTCTCGGCAAGCCGGGACGATACGTCATCAAATTGGTCGATACGAGAAAGGCAGTACATGTAATCAGTAATCAGTGTTGCTACAATAAAATGACCTATTGTGGGGAATGGAACACACTATTAAAATGAAAGGGTTAAATACATTATAATTCATAGTTACACAATGCACATTCGCTACACAATTCCCCCTCGACAGTAAAAAAAAATTAACTTGATAATTTTTTAAATTTTGGAGTCCGGCCGCCGAGAGATGAAGTGAAAGAAAACAAAATAACACGAATTAATAAAAGATATTGGTACGATATGAGTAATGGTGAAGGTATACAAGAGAATATACGCCATTTACGAGAGAAAACAAAATACGAGAAAAAAAATTCAAAGGGTCTCTCTCTATGTTGCTTAGAAATGCTTAACATTTTAAAATGGAATTGTAACGAAATAGTAAACAAAATGGCGACAATACTTGAGAAAGAAAGGACCTAAAAGAATCTAAAACACTTTGATGTTTAAAGGAAGGGCCTGAGAAGAAAAAAATTGCGGATTTAGTACTTGAGAATTACACCGAAATTGGTTTGGTGTTTAAGATTGTAAAATTGGCGTTAGAGGTTATTTGAAATAAAATAATAAGTAAGAAAAAATCCTGTAAATTGAATAATGAGTAATTTGACAGATTATTGAACCATTGAATCCCTGAAATTGAACCTGAATCAAATTCTATATGAAGTAAAAGAACTCGTGATATCTAAAAAACAAGGCATTGATTAATAACAAGTAATTACACAGAAAAGAAAACTGACACTGCACAATTATTTTATTTGTATGTTTTTTTTTATTTTTTTTATTTAAATTCTTATACTAAGGTGTTTTGATGTTTTATAGTGGATAATAATAATAAGAGAAAAGTAATAAAATACAAAACGATTAAATTGATAAAATAAATACAAGATGATTAATAACGAGGCGACACATTGCGAGATACACACCATATACAACTCGCAACGACCTCCGGAATCGAGTTGACTTAATAGGGTGGGGATAAATTAAAAGGTTGTTACAGTCGAACTTTCGACTCATTTGAGCTTGGGTGCTCGCACCTGAGAAGTTGCTAGCATTTTCCATCGATTCATCGTCAATTTCGACATCGGATAACTGGTGTATTTCTTGTTGTTCGTTGAATTGTACTACGGTTTGTCGTGGTATGCTGAGAAGTCGTTGTATTGGTTGCAGCAATCCATTTGTTAATGTACGGCGAACGGACATTCGGCAGTTTGGCAAGCTTCGATAGATGAAATAAAGCAGGGGTACAACGAATAAAGCGTAAATAAGGCCAAATAGCGGCCACGCCTTTATGACGTAATCTGACAATGTCTTCGCAGTTGTCATTTACGTTTAAAACTAAGCCATTGTATGCACAATAGACTTCGTTTGATTCAATGCAAGATTTCGTTATAGTTGAGAACAAGTTTCGAAGGTTTGCAATGATCGGTATTTCCAATCGGTAAGATTGCCCGATGCATTGTAATATAACAAGAATTCGGTAGTGTTGAACTTCGGAAAGTTGCGAGCTCTACAAGCTTTCGTATCTTCAACATTCCAAACAAATGTAAACACACCTTTCCGGCCAAAAACCAGAATTGGGTGCGCATTGGCTGAGGTATTTGAACGTGTTTTTGGTTACGCCTTGACGAAGAACAGCCATGAAATGGTTCGCCAGTAGGTCGTTGTACGTTTACAAATCTTGGTATCAACATTTGTAAGAAAGGTAGATGTCTCGTAGATGTTTACTGAACAATTCTTCATTGTATGAAGTTTGTGTCGGTTACAAATAGCTAGTTTGCGTATGTCGTAAGTCTGTCCATGTAACGACTTGTGACATAATTTCAGTGGTCCCTCAACGGCTTGCGTTACTCATACAAGCATGACAAAGCAAAGTATTTGTGTAGTAAAATATGGTCATCAGATATCCATCTGAAATTCGCTTGATTAGAGTAAAGTCTTTGCTTAAATGGCGTGGGAGTTTTCCTCAGCCTTCGCGGCCGATTTGATTGTTGCTGATTTGACATTTTCCGGAGACGGCCCCAGTCGATGTGCTGAATCTGTAAAATGAATTTCTGCATCGCAATTTGATCGTTTCGTGCTTGGTATCGGATATCGTATCATTATTATTTTGAAATATTGAAATTGAAAGTCCGTGGGCGCGAAACAGTGACATCGCTCGCCGGTGGTTCATTTGATTTGGCGCCAAGATTCCTATCCTCAATATCTGCATGCCATAGGTCAGAAGTTGGTAGGTGTGCAACTTTTAAGTTGTCAATTGAACATTCATACGGCTTTGAGTTCCGGTCGACGATAAAATGCTTACTTCCACGTTTAAGACCTGGAAGGGTCCTTCATAGAAGTTTCCAGTCCTTTTCTTGATCGACTGATTTTGATAAATACATGGCTACAATTTCTCAAGTCCTCTGGTATATAAGTTTTCCTTGAAGGCTGTTTGCGTGTTGGAATTGAACAGAGATTTCTGAAAAATCTCTTAAGTTTATTTACATATGTATGAGGGTCAGTATTTGTCGCGTCTGGTTGTGGTTCCACAAACTGTCCTGGAAGGCGTAATGTTGATCCGTAAACTAACTCAGCTGGACTGAAACCCAAATCTTCTTTAACAACTGATCGAATACCAAGTAATACAAAACCCAAATTCGGAAACCAGTCAGATGGATGTTCACAAGCTCTAAGAGAAGCTTTAACAGTTCGATTGAGACGCTCAACTAAAGAATTTTCGGCTCTAGTTCACCTTCCAACGTAGTCCGGTTTAGTTATCACACACTTTGATCGTTTAAAGCGACGTCCTCAGAGATTGGGTTCTGACGTTCATCAAGTCCCTTGGGATAGGTCCTTCGCATAGCAACACGTTTGGATTAGGTGTTTTTATTATCAGGAACCCTGCCTTTCTAAGCGCAGCTGGCTTAACTGAAATTTCCACCCGTTTTCCTCGAACCTTGTATTTCGGTTTTCTGCTGAGATGAATATACTTTCGTCCTCGCGATTCCAACCCAATTTGCCATATAGAGTTTAGGTTTCCACGCGCGTCACATGATATAGTGTTTCATTACCAGTATATTCATTGTATTGTGGCGTCGTTCCCCGCGTGTGCCCATAAGCTGCTGCTAGCCCATCCTTAGTTACAATAGCCCCTTTCGCTATCTCGCATTACCTCTTGGATGTACATTACGTCGCAGTTAATGCCACTCTGTTCCTGTAGTACTTCCTGTAAATGCTGCCAAGAATGAAACCTTCCTTTGCGAGAGGACAATCTGTATGTCTGCAATGAGCTATCAAGACGGCGTTGAATTTTTTCTTTTTTCTCTCGTGCAGCGAGCTTCTCCCCTTCTTTTTTGTTGTCGTTTCAGGTATGGCCCACGCGCCAGTTTCTTTGGGCGTGAATGCCATCTCAAGCCAGAACGAACGAGACAAACCATCTGACGTAAATACCTCCCTTGTAGTTCGATGTATTACTTTAGTTATTTGGAACCCAGATATATGATTCAGCCAGCGTTGAATTAGCATGCGCGGGCTGGGGTTTTTTTGCATTGTCTTTCATTCGCTTTAGCAAGCCAAAAACTCCATGTTATCTGTTATAACTGTAAAGGGCATAGTGTGTAAGATCGATAGCCACTTATCCAAAGTTTGTTTAGGGCCTTAAGTTCCTTCGTGCAGGGATCGTATGCCCTTGCCGCAGGCGTATTCCACTTCTGGCTGTAGTATGCTATTGGGTAGACTGAGGTAAAGGGCGGTTCTTCTTCTTTGTTTGTTTGAAATATAATTGCTCCAACCCGTTTTCGGAGGCATCTGTTTCCACAAACAACGGGAGATCAGGATTTATGTGATACAAGACCTCCGCGCTATTCAGCTGTTCTCTAGCGACTTTATAATCTTCCAATAGTTCTTTAGTCCATAACACTGGTGTAACCCTTCCGCGCGTAGCCGGAACGTTTCCGTTAGAGCATCCAATTTTGCCAGTTTTAAGCTAAGTTTCGGGATATTGATCTGCAATGTAGCGTAGGGCTCCAATTCAACCCCTTAATTCGTATACATTACGCGGCGGAGTCAATTCTTTCAAGGCCCCCAATCGTCTGGTTGTACTTCTATTTTCTTACCGCTCAATGTCGCACCAAGTAGATTAATTCGTCTTTTTCCGATAAAACATTGTTTATGCTGAGCGTTAATTTCATTTTAGCTAATTGTTCAAAGGTTATTTGAAGCAGTATTAGATGATCCCTCCACAGTTTTTGGTACTCAGAAATATATCGTCAATGTATGGCTTCTATAGGTGAGGCCTTTACCTCGTCAAGCCGCTTGCAATTATTCATGTGTTTTCGATATAGAGCTGTAATAGGTTCTACGACGCAAGCTTGCATATTAGCCTGAGAAGAGGGCCACGGCGGTCTTAAGTCCCATCGGGAGTTTTCGCCAGCGTAGATGTTGACCTTTGACCGCTATGCCCAAAAGGTCCTACTGTCTTCAACTACATCACAATGAAAGTATGCCTTTTTTAAGTCAAGGAGTGTCAAGACCTCTCTTCCTTGCGCCATTTGCTTAATATCGGGGATTAACGCTGGGGCGATTTCAATAGATTTGATGGCAGCATTCAATGGTTGGAGATTTTGCACCACCCTCCATGATTGTTGCCAGCCAGTTTCTTGCTTTTGTCGTTCGTTCATTTTTTGCGGTACCACAAATATTGCCAATTTCCATTCCGCAAATCCAGTCTCTATTACTCCGAGATCTAGAAAGTTTTTTACGGCTTCTTCGAGAGCTTCTGATTGTTCTTTTCCTCTCAGGTTGTATGGTCCTGAGACAAAGGGTTTTACAGTGGGATCTTTTAGTTCGATGTGACACGGATATTTCAGTTCTTGTTTAGACGATAAATGACCCCTCAGATCTTCCAACTCTTTGGCATAAGGTTGATACACTTGCCTCCATTCTTTTTCTGTTATTACTGTGTTTTCTGGTGAATTGAGTTCAGGCGGGACGTAAGTTTCCCCAGCAAGAGCTATCGCTTCGTCGCTGAGCTTCTGCAGTTCGCTTTTTACTTTGTGCGGTGTTCCCTTTTTCAACACGTATTCGTTCACTGGTCCTTTCCTTTCACTCCAGTCCAAAGCCCTTCTACACAATTTGTGGTTACCCCCTCATCAGTGACATACATCAAGCTATGATTCACTGTTCGATGCGTGTATCCCATTCCCAACTTTTCTATGTCTCTGTAGGACCCAAAACAATCGCTCCAAATTTCTGAATGTGGTGCAACGTTTGCCTTTATCAATTCTTCCATTGTAGCTTTAGTTCTACCAGTTTCGGGCACTAATTGCAAACATATTTCTTTGGTTTCCAAACATATAGCCCCCCACAACCAAATAGGCTTGATTTTTCGGGCCCTAAAATTTGAGCATGGCTTTCGTTTGGCTATCAGCGTTTCATCGATGCAGACTGTCATTTTTTTGCCACCGATCTTTTTAAAACTCTGAATGAGTTCTGTCGAGCATATTTCTCGTATGAAATGCAACCAATCTACAACAATACGGGGACTCACATCTATTTCATATACGATTTGTCTCTGCGGTACATCCATGGCCCAACAATATAATAATATCACCAAGTTAACCAGGTCGATTTTACTTCTCTCGAAAAACGAGTTTTTTCTTATTGTCGTTGTATTACGGCAATTAGCTTTCCTACATCTAAACCTTGCCCCATCGAGCTTGTTTGCCTTATTGATTTCTTCTACCATGGCGTTTCGACATTTGGGGCAGTTCATGCCGCGAGCGAGTACGCGATGTTCCCGCAGAATCCTATACAGTCTCGTACATTTGACAAAACCCCAAGGGCTGCCAGACTCCGGATTTTCATATCGCTGGTTGGTCCGGTACCTATCAATAAAATTCAGAATGTCAATTTCTCGTGTGGTTAAATTCATTTTATATTCTTCTTATCTACTCATCGTTAGTTCATGACGCATGAAATTCATCGTTAATAGCATTATTTATGTATCAGATATTGTCCGTATTCCCTAGACAATTGAATGTATTGTCCGTATTCCCTAGACAATTGAAAGTGTCGGTTAAGTTATTAGCTACGTTGTTTAGTGAACATGCGCCGAATTTTCTTGAGGACGATATGGCGCTGTCAATATATGTCTTGAACCAAGGAATGTCATGAAATCTTTCCAAGTTGTTGATGTAAATTGCGGTCCATTATCTGTAATAACGGTACTAGGAGCACCAAAATGGCTTATATAATTATTAGTGAAAGCGTGTACGATTGTATTAGTCAAACTGTCCTTCAATGGAACACAAATTGGATATCTTGTATATCTGTCAATTATCATAAGCAAATAAACATAACCATGAGATTGGGGGAGTGATCCAAGTAAATCTACGTTGATAGTGCTAAAACGTTCATCTGGAACTTTGATGTTTTTCAATTCTGTGCGTATGTGTCGTTGAACTTTTGCTTTCTGGCATCGTATGCACTCACGAACAAACTTACGGATGTCTTTACTCATATTCGGCCAGACATAACTGTCTTTTATAAGTTGTTGAGTTCCTGATATTCCTGGATGACACAAATTATGAGTTAGGTTGATAATACGATATCGTAATGAAGTTGGAATATATGTCCGAGGTTTGCCAGCAAGGCTGACGTCACAAATAATGTTTCCCGCCAATCCTGGGACTGGAAATTGTACTAACTGTAGAGAATGCTTGCTTGCGTTCGTTAAAAGTTGCTTCAGCTCGTGGTCGTTTTGCTGTGCGTTATAGATGTCAGTTAACGGGATAATTTCCTGTTGAGGTACAATGGCATTTATTCCAGCATGCTCTTCGGGGTGAATTTCTATTCGGCTCAATGTGTCCGCTGCGATATTCAATGCACCGGCAATGTGTTTTACTGTGAAATCGAAAGTTGATATGTATTCAAGCTGACGGGCCTCCCGTTGGATTAATCGCTCTTTCGGACTTTGAATAGCCTGTACCAGGCTTTTCGAGTCTGAGATTAATTGAAATTTTCTTCCTGTCAGTTCATGCCGAAAATATTTGATAGATTCAAAAATAGCCAAAAGTTCCTTGCCAAAAGTAGAATAAGTTTTCTGGGGGCCACGAAGAAGCTCTCGAAAACATGCCCAGAGGTCTCCATTGATTATTTTCAAACATTTGCAAAACACCTGATATTCCAATGTCAGATGCATCAGTAATTAAAGAAATGGGTGCTTGATGATGTGGATGAACCAACAGCGTAGCATTGGCTAAAGCATGTTTAATGTCATCAAAAGCTTTCAAAGATTCATCATTCCATTTGATTCGAGAACGTTTACTAGGCTTCCCAACTGTCATCTCATTTAAAGGTCGTATAATGGTAGCAAAGTTTTTTACAAAACGATTATAATATGTACAAAGACCAATAAAAGATCTTAATTCTCTCAATGTGTTCGGTTGAGGATATTTTTGCAATACTTCCACCTTGTCGGCTGAGGGTTGTATTCCTTCGGGCGTAACATGATGGCCTAAGAATTTAATTTCTGATTTGTTGAAATGGCATTTATCTGGATTTATAGTAAGTCCATAAATGTGTAAGCGTTCTAGAACTTGATCTAGTGTTCTGAAATGTTCTTCCTCTCTTTTGGTTGCAATGAGAATATCGTCGAAGAATACAAATATATTGTCGATGTTCGCTAAAACTTCGGTCATGAAATAATTGAACGTCGCTGGGGCAGATGCTAGCCCGAAACAAAGAGTTTTAAACATGTACATCTTATTGTTGCAGGAAAAGGCTGTTTTTGGTTGATCCGATTCCAAGATAGGAATATGATTATAAGCTTTTGTGAGATCAAGTGTAGTGAAATGTCGACAGCCATGCAATTTATTGACAAAATCGTACAAGTGTGGAACGGGATGTTTTTTCCTTGATCGTGATTGAATTCAAAAGTCGAAAATCGAGGCACAGCCTGATAGCATTAGAACCCCGCTTTGGAACGATGGTAACTGGAGAATTATAAACGGAATTACATGGAATTATATCTCCTAAGGCTAATAAAGTTTTAATTTCTTGTTCCACAGAAGCCTGTAAGTGAAAGGGTACTCTTCTTGGTTTGGTCATAGTCATAGTCAATTTTATTTTTTCCAACCAGCAAAAAAAATAACATACAAAATCAAAAGATAAACAAAATTTAACACACATTTTTACTGGGGAAGGGAAGCCGCGGGGAACCAAATTTGGTTATCGAGCAGCGACACCCAAGATTCGTCATCTAATTTAATTTGGAAACTCGGAAGTTATGTTTTAAGAATAAAATGTACCGGTACAGGTTTGAAAATCCCATCCCATCGGATAACTCGTAGGGTATTCCCTGATTAATCGGGTAAGTAAAGGTCTATGTTTTAAGAATAAAATGTACCGGTACAGGTTTGAAAATCCCATCCCATCGGATAACTCGTAGGGTATTCCCTGATTAATCGGGTAAGTAAAGGTCTGAAATGCTGATACGTGTTGTATATATTGTCTAGAAATAGCCTGATTGCGAACACTATAAACACTAATAAGTAGTTTATATATAACCATAGTTTAAATAGGCGCAAACATGCAAATGGCAATGAATTATAAATAGGCCATGTTACAGGATGAAAAGGACGCGGGAAATCAGTGGTGGTTATCGAGCAGCGGCACCTATAAAATAACTCTGGACACTATATTATAAAGAAGAAAAAGTCAAATACAGTGTAAATAAATTGGAAAATAAAATGCATACAATATCTCGAGGCAATCTGCTATAATCAACAGTCGCTCACTTCAACAAAACACGACTCTGAACACCACTAACTTGGTAACCATGGAGATGGTATTAATGGACTGTGTCACAACAATACTATTGCTGTATTGTGATGCGCATTGTCTAACAGTCGCCAATAAACGTCAGATTCCGAAGGCGTAACACTGGCTTTCAATTAGACGCGGTGGATATTGAGAGCAAAGAAACAGGTAATAAAATCTTGTAGCATTAAATAGAAAGACGGAATATCTGTGACGCTAAAATTAAATTAAACGAGATACGGTAACGTGGTAGGTACCGGTAACGGTATAGCATAAATGATTGGTAAATGAATGTGATGTTACCGTATATTGCTATTTCGTAGATTGTCTCAGAACTTGCAAGTCACCCGTTCACCCTTCAGCTTCAACGCCCACGTGAATGAAGATGCGTTAAAAATCTCTATATGTTTTTATTCGTAAATTTCCACAACACACAGAATAAATCTTAAAACATTTATCCACACTAGCTTTGAATGGCTTACATCGTCTTCCCTCTCGAAAGATATCGGAGTCGTATTTATACGTCCATCATAAATCTTATTAAATACTGTAAACGTGAGCTCGTGATTCACGTTATAAACAGAAACTCCTATTATCTCAATAAAGGTAATTATGTACATCGTACGGATGGGAACTTAGATATAATTATTTCAATCAGGGCCAAAGGTCTTGAGAATATAGATTTTAATTTGATAATGACTGTGTGGAACCTGTTATGTTCTTAAAACTGGTGTAATTTGATTCCTACGAAAGTCTTTGTTCGAATTTTGGGAAAAATTAACTTTGTTTTGATGTTTTTAACATGAGATGGGGTACATTTGGGGGTTAGTTGCTATATTATCTCCCCATCTTACTAACTGGAAGTTTCAAGATTTGGCACCTCAAATAAATCGAAAATATATAAAAAAAAATACAATACACAATGCTAAAATTAATGATATAGGTCAAAAAAATATTTACATGTATATGATCTACAATGAGACACGACATTGAAATAAAGAAGAGTTTATAGAAAGAGTAAAGATTGTAAAGTAGAATTACAGAAGGATGGCGTATTTTTATTTTAAAAATTTTGGTTTGGACGGTTAAAACATATTTTCAATTTAATGTATTTCGCTAAGTTAAAATACTTATACTCGCTTTATCGCATTGTTACGATTTTGTAGACCTAGTTGGTCAATATATGCTTGTCCCGTGTCGGGAAGAAAAAACGCGTTGCGACCTAGTTGGTCTATATATATATTTGTCCCATGTCGGGCAGAGTAAGCGCGTTGCGACCTAGTTGGTCTATATATTTGTCCCATGTCGGGATGAAAAAACGCATTTTTAAGTTTATGCCATCTCAGGGCTTTTTTGAAAAAATAACGCTTTTGGATACAATTTTTGTTAAACGAGCTTATTATTTCACCGTTCTATATGACGGCTTTGTAAATAATTAAAAGTATGACTCGCTCGAATCTACTTTTAGAAAGCATTTTGATTCTAACGAAATCTATTTAATCGAAAAGGAATGCTAACCACAAATATTCAATAATATAAATCTTTTTAAAGGTATTTGAAATTAGAATATTCAAAGTTTTACCATTAATTAATTTATAAAAATTGAAAACCAAATGAAACGCCATGTATATTTAAGAAGAAAAAGAAGTACTTTACCTTAGTATTAGTGGAAGAATGAAAAATATCTGTCTCAATGAGGAGAAAAACCTGCAAATCATGAAACAAATTGTAGAATAACATGCTCCTGATTTGTATATCCATTAGGTAAGCGCGACAATTTATCTCTATTGTTTGGAATAGAGCGCGTAATTTACCGTAAAACAGTCCATGTATATAGTTCATTGTTTTCAACAGTTCGTTTTTGATTAGGTTTTTCACCTCGAACATATATCATGTTCTAGAGAGTTCATTTCGATCGATGTTCAATACAGTCCATATATTCATGATTTTAACGTTTCCAGAGTCCGTTACCATAGTTCAACTGTTTTCAATTGAGATTATTGTCTTTTCATAATGTTTCTGATTATATCGGCTTGTCAACAATTTGCTACTTCAATCGTTGTTCCAGGCAATTTGAATCTCCCCGACGTTCGTAAGTTGGTCGAATTTGATTTTCGCACGTTGTGTAGAGACGGTTTCTCGGCAATTGTTGAAAGCTTCAGCTTGGTCTGTTTTTTGGTTGATTCCTTCCAATTGTTGCTTGTCCTGGTTGTTGTCCGTTGATCTGGTCCGTTTCAGAAGGTTAATTCAAGTCGGTTTTGTCACCATTTATAGCATTAATGGGTTGTTAGATGAATGTGATGTTACCGTATATTGCTATTTCGTAGATTGTCTCAGAACTTGCAAGTCACCCGTTCACCCTTCAGCTTCAACGCCCACGTGAATGAAGATGCGTTAAAAATCTCTATATGTTTTTATTCGTAAATTTCCACAACACACAGAATAAATCTTAAAACATTTATCCACACTAGCTTTGAATGGCTTACATCGTCTTCCCTCTCGAAAGATATCGGAGTCGTATTTATACGTCCATCATAAATCTTATTAAATACTGTAAACGTGAGCTCGTGATTCACGTTATAAACAGAAACTCCTATTATCTCAATAAAGGTAATTATGTACATCGTACGGATGGGAACTTAGATATAATTATTTCAATCAGGGCCAAAGGTCTTGAGAATATAGATTTTAATTTGATAATGACTGTGTGGAACCTGTTATGTTCTTAAAACTGGTGTAATTTGATTCCTACGAAAGTCTTTGTTCGAATTTTGGGAAAAATTAACTTTGTTTTGATGTTTTTAACATGAGATGGGGTACATTTGGGGGTTAGTTGCTATAACGGTACTCAGTGCTGCAGTGATATACTGTATATCAATGCAGACGTGGTCCATTAAAAGAATAATTTGCACTGGACAACAGTTTGAACATATAAGGACAGCGTAATGAGAAAATTAGTAATGCAATAATTACGTCAATTATCACAGCTAAGCCATATTTACAGTACTTGGTCATTAGGAATAGTTCAATAACATTATTCACTCTGTTTTAGGTGAGGGTATGAAAACAGTAATACAACAACTTAGGAGATAAATTGTTTCAAACAATTGGAAGTAAGTCGACAAAAAAAATAATGTTAATAGGACATGTTTTGTTTGCTTTTTAACATATGAATAACATGTGTCATCAATGCTCAGGGCATTGATTCAATTACAGAAATCAGATATGAACTCATTCACTACATTAAAGTAAATACAGTAATGAACGTTTGTCATATAAAGATACAAGAGCTATAAATTGAGAAAGATTGTTGCTGTAAAGTAATGAAGACTGAAATAATTTGTCCATTTGTTTGTATTCGATGTACTGTATTGTGTTTAAAGCGAACAGATGTATGTTTAGGAATAGTAATATCTTCATATTTCCGTAGTAAGTTTGTAACTCGACTATCGTGGCTAGGTGAAATGAATGAAGCAGCAATTGTCGGCATAAAGGTTCTCCTGCCTTTAATGTAGTGTTGAGAGCGTGGATTTTTCAATGTAGCTGAACCCACATCGAGTAATAAGTTGTATTTGGTCAGGAAATCAATGCCAATGATAGGGGTTCGCACTTTCGCGATTTGAAATTCAAAGTTGTAAGTAAGACCATCTCCAAGATCAAGGGTTAACAAACGAGTCCCATACCATGGTATCTTCGTACCATTGATGGCATAAAGGGAATGACTAAGTGGTTTCTTTATAGGTATAAAATCAGCTGGAATAATTGAAAGAAATGACCCAGAATCGACAAGAAATCGACGTCGACTCGATTTATCAATTATGTACATAAGAGAAGTTGGTTGTTGCCATGCTGAGTTTGCTGTTGCACAGATTCTTTCGGGTTTTCGACAACTTTGACCCGATCTTAGTGAAAATTTTGAGGAGCCATGGCACATCCTACACCTTTGCATTTGTAAGCTTTGTCGCCAAAAGTCGCGTGATAGTAACAGAGATTGGGGTCCGTGTTTTGTTGAGAAATGTTCATTGGCGGTCCATTATTGTGTCGAAAAGGCGGACCGTGAAGTTCCGGGGGTGGACCACGATATTGGCGATCGCGTCTAGGCGGTCCTCTCAAATTGTTGTATCTCTGAGGTGGTCTGTCCTGGTAATCCTTGCCTCTCTGCTGACGGTTGTAATTTGAGCGGTAGGTTTGCTGTTTTTCCTGTGTAACCTTGTCTAACTGAGTTTTGAGCTGTTTCACCTCTGCCAACAACTCTGAATAAGCTCTTGTGTCAGATTGTGGTGTTGTTTTAGAATTAGTAGCAACGCCCGATGCGGAATTTGTATCCCAGAATGTTTCTGCCATGTCTACAATTTGACTCATGGAGCGTTTTGTTCCACTTTTTGCAAAAAGTCGCCTTACGAAAATTGCCACTGGTTCTGGTACAAGTTGAACAAAATAAAACCGTAATATTTGCTCCGGAATCGGGTTTTTTGAAGCGTGAAAATCTAGTGTACGACAAATTAAGCTGTATATTTGGGTAGGTGTCATATTCTTGCATTTAGGGCCTAACGCCTCGATTTGGTCGATGAAATTTAACTCGAAAATTTGTTTGATAGCGTCAATAAAGTTATCATATTCATCCTTCGTTATTTTAGTGTCTCGATCTGGCATAAACTCCTCCATTCTAGCATACTGGTCTGGCGTGAAACTCTGAATTACATATTTGAGTTTAAAATCAGGATCGATGATTCCGAAATATGTGAATGAAGCAGTAATATTATCAATCCATTGCCTGACAGCGTGCTCCCAAATAGGCTCGCGTTTGTTCGAGGTCAAAAATTTTATATAGTTATCAGGCAACATAACCATCTCCGTATTCGAAGAGGTGGAAGAACTGGATGAGCGCGGTGTAGGGTTCTCAGAACTGACATTCTCTGTAGTTATTGAAGATGTAGAAGAACTTGATAATCCAGGTGTAGTGTTCTCAGAAGAGATAAGTTCTGTAGTTGTAGGCGAAGATGTCATTGTGCACTGTGTGGTTTTGCGTGAACGAATTTTAGTAGTTTGTATTGCTACACTTATCCTTTTTGGTTGAGTTTTAAGTGAGGTTGAATCAGAACGTCTGCTTTCTGAATCTTGCTTTTGTTTAAGGCGTTGCGACTGTCTGGTACTTGACATGCGTAACACTAAAATCTAGCGGCGACGGTACGCAACGAACGCATAAAGTGTGTATCTGGCATTCCTATATAAAAATTACACATTACAGTAAAAAAACAATATATAATGTTCGTTTGAATCCTTTGTCCATGAAAACGTCTCGAGAATAAATATGAAAAAGTATTTACTTGGAAAGGCTGCTGTCTTCATTGTTGAATTCCTGAATTGCCATCATGAAGTTGATTTTCCAGTTGTTGAATTGATTTTTCCAACTTGTTGAATTGAATTTCCAAGCGGTTGCGTGTCTTTACACGTCGGAGGTCATCAAAATATAGGGAGAAAGAGATGTGATGTTGATGGGATATAGACTATCACCCTATATGTTTAAGTTCGATTCCCGCGTTATTGTTTTGACACGCGTTATGGAATGTGACTCCAATCTGGACTCCTTCAGACGATAATAAGCACACAGTGTTGATGCTAATCGTTGTTGTATATTATAGGAAGATGCACAATCCAAATTCCGAAAACAGATAAAACTGAGACACACTTAACTCTTAACACAGTAAATCAGGAGTGAATCAAAACACATCACACTTAACGCAGTAAAAACAGAAGTGGATCTAAACACAATATTATGCAGCCCTCTCGGCAAGCCGGGACGATACGTCATCAAATTGGTCGATACGAGAAAGGCAGTACATGTAATCAGTAATCAGTGTTGCTACAATAAAATGACCTATTGTGGGGAATGGAACACACTATTAAAATGAAAGGGTTAAAGACATTATAATTCATAGTTACACAATGCACATTCGCTACAACAGAAACAACAGTAACGAGAACATGTTTGTGTATCAAGCTGGAAAAGCGGGAATTTTGGCTGACTTATCAGGACGGTGGGACAAGACGCTGAAAAGCGGGACTGTCCCGCCTAAAGCGGGACGTATGGTAAGCCTAGTCATAGGATTAGTTAGCGAGTTATTTGTTTTCGTTCGTAGTTTTTATTCGGTATTTTTCTGTTTTGTCTTTTTTCCATTTGTACCCTTTCTATTTATTACTCCGAAATCTAATTTTAACATGAATTTGTTACGGGTTTTAACCAATATTATAATTTATACGGATATAATGTCCGAGTTTTGTGGTGGCTTAGAACGGATTAGGTTATTTACAGGTAAAATACGTCCCTACTTACGGAATTTGCTACCTACGAAAGGGCTTCCGGGACGAATTAATTTCGTAGGTAGAGTTTTTACTGTAGTTGCAAGCACAACAAAAAATGTTTCTTTTAGTTATTGTTTTTGAGGAATTGTTAGGGGTAGGCTTACCGTACGTACCGTTTTAGGCGGGGCAGTCTCACTTTTCAACGTCATTTCCCGGCGTCCCGACCGGTCAGCCAAAAGTCCCGCTTTAGCGTTCAGCCAGTCAGCTTAATACACGAATATTACCAATTAGCATGTCTCGTGGGTGCGTGTTTTTGATTTTTTCGTTGTTTTGTTAGCGGATAATCGCTACAATTGTTACGTGTAAGCCCTGTACGCCCAAAGGGTGCTCAACGATAACGTAAATACCTTTCTATTTTTCCAACTGAAACCGATATTTAGACAGACAGCGCATGAACTCTTGATGACAATCTCGCTTTAGGGTCACAAAAATTATGGTAACCCTAGTTCTTGCAGAATTGTTGAGTTAAAAACTGCTATTTAAATTTATTGTCACACCTACTTTATGAATTCAATGAGAAAACCGTTTTTATAACATTGTGTATTCTGCAACAGGTTTTTGCTATCTAGTTTTGACTCAGGTACTGGTATAAGCTTTGCGACACAAATAGATTGGAAATGTTCTCACCTACCAGATTAAATAAACTCAAAACTCGTTTCGTGGGCATACCGTTCAAAATTATCACTTCACCGCGGGCCGCACATTTTTTGTGGGCCGCATTTGGCCTGCGGGACGCAGTTTGCGCGGTGGCGAGCGTATTCTCAACTCTTAGCGCGATACGCCAAATACCATTTTATCTGCGTATCGTTATTTTATCTCTGTTTATGCCGACCTTTATGCCGTTTCTTATCCACTTTAATAACAATGGCTAATTAGCAGAAGTCAACGGTTACGTCAGAATGATAAATTGATTTTTTCAAGACCAAGGCCAATGTGGAGGGTGTTACTCTTCTAAATATAGATAGTTGAAGATAAGGGTTTTCGTATTATCTCGCCGAAAATATACGATCAGAAAGAATAGTAGAAACAGACAAATGGCGGAGAAAATCTCCAAAGCTGACAGCCCCAACAAAAAATAAGACATGTACCGACGCGTGAATAGTAAATTCGGAAGAAATTGTATGCAGCGAACACTGTAATAACACAAACAAAACATCTCACTTTTATGTAGGTCGTAAAAACAAATCAACAATAATTATTGCTATGTGTGGTGTAAAGAAATTGTAATCCTGGATCTGGGTCTCGCAGTGAAAGCTTTCTACGTTCTTGATCGCAAACAAAACATTTTACTTTTACTCAGATCATAAAAACAAACTGGCAATTATTGCTAAACTGTTTGTGTGTCGTGTATATAAAGAAATTGTAATCATGGGGCTGTGTCTGACCATTGTTACCTTAACAAGTTGTTACTTAACTTGTTATTGTTTGCAAACAAAACATCCTATTTTTAGCCAGATCAATGGTAAAATCATCATGGTTCTTGTTTGCAAACGAAACATCCTATTTTTAGCCAGATCAATGGTAAAATCATCATGGCTCTTGTTTGCAAACGAAACATTCTATTTTTAGCCAGATCAATGGTAATATCAATGGTATCATATTACTATGTGGTCTGAGAAAAATTGTTTACTAACATTGCTAACTCAGATGCGGGTCTGCTAATAAAAAAGGATGCGGAAAGAGAAATATGGTATTCGGGAGATTATATGAGGTGTGTGCTGTGTGCAATTCCCAAGTCGGAGTTAATGACATTCAAATTTCAAACTAAAATTGAATCAAAGTATGTGAACTACTCGGTGAAACACACATTTTTGATAGATTTGATAAATGATAAAATTTGATAAATATAAACGACTAAGTAAAACCAATAAGTCCGTCATATTGAATTTCAAATTTTTATGTCGAGTTACATATACAAGCTTGTGAAATTTCACTTGTACAATCTGTATCCGTATTATTCTGGTGTCATTTGGTCAATGTTTTGTCATTAAGCAGAAGCCTTCGTGGAATTATCATTCTCGTTTCATGCTCTCGAATTAGCCACCGGTACTTCCATTTTGTGGATTCAATCCTGGAAAATATGTTCTACTATACATTAAATTCGATGGATAATAATGGGGCGCTCCGGAAGTATTCGTACCAAGATGACGCACAACCCTAACCTGGTACACATACTATGTTAAGATTGTGCGCCATCTTGGTACGATTACTTCTGGAGCCCCAATAATGGTGCCATGTTAACGTGCGTTTGGTTTCGAAGGCAAAATTCCGTTATGAAAATGCCCAGCCCTAGTTACCAGCCCATGCTGGTTATGGGATTAGTTAGCCAGTTATCGGAAGCATGAACTTGCTGGTGGAGAAAGCCGTAACCGACCAGCGGTTACGTGAACAGCCCTGTGTCGGAGGGGAGTCTAGCAATCCTGTCGCACATAATTGTCCCCACATTGGATTCTAACCTGCGAACCCATGCAGGGTAATCAGGGTTGCGGTGGCAAACGTATTCCCAACGCTTAGCATGATGCGCCACACCGCAGAGTCATATGCAAATAAATATGGGGGGAGCTGACACTGATGACCGTCCGTATCCCTCCCATCTCCCCGCAATAAACATAAAATCCGATCTTATCAGCCCAAATATATACAATACAATAATTTTTCCGGTATTTAAAAGATAAAATCATTAATTCATAACACTGATAAGAACATTTTACACTATACTGATTGAAGTATGTGCACCAAGATGGCAGACACCGGAACGTAGAATGTGTACCAGGTTAGGGCATAATTTCAGGTACAAATACTACGGGAGTTACTTGGCTAGTACTCGAACTTATAATAGAACTAAATTAAGGAAAACTCGAATAAAATTATCACCTAACCTAACCCTTACCTGGTACACATACTACGTTCTGGTGTCCGCCATTTTAGTTCACATACTTCGGGAGAACCGTAAAATCAAGAAGCAGATATGAAATATTATACTTATTATTGTTAAATGCATATGGTAAATACCATAACAGGTAATATTCAATAAAATAGAGAATACACAGAAATTAAAATTGCAAAGTTTACTGACATTTCTCCATCATCATCAAGGTTAGACAAACTCCTGGATATTCAGATATATTCATTTTAATGTGGTTTACATGCGAATGAATTGTGATTATCATAAAATTGGATGTTTTGATTAGAACTTAACCAATAATACTATTTCAACTTTGCCAAAGAACCACTACCAAAGTGCAACTTCCAGGTATACTAGCCGAAAAAATCCATTTTTATGGCAACTGCATGAAAATTATTGCATGCGATTGGTAAAAAAGAGGGAAATAAATTGCATTCACATTAAAGTTAGGGTCGCATTTACAGCACTATTAATAAGCTTTGATCTTAGTTTTCAAAATTTATTGTGATTTGATAAGGGTGTCGGTAAGATGAGACAACAATAAATTTAATAAGGATAAAAGATTTTCATTTTTGACTTGCGCTAGCACTGTTCTATGCTGTTAAATGAACTTTTTTCATGAGCGAGCTTTTGATATGATTGCCCTAAATGGGCATACTAGATTGAATTAATGATAGTTGTGTTCAGGTTTTGTAAATTCAAACATCAAATAGCGAATAATAAGTTTTTACACCCCACTCATACACAATATAAGAGCCCAAAAATTCTCGGTGCTCCCGAAGTATGCGAACCAAGATGGCGGACATCGGAACGTAACATGGGTAACAGGTTAGGCCATAATTTCTTTCCAATTTTCCTTATTTTAGTCCTATTATCAGTTCGAAGACTAGCCAAGAGCCTGCCGTAGTATTTATACCTAAAATTATGGCCTAACCCTAACCTAGTACACATATTACATTCCGATGTCCGCCATCTTGGTTCGCATACTTCGGGAGCCCCAAATTCTCTTTCAATTAAAAAAAGTTTTGAGGTAGGTAAAACGAAAATGAAATATAACAAAATAAGATGTGGTATTGCACTTTGTTTTAGTACGTTTTCACGCTTTAACTCTTAACGAGACTAACAAGTGAAGAAGTAAAGAGTTGTTTTTTATAGTTATGAATTGGAGGTATTACAGAAGTAATGGAACACTTCTTGCGATGAATATACAAGGTATATTTCGCTCTGAACTAGGCTTCAAGGAAGCAGCCGCTGTTATGTACGAAGATATTGTTCAGTTTAGATTGCAATCAGGGCATAGTAGTACAGAAGTAGATCTCGGTTTATATTGAGTTCTTCGATTTTTTTTCACTACGAGATGTTATATATACTGGTGATCATATTATATATAAATATATTGATAATAGTATAAATGATAATCATAAAATATATGAGTGTCAATCAAGGTAGGCAGGGACGTAGGTAGGAATTTTGGAAGGGAGGATTCTGAAATTTCTGATTGCCAAGTTATACTGTAACGACCAGCGGGATCGCCACAGGATACAGTGGCCCCAGAAAATGTTGAGTTTCCAAGAGTCTTTAGGGCAGTGGTTCTCAACCTTTTATGACTCGTGGCCCCCTTTCGGAGGCTTTTAGCACTCATGGCCCCCACTTTGATATTCCAGAGGTATTTATAGGGTTATTTTCATTGATAGATTCCAAATCCCATTATGTTATAACATTTTGCACAAAAGAAAGCGAAAACACCCTGCGAAATAACTTTGTTGAGCAGCAAACTAGGAAAAACTGTGAGATTACTTTTAAAGTGAAAAGTAAATTCAGATTTCAGCCCATCCTTGTGGCCCCCCTCCAACTCCTCTGTGGCCCCACTAGGGGGCCGAGCCCCCGGTTGAGAACCGCTGCTTTAGGGTTTAAAAAGCAAAAAGTAGTAAAAAAAGATATTTTATATTTCAGGGGAGGGGGGGGGGGAGCATGGGCGATCTGACCCTCAAACACCCCTGGCTACACCTTTGAAGGCTGGCATGAGGTAGGATATCGACCATATCAAATATATTGACACAATTCTGTTGACATGCCATCGTTGAGAAACTGAAGATTTTCCCAAAATTTGATGTAATACGAAGAAGCCCAGAGTACATTTGAAAAGAGCCTTGTTGCAATAAAACTTTCATTTTTCTCTGCTTCATCAACAACTTTTGGCCTGAAGCACATTAGATAAAAAATTAAAAGATGACTTCATTAAAAGATTTTCAAAACATTTACAGCCCACTAAGCTTCTGGTTCTTCTTCTATGGTGTGAATATTCGGGCGGGGATCGAAATAAGCTGTAATTTCTTCTAGTGTTTTTCCTTTGGTCTCTGGAAGCAAGATGCCATGATAGAAGATGCCTATCAAACAAATACCAGCGAATATCCAGAACGTACCTTGTGTTGTGAATGCGACCTGAAATAGAAGATTATTCATTAGATATGTAACAGGTTTATAATATTAAACTCGGCTCTGCGATGTGGTGCATCACGCTAATCGTTAGAAATACGCTCGCGTTCGCATGTTCGAATCCCATGCGGAGATAGTTGAAGGCGAGAAGATTGCTGGACTTCTCTACGCCGTAGGGTGGTTCACATAACCACTGGTAGGTTACGGTTTCCTCCATCATCAACTCCATGCTTCCAAAAACAAACAGCTGGCTAACTGATAACATACCTGACATAGACTGGTAAACAGACGGGAGGCCGTGGTTCACCATATTATATTATTATAATCCCAGGCAGAGATGGTTATGTGCGAGAGGATTGCTGGACTCCTCGCCGTCGTTGGGTGGTTCACGTAACCGCTGGTCGGTTACGGCTTCCTCCACCACCAAGTCCATGCTTCCGAAAACAAACAATAGAACTAATCCCATACCCGACTTGGAATGGTAACCGGACGAGAGGCCGTGGTTTGCCATATGGATAAGACGTTTTATCGGTTTTCCTCTCCCCCGGGATAAATATGTAAATCCTATTATGATTAAGCTTCTGTTCTAGGGGGTTTAAGGCCTTGCTACTGGCATACAATTAAGTTCAAGTACTGACCTGCATATCGTGAAACTCCTTTGTAAAAATAAAAGCTAAAACCCAATTAAAGCCTGTTGACAATCCACTCGCTTTACCTCGCGCCCGGACTGGAATGATTTCTGATAGAATGAGCCAAGGTACAGGACCGAGACCGATTGCAAACGCGGCCATGTAGATTAGTAGGCTAGCAAGTGCCAACCAATTCAGGTTCCCCGATGCTGAAACACAATACAGAGAGAGGTTAACTGTATATCCTCCGTACAAGACGACTTTTAAACTCAAAAAAAGTTGCCAAACTAAGGGATCAGCTTATACGCACACGCATAATGCAAAATTTGATTAAAAATGGCACTCTTGTTGAATGATGCTTGTTTGATTTGAAATATTGCTATATTCAAAATTTGCTGTAATATAAATTATCTGTCACTACTAACTGGCTCAGAAATTGGTGCATCGTGCCAACTGCCAAGCATCAAGAATGCTCTTGCCCTGCAGGTTCTGATCGCATGGAGACGGGGATAATTTTATACCCAAGATGATTGCTAGACCTCCTTGCCGTCGCAAGTCAGTTCACATAACCGCTGGGCAGATGTGGTTTTCTCCACCCCCAAGTCCATGCATCTCAGAAAATAACTGGTTAACTATTCCTATACTGCACATGGACTGGTAATCGGACAAGAAGCCGTGGTTCATGATATGATTAGGCCGTCTTATTAGCTTTCCTTTTACCCCAAATAAATATATATATTCTTTCCTGAATCCGCTGGTCAGATCGTCCACCACCATGCATCTGAAGCAAATAATTGGTTAACAATTCGCATACGAAAAGCTAACCAGACGAGAGGTTATGGTTAACCACATCATTACGCCATCTTATCGACTTCTCTCTTTCCAGAATAAATATGAAAAATCCCTTCCAAAATGTATAACTCACATGCGTCTATCTCTTCCAAAACGTGTCCAAGATCAAATCCTGTACCGTTGTTTCCACCAGATGAAGAAAGTTGAAAGTAGAGACCAAAAGTACCAGAACTAAGAGCCATGAAACTTCCTGATACAATTAGTAATGCTTTTCGGCCTAAATAATAATAAGAATTTGGTACTCCCTGAAGTATGCGCACCAAGATGTCGCATAACCTGAACCCTAACCTGGTACACAACCTGAGTTCTGGCTGTGCGTCATCTTGGTGCACATACTCCAGGAGGTCCAAGATTTTGTTAAAACTTTATTGTGTGATGCTTATTTACCCTGAACAAGTCCCGGTACTTCCGTGTGAACCAAGATGGCGGACACTGAAACGTAGTTTGTGTACCAGGTTAGGGTTAGGTCATAATTTCATTCCAATTTTCCTTATTTAAGTTCTATTACGAGTTCGGGGACTAGCCAAGTGACTCCTGTAGTATTTGTACCTAAAATTTTGGCCTAACCCTAACCTGGTACACATACTACGGGAGTACCCAAGTCCCTGTACAGGTAGCCACTGATATCAGACCATCAATAAGGGGTAACCATATTTGAAAGATACAAAATTTTTCTGCCCCGCTATAGTCTGCCTAATTAAGTACACCATGGGTCTGGTGGCGGTATTTGAATTAACGATGTGAAGAACGTCCAAGTGATTGGCTTGATAGCACAGGTTTTCATTGAGAGTAATTCGCTGTTTTGATATTCTAGATCGGTGCACTTCAAACCCTGGTAATCTTTTGGCTTTACATGGCCGGCTTGCATGATCTTACGAGTTGATTTTTGATATGGAGTCAGTTCTTAATATATCTTAATCAGGTTTGTTGTTTTTAATCAGTAATTTTCAAGTATTTTTACTTCATTTAATACATTTGTGATGGCCGAAAACATATTTGATAAATTCTCTTTGTAATTTGAAAATTTTAAGACGTTATGAACAGCCTATACACGGAATTGGAAAATGTTCGGTACCTGCTTTATCCATGATAACACATGCAATTAATGTGAAAAGAACTTGAATAAAAGCAACGAGGATCAAGGCAACATTTTGCATAGTCTCTGAGGTGAATCCAGCGTTCTGTAACAAAAATATTAAGTGATGTTTAAAAATTGTGGGATTGCTATTCCTTGTTATTCCTGCGAGATTCAGTTAAAATTTAAATTCGAAATTGATAAAGTTTAATAATGATATTTTAAGATAATCAAGCTGATTGTTTTGAAAAAAAATGCTTTACCAGAGATTTCTCTATAAAATATAATAATTCAACATATTTTGAGTAACTTTTTTTGCAACATGGAGTAGGCCAAAACAAATTATTATATAAAACAATGTATACTTGATTGAAAGAGACCTGATCGAGATGCAGCCGAGTTACGCCATTCGGGTAAATTTGGGTGGCGTTATCTCTTCGGGTGGAGTAAGTGCTATATTAAAAACTTGTGCTTAATAAAACATTCTATAATAATAAACAGTAACGGGCCCCAGCCTAGCCCCTTGAGGCAGAAACCAATATAAAAAAGGGTACTCCTGTAGCATGTGTACCAGGTTAGGCCATAATTTTTTTCCGACTTTTCTTATTTTAGTTCTATTATGGTTCGGGGACTGTCTGTGTTAGGCAAGTGAATATAACCCCTGACAATAGGCTTCAATCCCTTCATACAACTCGATGTAAAGTAGGCGAACATAATTAGATACCCCCATATTGGTACACATACTTTTGGGGCACCTAAAAAAGTACACTTACCCTGAAAATATTCTTTGAATAAAACATAACACAATTAACCCCACTTCCTTGCTGGAAAAACATTACACCAAGACTTAGTAGCAAAGGTGTTCTAATTGATTTCTTTCTCAGCAAATCAAGCCATGATACAGTCTCTGTTGCTTTTCCTAAATTGTCTTCTAATGCTTTAAGTTCAGATTCAATATCCGCCTAAAAATTGAGATTATAAGACGAACAAAATATAAGCTGGATAATATAAGCAAAAACAGTGGTTCCCAAACCATGGCCCACATGACGATTTAATATGGCCCGCCGAACTCACCCGGGTGAAATAGTTCAACATTTTATGTTTTCACCTATTTGTGTTCTAGATATCACCAATTACTACGATATTATCGTAGTTTAAGGACGTATATATTATTACCAATTTAGGGGCTCCCGAAGTATGCGAACCAAGATGGCGGACATCGGAATGTAATATGTGTACTAGGTTAGGGTTGGCCATAATTTTAGGTATAAATACTACGGGAGGCTCTTGGCTAGTCTTCGAACTGATAATAGGACTAAAAGAGGGACAATTAGAAAAAAATTATCGCCTAACCCTAACCTGTTACGTTCCGATGTCCGCCATCTTGGTTCGCATACTTCGGGAGCACCCCAATTTAATTATACCGGTATTTTGAATATACATATAAGTATAGGCCTTTTGCGTTGCTCCTCTCTACCTACCTGCGAATATCCTTCCGCTTCTAATTAGAGCCCCAGTCATTCAACTTTGGAAACCGCTAAGCTAAGAGAGTTGACAAACAGGACAGCTAGTTTTCTTTTCGAATATCGTGGGGTAGGTTGACCACAATTTTAAAGAACAAGTACCCAGTTAAATACAATCCCTTCAAGCATACAACTGAGATCTTTGAAAAGGCATTTACACTATGAACAAGTCTCTAGATCAGAGGAGGACAAGGTTTTCAGACCAGGGGCCAAAAATTTTGCCCACCTACAGTGGCGGGCCGTGTAAGTGTGACGTAAAAAGTTACATTCTATTATTATACAGTGTTACAAAAGCAAAAGTTGAAAACAATGAGCGGATCGTGCTAAACCTCAATTTAACCTCAATCTCAAAAAATTCCTCGAGCTATTTTTCAGTTAAAACATCAAAATTTGGTTTTAGTTTGGTTGTGACAGCATCAGACGGGCCAGAATAAATTACCCAACATGCCAAATTTGTCCCGCGGGCCATAGCTTTCACATGTCAGCTCCAGATACAGTTACTGATAGTTCCGGATTTAATGATATTCCACTGTATTCACAGATCAAATGAAAGCCTATTTGGTCTTTTTAGTTAGACTTCAATTTCTCAAATTTATATGTTTTCAAATTAAACTATCCTAAACTATTCTCCCAAATCAAAAATTTGCAAAATATCAAATATAACATTTAGATATCAAATCGTTTTGGACTGCCCTGGTAGTCAGCCAGTCAACTACGAGTCCAGTGTAGGGTACGCAAAATTCCATAATGATCTGAACGCTTGACTAAGTGAGTTACAATTACAAATCGGTGCTCGTGTAGTATGTGTACCAAGATGGCGCACAACCTGAACATAGCATGTGTACCAGGTTAGGGTTATCAGGTTGTGCGTCATCTTGGCACACATACTACGGGAGCGCCTACAAATCCAGCGGGCAAACTTACACTTTGACCTCTCAAAAACACAAGAGAATGCCTAGATTGTCTTCTATGTTGATGCTGAGGTGGTACCGCTTGTTGTTCTTCGATTTCTTGCATAAGTAGAAACCTCGGCGTCTCAGGAACAAATGCAGTGAATAGTGTCAACATTGCACAAGGTACTGCAGATGCTATAGCAAGCCATCGCCATGTCAGGAAAATACCTGTTGTTAAAATGAGAATTGTATTAAATGAACAAGCCTTTAAACCAGAAACCACTCCTTGCGGAGCTGCTCTATTTTGACAGGTTCAATATGGAATATCCGTCCACGTTACGTCATATACATTAAATAATTGTACTGAAATATGTGTCTGAACCAGCGGTTCTCAAGCAGCCATATAGCAGTTACCGGGAGGCCACAATGCTACTTGGAAACTGATTTTACCTTTCCCTGGACAGACAAACTGACAGTTCTTCAGTTTCATTGCTAGATAAGGTTATTTTACGAGGTTTTTTCGATTAGTTAAGCATGAATTGTTTGAATATAATGGAATTAGGAATCTACCAATCGAAATAACACTATTAATATGACTGGAATGATAATCTGGGAGCCATGAAAACTAAAATCATCCGGAAGGGAGCCATGAGCCATAAAAGGTTGTGAACCACTGGTCTAAACTAAGCCAATTTGGCCACCAGTACAACCAAGTTTTCCACAAATTTCCATTCAAATTGTTATTATATGTATATTGTTTGAATATAATCAAAAACTTACTAGATTTGTCACATTATTGTATTTACTACACTTTAGAGATTAGTTTATTTTCTCCGTATTTAAGTTTGCTCTTATAAATATTTAGAGTTGATACTAAGAGACATTTACACCGTAGGTCAGCATAGACCATTGTCCCAGGGCTTTGTGAGAGAAACTTAGGAAGTTTCACAAGCTATTCCTTTACTTATTAAAATACTAAATATTTTTAAATACGAAACAGCAAATACATCTGAGTCATTAAATAAAGTAATTTTAGTTTACTCAGGTCAGGGACATTAATCAGTAAATAACAATGTGTTTTATTGTTTTTAATTTTATAAATTATTGCGGGGCTTCGCTTTGCAACACTGGAATCCCTGGTTTAGACTATTGCACAGCAATTCCTCTTGCCTTTATAATCTTTCATTGCGGTTCCGCTCAAGCAAAAATGTTATGAACCACTACCATATGGTATTGTAATCGACACAACTCACACGCCACTGTTTAAATATCAATTTTACTTGCGCCACAGATATTTCTTGTTGAAATTAGAAAAGGGTTCTGTTCGCTATTCGTTTCTCTTTGGATAGCATGTTTGTATTCTGCTAATCCAGGTTGCCTTAACTTACTTTGACGTAATCTTCTTTAATAATTATCGTTTGATTTATCTATTACTGTTAGACTTAAATCACAGGTGACGCTGCTTGATAACCAGTAATGGTGTCTCGCCTCCCTTCAACCTGAAGTACCATTTTACTTCTTTTTGTATTGTTTATTCATAAAGTGTATTTTAGTATCAATCAATCAATCCTCATTTATTCGTCAACACAATTTAAATGTATTATAGGAAAAATATTACAAATACCAAGGAAAACTAACTTAAATTGTGTGACAGGAGTGGCGAGGGGACATCAAATGGTCTTGAGGCAGTGACACCTACAACGCTTGATTCAGGTTAGTAGTTTAAAAAGTTAATAAAACACCAAAAACACTTCAATAAATATTTTATTGAAAAGAGAACACTTTCAGAAGACAAAAAATTACCAAATAAGCATCATAAGTGATTTAAAAGAACATAACAAATCAATTAGTTTGGTGGGAGAATAAATTACTGAATATAAAAAATAACAAATTTTCAACTCACCAAGTGCATATGCTATCAATATTCCAAATGTAATACTGAGTTGATTTGCCGAGCCAAGCAACCCTCTAAGATGTGGAGTGGATGTCTCACTGATATAAGTCTAAAATAACAAAATGGAACTTTATTTACTGATATACTGCTTGAATAAATTTATAAACATCTATTTGCAAGTTATTGCAAGTCTTCATTTTTTGAAATTGCAGAGGGAATTTATTCTATACCATATATTGTTAAATTGTTTTGGGCCTCACAGATGTATTAAATGAAATAAAAATACTTAAACAATTACTGATCAAAAAACAACAAACCTGGTTAAGATATATTAAGAACTGACTTCATAACAAAATTGAAGTTGTAAAGAGACTTTATGGACACCCTGTATGACTAAAAGTGCAACCCTATTGACTATCAGAGTTCAATGACCTAAAATAACACCAAGAATTTGCTGAAGCTGCGTGATGTTTAAAATGTCAATATTAGCCTTTGTATGGATCTACTGACTACTATATAATTTTTTAATAGTGTTTCGCGTTAGTTCACCACTCTACTAACGTACAGTTAACCTGCTTTTACGTTAGCTTGAGCGACACCAATTCAAATTCCTGACACCCCCCCTGTGCATTTGTGACGTAACAAGGAGTAGGCCTATATTATGACAAGACAAGCATGTATATTGTAAAGCCTATTGTCGAAGCTTAAACATAGCACGTGAAGTAATCTAGTAATCGAATATAAATAAAGTGTGAGTTTGCAGAATCAGTGCCCAGTGGTCTTTGATTAAAAGGTCAAGGAACGTTAAAGTTAAGCGAAATGAATAAATTTTTAAAAAGAACAGCTGATACTGAGCAACATATTGTACCTAGCACAAGCAACGTTGAAAAAAATAAAAATTTGTCAAAAGGAAATACAGGAAAGATTACGTCAAATATGAATTTTCTTGCAGTGGTAACGGAGATGCTCCAAAACCAGTCTGGTTTATTTGCGGGGAGCAACATTCAAATGAAGCAATGTTTCCGAGTAAACTTATGCGCCACTTAAATATGAAACATGCTGTTCATGCTCGCAAGAATATAAATTATTTCCAGCGGTTGTCAAGACAAAAAAAGAAGCAAGAGTGCTCTGTGAAGTCGTCTTTTACAGCCTCCAAAAAGCCTTAGAAGCTAGTTATCGTGTTGCAAAATTGATTGCGCGTCACGTAACGATCCTAATATAGAGTGATTGTGCTCATTAAAACAACCACAAATCTCTCATTGTTATATGAGCATGTATTACACCTTGTATTTTTCGTTTGTTGTGGTGTGCCGTCAAATTTGACAAGTTTTATAAGTGTGCCGCAAGTTGAAAAAGGTTGCGGAGCACTGCTCTAGATCAGGGGCTCCCAAACTAAGGTCTTCGGACCCCTGGGGTCTAAGATGACTGCACGGAGGGTCTGCTAAAATATGAAGAGTGTCCAATCGATCATTAATGATTGATTCCAATCCAAAAGTCACTTTTTTGGTAGAGCGTTGGAATGAATATCCAATGCTGTCATATAAGGCAATTAAAATTTATTGCCTTTTGCAACAACCTACATGTGTGAGGCAGCATTTTCAGCTCTTACCAATATGGCTCAGCGGTTTGCTAAGCATTAGGAATATGCTTGACACCGCATCTCTGATTACCTTCCATGGGTTTGCAGGTTCGAATCTCATGCAGGGATAGTCATAAGTGAGAGTATTTCTGAACTCTATTTCTATCTCTATCCTCTCTATTTCTATCCGCCGTAGGGTGGTTCACGTAACCGCTGGTCAATTACTTCAACCATCAAGTCCATGCTTCCGAAAACAAAACACTGACTAATCCCGCCATGAACTGGTAACCGGCCGATAGGCCGTGGTTCGTCATGTGATTAAGCCGTCTTAACGGCTTTCCTCTCCTCGGATTAAAACGTAAATCTTATCCTGATGAATAAATAAAAACAATTTTTTAACTTATAACCCCGACATACTTATGTCCTACACTTCAACCACGTTTTGCAAACTATACTATTTACCTATTTAGTTTTCAACTGTGATACGAATAAATCACAAAAAAAAACTTACGGGCACAACCAATGAAGCAACGCCCCCAGAGAATCCAGTCAGTGTTCTGCCGATAAGCAACATTGGAACATTCACTGCATATGCCATCAACTAGAAAATAAAAATTTGAACCTTATCATAAAAAGCAGCGCAGCCTGTTTTTTCAAACTGGGCCCTTGGGGTCCGAGAGGGCCACAGAGTGATTTTCTGGGGGTCATGAGCAATGGCCTTCACCAGATACTATTCACAAATCAGAAAGGCTGGGCATTTTGAATCGAATATTCGAATCAAATTTACATTATTTGAATCGGTTCAGGCAAAATTTTCAAATTGTTGCCATCTTGTTACTTATCGATCTCGCTCGGTATGTATGTTGATAGGTATTTGTCTGTTTGTCTGTCTGTTAGATGTATGCGATATCTCAGGAAGGCGTGGTTGAATCTGCTCCAAATTTTGCATGTGCATTCATCATATCTCGGACGAAAAGCCTATTGATTTTGGATGAATTATGCCGTATAATTAGCGAGTTATTAATTAATTAGTGATGGGACACACGTTGTCACTATGGAGTAAGACCACTGTTTTGGGGGATCCCCTAACATTCGATCGATAAGTCTGCGGTTTCTAACCGATATTCTAGTTTGTCTGTTAGACACTTTCGTATGTTACCGATATCTCACGAAAGCGAGGTTGAATCTGCTCCAAATTTTGCATGTGCATTCATCATATCTCGGACGAGAAGCCTATTGATTTTGGATGAATTATGCCGTATAATTAGCGAGTTATTAATTAATTAGTGATGGGACATGCAGTGTCGCTGTTGAGTCAGAGCGAAGGATTTGAAACCGCAGTTTCTGTTTTGGGGCGCCCCCTAAATTTCTTCGCTGCAAACGCTTGTGTGCGCAACAATGCCCTGCCTGCAATGTGGAGCGTTTAGATATTTTGGTCACACGCTGCTTAAAACCAATTGTCTAACCACATAATTTAATATTTTTGGCGAAATACTGCTGTGTGTTTCAGCAGGAGAAATTATTCAGAATGTGGCCAACTAAAAAAAACACAATTTGCGAGAATAACTCATGTGAAATCATACTTCGTCAAAATTGTCGAGTAAAATATTGAACATGCGGAAGATCGATAAGTCGGCAGTCTCTGATCGCTATCTGGTTTTCTCTTTGTTCATCACAGGTTGAGGTGATTCAATTTTTTTTTATTGAAGCCATATTTTTAAAATGCAATTCTGACATATTATTTTATTTCCTCCCAGTGATGATACATTGATAATACATGTTTCTTATTGTGGGTGACAACTCAGTGAATTTTCTAAGTGATTGAATAAAATAAATAACTTACCAACATGCCACCAACAAACGGAATCCCACATAACATTGCAGTTAGCTTCCTTCCAAAGAATCCAATAAAACCTCCACCTAATATACCCCCTGCCATTGCTCCAAGTGTCATCAGAGACTAAGAAATAAAAAATACATCAATATAGAGTTACAATATTTTTTTGACTTCAAAGCGGACGCCTCCTGTAACTTTACAGTTTCCGATTTTACTACATAGGCTACATTTAAGCCATCCCGACTGTCTTCATTGATCATATTGTCATCGAGAGTTCATGCATATTCTCTGTCTAAATATCGGGTTCAGTTAGAAAAATAGAAAGGAAGAGACGCTAACGATACAAATATCCGAATTTAGATTTTTTTATGTACAGCAAATGGAATAACGAATAATGAAACAGTCTGCCGTTTTCAAGCATTGGGAATTTACTTATTTGCCCAAGCATGCTTTTCTGTAGATAACACCTTTAAAAAAACGTTGTTCAATGTTACATTCACGTGAACGTCCGAACAGGACCAATTAGAATTGATTTTACATGTGATACATTTGCTAACAATGTTAGCGGGAAACAACGAAAAAAACAAAATACATCATTCATCTCTTGTAAGTACGCTAGCGTTGCGCTACACAGCAACAACAGTAACGAGAACATGTTCGTTTATTATGCTAGATGGCTGAACGCAAAAGCGGGACTCTTGGCTGACTTGTCGGGCGGCGGGACAAGATGCTAAAAAGCGGGACTGTCCCGCCAAAAGCGGGACGTATAGTAAGCCTACATCAATACAATGAATCCAAAGATGTGGGTGTGGCGGAGGCATGGCAACAATAATAGGCTTTTCAACAACATAGTTGCTCCTCTCACCTTAATGGCTTTTACAAAACAAAAACTTGGAAAATATATTGTACTTATTGAATTATTGTACTGCCATATAAATCTATTTCAGATATTCAAAATCATTATTGATTGACAAATTAATGTGGTTTGCCACATAATTGGACTATTACGCAATCTGCTTTGTACGATAATATGAAAATAACATTCGGGCTATCCAACGTACAACGTTATTCCATCCTACATTATGACTTGTGTGATAATAAAAGCTCAAATAAATGCCAACAACTTTTAGGTGTCTTTTGGCTCTCAAGTGACTAGCTTAGTAGACTAGAGCAAATCGACCCTTCAGGAAACCTATTCTGGTGTAGGCCCATTCAGTCACATGAATTTTTTATTGTACATTAGTAGACTGGGTAGTAATCGGTTTATTGATTTAAACGCCATTTCAGCCGGTTTTTACTGGTAGGTAATTACAAATTTTAGGCGTGCAAAAATTAACGTCGTTTGCACAAATTTTTACAGAGCGCAAGCATGGAATCCAGTCTGGTGCATAATTAGATTTTATTTTTTTGTTATGTCAAATCCACTTCTTCCAACAATGTAAATTAAAAACTAACTCACTCCAAACCATGAGTAATCAGAATCAGTCATAGGAATAGCATTTGCTGACTCATCATCCTGCATATCAGGTATCATGGGTGATGACATACCGAGCGTAATTCCAAGACATAACGAACCAAGCAACATGGCTGCACATGATAGATAGAGATTCTTGTTGCTGTTTGCTTTGACACTGAAACATAACAAAATGATAGGGTCTCGTGAAGCAAATGCCGTAACTGCTCAAATACCCTTAAACACAAATGTGGGGTAAAAATGAATGCTGTTAGTGCTTACATAACGCTAAACTAAAATGTGAGGTGAAAATACAAACCAAATTTTCCTTTTTTAAAAAAAAGTCCGTCTTGCGGAAACACAATACGCTAAACGCATGGGACAAACGGGAGCGGACAACTCGACTCACGGGACGGACAACTCGACTCACGAGAAGACAGATAAATCGTCCACTTTTTCGCATTTTCGAAAGCGTTTTGAAAATAATACGGGTGTAGTTTCAATATTTTTCTATTAAAATTTCACATCACAATATTGTTAGGCGTTATTTAACCTAATCCTCCCGGTCTGACGCATGCGCGACGTTTCAGACGTTTTGCAATGCTGTGTGTATACCATGAGGTCTGGAATGTTTGTTATGGTCTTGCTTGAAAGGAAATCTTATTCCCCACACAACGATATAAGAATGAACCTTATATGACATTTAGAAGTGATAAAATTTCGCTTACATATCACGTGTGTACTTCCCGCTGCGATATAAAAACGTCGCACAACAAGAAAATGATTCCATAAACCTTGGCGTTGCGCGCTAACCAATAACAAAAGCTAGTATGATAAGGTCTTATTTTGAAGGTCATTTTATATGCTACATAACATAGGAGAGTGGACATCTCACAACGTCAGGAAGTTATAAAAATATTAAGTCGTTTGATCGCAGCTGCCTCACCGAAAAAAGTTAGGCGTTTTATCTCGCAAATTCTCCTTGTCTGACGATTATAAGCTTTTATGATTCATAATAAATGTTTTATTATGACTCACAAAAGCTTTCAACGCGATAAGCACAAACAAACAACCGATCGATCTATCAAGCTTAGCCTGGCCTGATTCGATGTGGTGACTTCTCAAACGGAAGATTTCCAAAACGATTGAACAACGCGCGCTATGGAAAAGCGTTTAGTATCATATGAAAGAGAAAACCAATGTGCAGTCAACTGTATAGTCACATTTCAGCTTTACAATAGCTATAGACGTCCAACAGCTGATAGAATGAGAGAGTGTAAATTTTTTTGTTATTTTTTGACGTTACGAGAGACCTATTGAAAGAGGTGTTTTAGTTTACGGTCCTCCAGTGACATCTAGCGTATAGTACTCTAAAATACCTTTCCAATGGTATATAATTATTGTATATTGGGTAAATTTTGGGGGTCGTATGACATTAATAAAAATGGGTATTCAAATTGGGCTCGAATGAGTGCAACTTCATCAAATGGGTCAAACATATTCAAATTAGGTTTGTCTTTTAGCTTCAAATGCTCTACAATTTTTACAAGTGTCTCGTATTTTGGAGAAAGATTATCCAAAAAAGATAATTTTCCAAATGTTGAATTTTCATCAAAGTTTAATCTTTTTTCCAAATACGTTATCGCAGAGTTGAGAAATAATCTAAAATCTTAGAGAATAATTATACGAAGAATTTTCAGTTATTGAACTAGAATTCACTCAAATCTTGGAGTGTTGCCACTTGCCATCTTCGGAAAATTAGTGTAAAATATTTGAAATTGTTTATAAAATTGGTATTTATTTTGCTATTTGAGCCGTATCAAAGCGAAATGAAAAAAAATAAGTAAAAGCTTGCAAATACATAAACGGAGGCGATTTAAGAACGAAACAATATCAAACACAGTACTATAACTATCGGGCAAAACGATGTTGGAAAAATTAAAGGACAATTAGCATCTTAAAAAGGACAAGGACAAAAATCTCAAATAAAGGATTGTTCTTTGAAATGAAAGACGGTTGGCAACCCTAACTTCATTAGACCCAAATGAAAAACCAATTTTCAGAATTTCTGGGTCTCATGTACACCAGTACACCTTACAGCCGTAATATATAGGCCGTAACTGACCAAATAACCCTGCAATACTAAATGAAACTAAAACCACTTTGCTTGTGTACGGCGTAGTTCTATTATGCAGGTGTTAGTCATTACAAATAACAATAAAAATTCTTACCGTGCAATCGGAAATATTCCATTATTAACACTTGCATTTGATCCTGCCCTTATTAATGGTGTTTTTTCACCAGAACTTTCATCACTTGACATTTTGTTCGTATTCTCCCAAATCAGCTCAACGAATCTGGGCTACAGTTCAACTGGTACCAAAATAAACAAAACACTGGGTGGACTTTGATCAACAGCAGGTCGACGAACCGAGTGCAGTCACGCGGATCGTTGGAGGAGTTTTGTTCAAGCGTCCGATACTTGGATTCCATAAAAATTCGTTTCGGAATATCCGGAGGAGATTTTAAAACAGTATTTCTTAAGATCCACTATTTGATAGATAACGTTGTTTAAAACATATGAAACTATACATCAGAAATATTTCACACTAGTAATTTTCTTTGAATACATTTGTTCAGCGTAGAGTGACGAACGCTAAAGTGGAGACTGGAGACACTTCTGATTGAACCATTTGCAGCTTCAAATAATCTTTTAATGCCGACTACAGGATCAACATATCGACGAACCAATTTAAAGAACTGTTGTTGTTATCATTTTTATCGAATATTAACGTTTGTGGGCATATAGCCATCTGCAAAATTGCTGTTGTTGATATAAAATCATGGACGCTACAGAAGTATGTGAACCAAGATGGCGGACACTGGTATGTAGTATGTGTACCAGGTTAGGGTAAGGCCATAATTTTATTCCAATTTTTCTCATTTTAGTTCTAATATTAGTTTGACATTAGCCAAGTGACTTTCTTAGTGTTTGTACCTAAAATCATGGCCTAACCCTAACTTGGTACACACTACACATACTACGTCACGTTGTCCGCCATCTTGGCTCACATGCTACGGGAGTGCCCAATTTATGTCATGAAAGTTGAGTTTCTCTGGTAAACTCAGTTTTAACTGTATGTTTTGTAACGTCATAAATATTTTTACGTCGCAGCTGAACGTCTTAACGTGTGATCGATGTTTCCCCGACCTTCAAACTCAGAAAACTTCTTCCTATATCTTAGCAATACAGTATAACATTCCTCATTCCTTTTGTGAAAATTATTGAAAACATTGCAAATTATTTTTGGTTGAGATTGGTATTGAATTGCTATAAATATATATATACTTATCATTTTACACAGACATATTGCAGATAATTTTCCTCAAATTTTAATGTATAGGTCTTCGGCTTTATCTTAGGCCAGACAAAAATGTCTGTAAGCTTCTGCGGACGATTTTTTCAGCTCATCATTTGTTGTTTCTCCTGTTTTCTTTTAGGCATGAACTCCTTTCATCATTTGAACCTCGGAAGTTGCCGTACTGCCGAATTCGTCGTCATCCTCATAATGCCGTAGTTAAATTCTTTTACTGTTGTTGTTGGATCAGAAGACCCAAGATTCCAGATTATATATTTATTAAATACAGCAATTTGACACTTCAAATGGCAAAAGTAGCAGTAGCAAACATTTTCTAAAATCTGACTTCAATAGCTATTCCAAAATATATTAATACAGTTCAAGTAGTATACAGGGTGTGTCAAAGATAAGCATACACTTTTCATTTTGATTTGCTATTCTATGTCTATTTCTTCACAAAACATAGTATGGAGTAGTAGTAAAATTTAAGTATTGTTTGCATTTTTCATCAGCCCACGGAATGACAAAGAGATTAATCCAAGAAATGAGGTGCAAAATTTGGCAAGAAGCATATAAATCAGTAAGGCAAACTCAATGCCTCTTTAACAAAGAATTAGAAACTAATTCGGCTCCTACACGACAAACAATTTTTGCAATTCATAGTAAATTTATGGAAACTGGATCTGTAGTTGATGCCCAAAGATCAGGAAGACCAAGAAGCACGCTTTGAGGAAAACGTTCAATTCCAAATTCTCTCTTACAGAGGCGCTGAGTTTGGCTTACTGATTTAAATGCTCCTTGCCAAACAGCAATTTTGCACATCATTTCTTGGGTTAATCTCATCGTCATTCCGTGGGTTAATGAAAAAAATTGAAAAATTTCCCTCGACTATCGGCGGAAAGACAAAAAACAAAATGGCGGCGATTCTAAATTTTGCTCTGAACCGATTCAAAATGCCCAGCCGTAATTATCGCTATCAAATCCATCTCGATAAATATTCAAATAACAAAGATACTAAAAATATTCGACTTCGTCATTGACAAATATATTGGCAACGACGTAAACGCACGCTAATGTCAAATGTCTGAGACTGTTTTTCGCATAGCTATTTTGTTTGCCGTCTATTTAACATTTTGTGAAGCAAATTTAACACTGAATATTTCAGTCAAGGACCTGATTATGATATTTACTAAAGAACTTTCTATATTTCTCTGAAAACTGAGATAACACAGATGATAATGCAACAAAATACCGCGATTCAATGACATAGAACACTTTGAGCCAACAATCGTACTTTTAGCCGTTTGTATCTCCCCACCTGTTGACAAAATAAAACAATCGCGTCTACGCGGCGAATAAAACTCTTTATTACCTTGTGTTTAAGCTTTTTAAGCTACCAATTATGGTGATTGATTATCATTTATGATCGCTGCCTACATTTAAATGGCCTGGCAAATGATGTAAATAAGTGCCTTTCGACGATTTCAAACTTTTTTGTCATCATTTACACTTACTGAAGCTATAAGTTTGTTTCATATTATATAATATTTCACGAATGCCGTCAACAACTTGTTTCGCCGACGTACGCCTTAATCATCTCATTGGCATACTCGAGTCGTATAAAACATGGGAGTTTGCATAATCGCAAAGAAACGAGGTTAGATGGGACGATCGGTTGGATTGAAGGAAGCACGGTCGGTTTAGCTAGGAGGTAGTATAGGACGATGGGTGGAGTATAAAAAAGCTGCGGGGAACAGTGAGTACATGAAAGGAAGAATGGTAAAGGTAGACAACCGGGGCAAGCTACTGCGGGACCAAATCACCCCCATCTACGGGGACAGGATGAGCGCTGTAAGTTCTCCCATCATTTTATGAGTATAAAAACCATTCCATCGGTAACAACCAATCGGCAAAAGCGACAATTTTTAACGATAAGAAAGTGTCTTTAAAACCGGTCCAAGTCAAGGGATTAATAAATATAGACATAGTTTATTTTAAAACCTCTTGCAAAAGGAAAGGCAATATTTACCCAGATAAATACAATGACATATTAACAGAAACTTCGGGAAAGCAGACAAAACCTAAAATAAGGTTTAAAACGTTACAATGAAGAAAGGAAAGGTAATGCAAAGATAAGGACATGCGTCGCTCACTCATAGATATATATGCTGCTAGACTTCTACTGCTTGAACATATATGCAACACGCCGCGGTTTCTTGGAAGCAAAATGCTCAATAACGCGCTGATTAAAGTCATGCATCCCAGAAATAACGTCTCTGTGAATGGATAAAACAGCCAAGGAATTTAATCTATCTTGCTTCATTGTGTTTCTGAGATACGTTTTAATACGCTTCAGCGTGCTGAATGTTCGCTCTGCGTCGGCGGAAGAAATAGGAAAAAATAAAAAAATAAGAGACAGTAGCCAACAAATGGATGGGAAATTGACGTGCAAATTTTAAAAAATTTTTGGGGTTCATCAAAGAGAACGCGGCAAGGTGTTCAGTGCGCAGACGATCGCCTATTTGATTCACCAGAATGTCACAGCATTCCTTTGCAGACAAAATCAAACGCTGCGTTGTTTGCCCGCGGCGTAAAGAAGCACTCCATGTGTCGTCGTATTTTATTGTTTCCCGGATACGAGATACAGCATCGCAGATGTCTGAAATACACGACTGCACAGACGCTCCATTCATTAGCCTTGACTGCAATGCGCCGTATAATACATCCACGTGATAGAATATTGTGGAGAAAAAATGAAAACTCACCATCTTCTAGCAGACGCTTTAGACCTGCCGCCTCCCTCACAGAGCGTTCGTCCCAAACCGGAGAGCTCTGAATGCCATTGAAACACTCAATGAGCTCAGACCTAATTTCGGACACGCCCTGCACCACGCGTGATTGGAAGTTCCAACGTGTTGGTGCACAAGTTGGGAGACGGCGGCTACATATCTGGCGAAGGAGGTCAGACCGCTTCGGCGAAACGGAAAAAAATGAAGAAAACCCCGAAACATTTGCAAAAAATATACGGACGAGAGGGGTATCAAGACACATATTTTTAATAACGAGGTTAAATTGGTGTGCATAACAATGTAAAAACCGTCATAAGTTTGAGCTATCAATTTTGACTTCGCGTTGTAAGGCTGTAACACTTCTTTCAGTAAAGCCGATATCCCGCAAGCCGTGCGATTAACGATTGGTACAAAGCTGTGAAATCTCTCGGTAGGTTTACCATCTTTCACAAACCGAAAAATCACAGCCAGTTGGGAAACGCACGTGATGTCAGTTGTCTCGTCAGACTGAATCGAAAGGAACTGGCAATTCTCAATTTCCAGAGCCAAATGTTGTAAATAAATTTTATACATTGAGTCGAGCAAATCATTTTGGATATCCTTAGATGTCCCTTTCGAAACAGTTGCGGCATCAAGATGATCTCTCAATACTGTATCTAGGGATGCGGTGTATTCCACCATATCCAAAAATACCCCTCTATTAGAAGAGCCAGCCCGGTCATCGTGCTCACGGAGGGACAGCTCGTGACAACCAATGAACTTCAAAACATCTATCAATCGACCGAGAACATGGCGGTTTTTCTCGACGTTTTGGTTGTGCTGACGAATAGAAACCGCGCGTCCTTCATCCAACTGTGCTGCAATATTAACATTTCCGAATGTTCGGTATTTTACTGCATTGTCCAGATGCTTCATAGAAGATTGATGATCCCTGACACGCTCGGAAAGATGTTTAAGATCTCTAAAACCAAATTTACACCAACGTGAGTCACGGGCGGTAGCAAAAAGTAGGCAATAAAAACAGAAAAGTGCATCTTTGTCCTCGCTGTAACACAACCATTCGTGTTTTTTATACCAAGTTTCTGCGCAGAATGTACGCCGACGCTTTCCTCCGTCATGGGATTGTTCCAGTGAACAATTTTTTGGTTGATAAGGCCCAAGACGTTGTACCTCTAATTTTTGTTCCAGCGGCAGATGCGAAAACGGAGTGCGAAGTAGTGCATCAACCTTATTCATTATGAGGTCTAAGGCTAAGAAATGCGAAGCCGGAAAGAAGTGAGGAGCTCAAAAGGAATGTGGAAAATCGAAAGCAAATGGATTAAAGGTCTCT